GGTTTTTCTTTCTAATATCTTTGCGTGATGGACATGACACAGTGCTGTTTTGGAGTTGAATTACTAATAGAAATAATGTTAGTACTTTAACTGCCATGGAACTAGAAAAAAAACATTACTACAAATACTTGCTTCTGGTAGTACTAGTACTACTATCTCTCCAACAACATTAGTAGTAATTCACAAATTAGCACATGCCTGTCTTTTGATGATAAGAGACAAGAATATATATAGCTATCACATCAAAGTACCCACTTGACACCAGAGCTATTGACCTGAAGATGAGTCTTTGGGCAGAATTACTACTACTAAAACTGGCATTTTGAGTTTACTGCTGGTACTATCTCTCCAGGAATATTAGTTGTAGACTTCATAAATTAGCAGATTCCTATATGATGTCAATGATAAGAGACAAGAATATATAGCTGTCACAATAAAGGGCACACTTGAAAAGTTACTATTGACCTCAAAGTGAGTCTTTTAGCAGAAGTACTACTATTCTGTGTCAATTGCAGGTACTACTACTACTAGCAGTAAAACATGGCACATGCAATGTGGTGCATGTTTAAAATAATATTATTTCTCTTTTCTTACAGCACCATCAGCCTCTATCATAATCTTTGAGAGATTTACTGGAACAGAAGGAGACATGTGGTGATTCTAACAATTGTGCATCTCACTCAATTGACACACAATGAATTTGGTGAAAAAAAATACAAATATCCTCCCTAAAGAGTCTACCAATAGCACTACTACCACTAGCAGTACTAGTGCTAATATGGGTGTACTTCTGATAGTTTACAACTTATAACAATATTCATTGTTGCTATTTTTGGGGTTGATGGATTCTACTGACTTTCTCCCTGCTACTACTAGTAGTACTGTGGTGGCAAGAAGAACTTCAACTTGCTTTGTAGAATTATGATGTGCAGTCAAAAATTTAAGTGGTGGTATCATTTGCTGCTGGTATCTGATAATTATCCACCACGATGTACTAACAAACAGTTTAGTAATCACATTGATTTTCAACAAATATAAAGCATTGCCAAAATTGAAATTGACCAGAATAGTACAGTACTATTAGTCCAGCAATAGAAGGGTATTGCTGGACCTCAGAGTTCCAAGAGCCTAAATGATGGTGCAGGGAGTTTATTCATGATATGCCCCCAAACATATGTACTAGGTAAATGCAATGAATTCTATCATGATGTTGACAGGAATGATCCATTCAATGCAATGTGAGCAATAGAATTTTTTCTCTAATTATATATTGTTAAAATAGTACTAGTAGTAGTAGCAGTCTGATGTAACAATATTAGTTGAAGTGATACTAGGTACTACTGGTAGCAGCTAACTTCTTCTCATCTCCTGGCAATGGCATCAGTAAGGCATCAGTGACAGGAGCATTGTAAACGTACATGCAACATCCATTACTGGAAGTAACTATCATTGTACTACTTCTTCTGTTGGGAACAAGAAGGAGTGCTGTGCTTTAAAAATCATTCTTATCCCTCTCAGATAGTAGTAACCTGGCTGACTACAACTAAAAACAGCTACAAAAATGTTTCAATCAAAATTACTATTAATAATACATGATGGCACTCTAATTTGCATTTATGGCAGCCTACTACTACTCGTACTAGTAGTAGTTCTTGCATGGTTGGAAATTGAGGAGCTTATCACCATTGGTCTGGTACAAAACCTTTGCAAAGGTGCTTTCTCATTGTTGCCAGCAATCAAAGTAGTACTAACATGTTTGCCAATATGACTCCCTTACTTGTACTTGTACTAGCCTTCACAAAGAAGAGGAAGAAGTCACAGAAACACTAGATTGAAGTACAGCCACATAGACTCAACCTTTATGTAGTAACAATACTATTGCTGAATTAATACAAAATGCTAGTCTATCACTACTATTACTACTAGTAGTACTAGCAGTGGTACTACTACAAATCTCTACAATTATGGGCTTTTGGACTTGGTAGTAGTGAAGGTAGGAGGTACTGCTGGTATTGGTGCTGCTAATCTACTTTATTAGTGGTTTCTTTGTTACTACTAGTAGTACTAGCACTTACTACTAGAGGGATGGTCTTGAGGAGTTTCAAGTCTTTTTCAGAGTTGGTATATATTCAAGTTGAAAATAAATTCATTACTTCTTGCCATTGCAGGAGGCTAGTTCTGTTGGTTGATCCAAAAGTGACAAGTGGTGTCTCTTGGTGTAGGTGTAATTTGCTTGTCACAGTGGATGGTGTTCCCTCCCTTGTATTCCCCATTCAGCTAGTGCTGCTGATTCATTTAAGACAGTTTGTTTTTCTCTTGGTAGTATTGACTTCAGACACATAATGCCCTCTTTCTTATTACCATCCCTTGTTTTTGTATCTAGTAATCATATTTTGTGATGCTCAAGAAGGTGGAAAATAAAACAATATTTGTTCAGGTACGATTGCTAGTAGTACTACCCATACTAGTAGTACCTTTGTTCTCCCACTAAATATATTCTGGGGCAAAGAACACATTTTCACTTGTTCCATTTGGTTTGGACAGAGGAGAACAGGACTTCTCCATATCTCCCTCTCAGAATGGACAGACTAGTAGTTTTGGTCATTCTTCACAACATCTTCTGTCCTTTCAGATTAAGGTCAACTGACTCCTCAGAAGACATTTCATTTGACAAAGGGAATAACAGAGCATTGATTTGTTGCAAGCAAAAGAAGACAGGGGAGAAAACAGTTTCGTAGTCAGCACAGACTAATCATGTTGCTGGAGTTTTGGTGGCTGTCAGAACCTGTGAACATCATAATATCAAGGTATTTTTGGTAAGGAAACAACATTAATATTTCTCATAAGAGAAAAGAAAGCCTTGTAGTAGTTGGAATTGTCTAGAACCATACATTTGCTCTTACTAATAGTAGTGGTAAATGTCAGAATATTTCTGGGGAAATAATTGTGTTCTTTTTATTTCTTGCAGGACTACTAATATCATTAGGCTACTAGTACTACTAGTAGTAGTAATAATGATTATGTTCTTCTAGTACTACTACTACTACCAATGTCATTAGCCACCTCAGCTATATGGTCATCTCTTACAAAAAATATTTCTTACTTCTTTTTCTTCTTCATGTACCAGTGGTAGGTTACTAGAAGTAATTTCTCCCTGTATCTTTCTTGCTGAACTAGCAGGAAGCCTACTTTTGGAAGTTTTTTAGCATGAAATTCTGGCCCTTGAAGAACCCTATACTTGCAAATATTAGTAAGAAATATGAGCTCATAATCATTGATAAGCAAGCAATGATTGGAGGAATGGCCCATTTTCACAAGTGGTGATGTAAGGCCTCACCTACTGCTATCATACTACTCTGTCCTAATTGTTCTGCTGCTGTGCACAAATATTTTCTTTGTTCCCCAGTCTCCCACTGGTGTTATCGTGTATCGCAACAACAGGTGGTACTAAGAACCTTCTTGGAAGAAACTATTCTATTGGAGGAATGGCTTCTGCTTGCTGGCAATTTTGGCTGCAGCATGCTTTCAGTAGTAGATGAGCATGGTACTAGTGCTTGTTTGTTACAAAACTGTAGTTTGTCAAGCAGATTACTAAGTCAAATTTTCGTCGTGTAGGGGCAGACAGGAAAATTATCCGGTTGTCCGATTGGTCTAGAGGCATGATTCCTGCTTTGGGTGCAGGAGGTCCCGGGTTCGATTCCCGGATCGGACCGCGTGCAGAGGTGGTCTAGTTGGTTATGACGCGGCTTTAACACAGCTGAGGTCGGGGGTTCGATTCCCCCCCACTGTACTTTTGCTCCGGCAGCCCCAGCGAGATCTTTTGGCGTGTTCGGTGACTCGTTGGTGATGTTGTCAGGAACAGTCAGGGCGTTCCGTGCGAAGAACCAACAAGCTGTACGAAGTATGAGACCCGCACGTACATGTAAAGTACCCCGTGAGGAGGTACAAAGCAGCATTCTGCAGTTTTGCACGATGGAGCAAACTACAGCGCATCGCACATCGTGACCGACCACTGCTACAACGTTCGCTCCCCGGAAGTGCAGCGCTTGGAATGGTGCAATGGCAGTGAACGAACTTACAAGCAGGCAGTATGTAGGGACGACCTTGCAAGGCAGACAATGCGCTTCGTCTCGCCACACCAATGGATGCGATGCGATGCGATGCGATGCGATCCGGTCCTCTCCGGGCCGGGCACGGGATCGCCGAGCGACGGCAGGGCACGGCGTGCATTGTGGGATGCGTGCTCACGCCACGGTGCAATCGCGTCGACGCTTCGCCGGGATCCGTTCCGTTCCGTTTCCCACCACCGTGCTCTCTCCCGACCMGGATTCGATTCGATTCGATTCGACCGGCGTCGGATGTTCGGCAGATCGTGGTTTGGTTTGGTTTCGTTTCGTTTCGTTTCGTTTCGTTTGCAATCCCCCCGCCCCTTCCACTCCGGCCAGAGCCCGTATCCGGGGAAGGTAAACCGGAGCATCCCTCTCCTTCCAGCACAAGCATCGCTTTCGTAGCTCAGCTGGTTAGAGCGTGGGTCTAATAAACCCAAGGTCGTGGGTTCGATCCCCACCGAGAGTATTGTGTGCCCGGTTAGCTCAGTAGGCAGAGCGTTCGTCTCATAATCCAAAAAGTGTTCCACCGCACGCCAAGAGAAAGCGAAAGGCCGTCAGTTCGATCCTGACATTGGGCACCACTTTTTGCTTCGTTCCCGTGTCCTTTTGGCGGAAGCTTTCTGTTGCGCCGTGTTCTATCTAACGCAAAAAAGCACTACTATTCTGTTGCTACCGTACGAATGGTTCCGTCCCAACGAATTGCGTCCGTTTCCACGTTCGGAACACAAAGCAGCTTGCCTCGGGCAGTACCGTACGGTCGTTTGTCGGTTCTGCTGTTTTGCCCATTGCTCCCTTGCCGCTTCATTCGATGGGACACGACCTACGGTGTTGTATCCCGATGTGCGTTCTATGTATGTACTGTACCGGTTCAAACCAAGCTCGTTCGCTCTACAGGTAAAACACATTCTATTACTGTAGTAGTACTGTAGTATTCGTTTGCGGATCGTTGGGGCGACCGTGATTCGTTTGCGGCGCTAGTAGTCGTCGTCGCGGACGAGCAGGTAGTGCCGGACCAGGACGAGGCCCCCCGGAAAGCCGTCGCTCTCCACCAGGTGGACCTCGACGTCGTCGCTCGCCTCCAGGACCCGCTTGGTCCGGTAGAACAGGCGGCGGCCGCGCTGCCATCCACCGCGGAGGCCCAGCTTCCGCTTTTCGCCGCCGGGCTCCTGTTCCCAGAGCTCCACGTCCGCGTCCTCCTCGAGGCTCCCGATCGAAAGGGGGGGGGAGGGGTCCTTCGGTCCGGCCTCCTTTTCCGCCCAGACCATGTCCCGGACGTCCTTCGCCGAGAGGTCCTTCCCGGTGGCCACCTCCCGGCCCCCGTAGAGCTGCGCCAGGTACAAAAAGTTCGAGTCGTCGGGCCGCATGTTGTCCCGGGGCCGCTGGGTGTAGTCCATGCAGTTGCCCAGGTCCTTGTTGAAAAAGCTCTCGTCCCAGTGGGGGAGGCCAAAGCCGTGGCCCAGCTCGTGGCAACAGGTGTAGAGCTTCTGGTCGTTGCCCTCAAAGTCGAGGTAGTACTGGTTGAGCTTGGCCGTCGAGGCGACGATGGTGTTCTGCCTCGGGTTGAGGAGGACCTCGTTGAGGCCGCGCCACCGGGTGTCTCCGTAGTCGCTGAACCGGGTCAATTCGATCGGGTGATTCATTCACAATGGCAATGGCAATGGCAATGCAATTCGTGCAGCGTGGGATCCGCGGGAAGGTCGAAACAAATTCCAGGCGGTGAGCGGACAACAGACGCAAAGCACCACAAGAGAACAACAAAACCAAAAAACAGAACCGAACGCAACGCGAAACAAGCACAACGCAACGCAAAAGAACACAACGCAGCCCAGCCCAACTCGTGGGCCTTTCTCCGCCACCCCCCAATTCAATTCAATTCAATTCAATTCAATTCAATTCAATTCAATTCAAAACACGCTGCGCTACGCTACGCTCCACTCCATTCGACTCGATTCGATTCCACTCACCCGTTGCAGATCTTCATCTTGCCCGTGACGGTCGTGCACTCGCTCTCGTAGTCGATCCGGTTCGAGTAGAGCGTGAGCGAATCGATCGGGCTGCCCTCGTCCCAGTTGCGGATCGCCTCCTGGACAAAGACCTGGTAGTCGTCGCTGCAGGCGTTGAGGAGGTCGAGCGAGAGGCCTTTGCCGGTTTCCTTGCCCCCGAGGGTCGCCCACCCGTAGGCGCCGGGCGGGAGCCTCGGGACCGACGTCCCGTTGACCACGTCGATCGTCATGTTGGTCCCGCTCCAGGGATCGTTCCCGACCCAGTCGTCCCCAAAGAGGTCCCCAAAGAAGGGAACGTCCGAGGGGTCAAAGACGTCAAAGAGAAAGAGGAGGGGGACCGCGACGGCCACCGCGAGGCAGATCCCCGTGGGCATCCACCGCAGGACACAGTGCTTCCGCGAATTTTGGCTGGCCTCCAGCTCGAGGTGGGCCTGGGCCTCCCGGAGGGCCGTCTGCGAGGCCAGGTTCTGCTCCTCGGCGAGGCCGATGCGGCGGGCGTACTCGGCGTCGGCGAGTTCCTGCTGGATCCTCCGGGCGACGGCCTCGTCGTCGTCGTGGTAGCCCGATGCCGCCGCAAGGGGCTCGTTGTCGATGCCAATGCCAGTGCCCGTGCCAGTGCCCGTGCTCCAACTTGGCTCCAGGGAACCGCCGGCGTCCTCCCGGCCCGGGCTCCCTAGCGCCGAGGCCGCCTGGACCTCCTCCAGCCGCCGCTGCTGCTGGTCCAGGTAGGAACACTCGGCCTGGACCCTCCGGGCGTACTCCGCGTCGAGGTCTTCCTGCGAGGCACCCCACGAGGCCTCCCCGTAGGCACCTTCGGACGGCCAGGGGGCTTCCACCACCGGCCTTCCCACGACCACCACCGTGGGGGCCTGGGCTTCCGAGCGCCCGAGGTGCCGCTCGCTCTCGCTCCGGACCCTCGAGAGCTCCTCCTCGTGCTTCCGGCGGAGCTCCCTTCGGTGAAAGCTGTCCCGGGACGACAGGACCGGGGGTCTGTCTTCCCCGGCCGGGTAGTGCAGGGAGAGCCAGTCGTCCCCGGCCGAGGACCTCCCGGAGGACGACCGCCTGCTGCTCCTCCGCGAGAGGTTNAGAGCCAGTCGTCCCCGGCCGAGGACCTCCCGGAGGACGACCGCCTGCTGCTCCTCCGCGAGAGGTTCTTGTCGCTGGCGCTCCTCCGCGAGGCGGTCTTCCCGCTGGTGCTCCGGTCGCTGGTGCTCGTGCTGGTGCTTGCGCTGCTCCTCCTCTTTTTCCCGGCGCTCTTGCTCCGCTCCCGGGGGCTCCTCCCTCCGCCCCCGCTGCTCCTCCTCCGGCGGGTGGCTTCTCCGTGGTTCCCGGTGGGCCTCTTGGGGTTCGCTTTTGCTTTCGCTGTTGCGTTTGCTTTCCGGCTCGACGGGGCGGAAGCGGAAGCAGCACCAGCGCCCGTGGGGCTCGGTGGCTTGCGGTGGCGGTTCTTTTCGCCGGTGGCGGCCGCCCCCTTGGAAGTGGTGCCTTTCCCCGGATTCCCGTTCTTGCCGCTGCTCTTTTTCTTCTTGCTGGTGTTTCTAGTGTTTGTGTCTGTGTTCCTGGGGCTGTTCCTGGGGCTGCCTTTGGTGTTCCTATTGCTGTTGCTATTGCTGTTGCTATCGCCGTCGGGAGGGGTGCTATGCTCCGCCTGCCGCCGCAGAAACTCCTTGCGGTACTCCTCCTGGAGGGCCCGGGCGTAGGCCTCGTCGTCGGACTCCTGGCTGCGTCGTGGCATCGAAACAGGATGTGTATGGAATGGATTCAACGGAGGCTATGGATCGTGTCGTGAGACGTGTGTCGTGTATCGTTTGTCGTGATTTGTTTTGTGACTCAACCGGGTTCGATTGTATTGTAGTACTGTATTTCGTATTGTGTTGTATGTTCTATCGGAATTGGATGATTCGTCCGTTCACACAAGTCGATTGATCCGTTGCTTCGTGTTCTCTTCCAGAGTTGATCGATTGATCGATTCAATCGGCCCGGACTGGTTTGGTGGGTTTGCTCCGATCGATCGATTGTGTTGAGCGAAAAACAAGCAACAATAAACAACACATAATACAGTACAGTACGGAACCATACCTACTAGCGAGGCAACCAGCGAGGCACGAAAATGGGCGACGCACACCAAAGAGACTCCTACCGTACGATATGGTACTGTAATGTACTGTAACGCACGTTCTCGCATGGACTAGTACTGTACTAAGTACTGTACTAAGTATCGTACGTGCTGGTGTTTCCGTCGCTCCAACTCCGTCGTGATTCATTCATGCTGTTTCGGTGTTCAGCGTTTATTTTTCCGGCGATGGATTCCTTCTTAGGGGCGCATAAGTAAATGAAAATATCAACCCACCCTTTTAAAACAATAGTACGACTACGAACTGAACTCGTGCACGCGGAGCAGCACGAATTTCATACGATTGGATGCAACATGTACCTGATACCCCCCACCCTTGATTCAGTATGTACTCCTACGCTGGGACTACCGGGACACATCGTACGGCAGCAATTCAGACGAAAGAGGAAAAGAATAGGCACGGCAGAATAATGAATAACTATTGTTTGTTTTTAAACATACTTTCTACTACCACCGTATTGTCACGCCTTCTCCCCAGGCTTTTTAAAGAACACGGAACGACCCACTCCCGCCGAGTCGTGTACGGTACGGTACTCGTACTGGGTACTAGAGCAAGAGATACGTTACCGTACGTACCTACCGTACCACCGGATGCAACGAATGAATCCATCGGGGCGGGGCACGCCACGGCACGGCACCGACCGACGGACCTCCTCTGGGAAACTACGAGTGCCACGGCTACGACAAGTACGTACGTATGTAGGTACGTACCTAAGAACGCAATCCAGCAAACGAACCGGAACACTTTGCATCGCCGTTCCCTCGCTCGCTTAGTTGCCGCCGTGTGTCGGAACGCAACGCAACGCAACCCATGCCATGACACCGCACGCATTTCTGCGCAGTCCGGGCGTTCCCCGGTGGTGAGTGAGTGTGTGTCTTTGTATGTATGTGTGTGTGTGTGTGTCTCTTTTGGGTTCGTCCGGAACGGCACCGCGTGCTCTGCTTCCGGTCGAAGGGACCGATCGTTCCTTCGGTTGCCTCGTTGCCTTGGACCTAGTATTTTCTTTGTGAGGCCCGAAACAGCATTGTGTCGCAAGGACAACCGTAGAATCGGCCGTGTGGCTCAATGGTAGAGCTTCAGTCTTCGAAACTGAAGGTTGCGGGTTCGAGCCCCGTCATGGTCAGTGCTTGTCTCCTTCCTCTCCGTCATAGTATAGTGGCTAGTATCCCCGCCTGTCACGCGGGAGACCGGGGTTCGATTCCCCGTGACGGAACGTTTTGTTTTGCTCGGATGCAGAGGATCCTTGACCTTCGAAGTGGTCAGCCTGGAATTCCAAACCGAGAGGCATCCAAATGAGAGTCTTCATTCCGTCATAGTATAGTGGCTAGTATCCCCGCCTGTCACGCGGGAGACCGGGGTTCGATTCCCCGTGACGGAAGGTTTTGCTCGCCAATCCCAGCAAACCCGACGTTTGCATTCGACCCCGGTGTGGAATCGAATCGAGATCCCGCGCTGTGTTTGCTGCCATTCTTTTGGTGCTTGCCCTTTGGAGAAGGCCATCCTTGCAGGGACAGAGCGAGCGGAAACGGTAGAATGAGCCAATCTGTACATCGTTGTTGGTGTTGGTTTCTATGGTTGGGTGCTTTTTTGGCGCAAAGGGACGGAACGGAGGACGAAAAAGTGTGATCTCGTTGTGTTTCCCGTTGCGCTCCGCTACCGTTTTGGTTACAAGCCACTTACGACAAATAGGGTAGGTGTGAAATGAAGGATCGGGGAAATCGCCGCAATTGTCAGCGTAAAACACGCTTGTTTAGCTCAGTTGGTTAGAGCACTTCATTAGTAATGAAGAGGTCCGTGGTTCGAATCCGCGATCAAGCTTTTTGCCGTCGGATCTACTGATTCATTCTCGCTTTTCTTTTTCGATCGGGAGTTCGTTTGGATGGTAGATTCTGCAACTATGGCCGGCATTCATACTACTACATTTTAGACTCGCGGCGGATTTCGTGGATAGGATTGGTTTATAGCTGCGGTTTCCCTTTCTTTTTGCACAAGAAGAAATACCAGTAGCAACAACAACAGTAACCCGCTATTAGTAGCAAAAACGCGCATAGCTAGTAGTGGCCACCACAATCTGGACGGAAGGACACAAAAGGCCCGATGGAACCAACCCAGTAGAAGGAAGCGATGGCGAACGGCTCGAGTTCTTTTCCCAACGATGAGCAGCACGCAAGGGAAGGTAGGGTAGGGTAGGAACACACACTGCCAATCTACACAGGTACGCTGGGCTCAACTCCATAGAAGAATGCCGCAGCAACAAATCGGAAAAAGAAACGTGCTAAAAGTACAAGAAATCTAGTATTGGAAACATTCTCTGCAAACACTCTCTGCAGGCACACCGGATCTCGTGAACGCCTTGCGTTGTGTGGCGTGCAGCTCCGCCGTGTTACGATGCCGGAAGCCGCAGGGCTTTCCCCGGCCGCTCGTCGATCTTGGGCTGCCGCCGCAGACCGGATATCTGCGTGGTTCGGTGCAGTTCCAGGTTGAGCAGCTGCTGGTGCGGATGGGAACTTCCATCTTCTTCTTCCTCTTCGTTTTCTTGTTGGGGTCGGGGTTCTTCCTGCGTGCCCTGTTTCGAGGGACCGCTTCCACCGGACTCGACCTCTGCGGGCCGGGGCGGGGGTCTCGGCTTCATGACCGGGATCGTGGCGACGCCCTCGCTGGTGTTCTTGGTGGCATGGCCCGCGGGCCTCGGCTTCATGACCGGGATGCTCTGGTCGATCGGTGCCTTGGTGGGGCTTCCGACCGGAACCGGCCGGGGAGCCGGGACAAGCTGCGGCTGCGGTTCCTGCTGGCCCGAGTGGCCCACCTGTGCCACCGGCCGGGGCCTCGGGGTGGCCTTGGACGCCGCCTTGGTCGGCGGGGGCGTCGGCGCGGGGCTGGGGGCCGCCGAGGGGGGAAGCGTCGGTTCTCCGGACGGTTCGCCGGAGGGGACGCCACTGGGAGCCACCGTGGGGGGCTTTGTCGGAGCCGGTGTCGGCAGGGCGGTGGGGCCGGCGGTCTGTTGGCGGGTTCGGTGGGGTCGATCGGGTCGTTTTTGAGTTCGTTTTTGAGTTCGTTTTCGTTTTGGAACACACGAGACGAGAGAAAGAATCACGCGAGAAACGATACACGTGAGAAAAAGAGACAGGTTTGCAAACGAAGACTATCCAGAGATTGGCAGCAAAGAGCAGGAATACGGCACGACGACACGATGGATTCAATTGGATTGGATTCGATTCGACGCACCGGTTTTTGGGTGGGGCTCCCCGTGGGCCTCTGGGTCGGGGACACCGAGGGAGCCGGGGTGGGCTCCTTGGTCGGGGTCCGGGTCGGGAACTCCGTCGGGACCACCGGTGCGACGGGCGGTGCCGGGGTCGGCGGGACCCATCCCTCGGGCGGAACAAAGTCGCACATGTCCTGCTGGCCGAAGCTCTCGCAGAGGCACTCCGCCTCCCCCACCAGGTCGCCGTTGGGAAAGTAGTACTGGCAGTACCGCGTCGGCAGGTCGGAGCAAAAGTTCCGGTTCTTGCCCGGGATGTACTCCTCGTAGCCCGACTCGGAGTAGGTCGCGCACAGGCACTTGTCGTAGGCGGAGGGGTTGTGGAAGCCGGAGGGCCGCTCGCTCTCCTCGGCATAGTACGCCTTGCAGTAATAGATGTTGATCCTGTGGCAGTATTCAACGTCCGAGTACGATTCCTGGTTCGGGAGCTGGTAGCCGTACCCCTCGCAGGCGCACCGGTCCCACGCCGAGGGCATCTCGATGGTCGAGTAGTAGTTGTACTCGAGCTGCTTGTGATAGGTGCAGTAGTCGTAGACCTCGCCCGAGGGGGGGAACTGGGCGGCGGGAAGAAAGTCGTCGTCGGCCGCCTCGTCGGCTACCTGGAGGAAGCGGGGGAACAATTGGTGGAAGCCGTGGTCCCGGGATGCCTTGTGGGGGGTTGGCGGTGCCCGAGTCTGCTGGCAATACCATTTTGGGTTGCTTTCGCTATCGTTGTGGCTGTCGCTGCCCCCCGGCTGCCATAACTGACAGGATTCTCCCCGCTTGGGACAGGCCAGGACGCCGAGGTCGGGGTGGCACCGAGAGCCTTTCGGAGGCGCCGGTCCTTCCGTCTGGGAGTTCTGCAACAAGCCTGGTGGGTCCCCCGAAGACGAGTCGAGAACGCCGTCGCTGTCTTGGTTTGTAGTTTCGGGACGGGAAACACCGCCGAGAACGGAACCGTCGGGTTTCCCCCCGATCGCGAGGCCCGCACGGACAACACCGGCATTCGGTAGGCGAAGACGGTCGCTCTGCGCGTGTTCGTGTTGGTGTTCGGCTCGTTGCCGGGGCTCCTGTTCCGGCTGCCGGCCCAGGGAGAGGGTCGATGACAAGACCACCGTACCGAGTGCACCCGTGAGGAATTGGCGAAGCGCTGTGCTCGTTGGTTTCATTGCGAATGACTCAAGCAATCAATAAATAAATCAATCAACCAAAGATGGCACGTGTTGTTTTTTCGCCCTTTTGTGTTGTTGCGATGCGCAATTGCTTGGCAGTGTATTTGGTGCCAATTACGATTTCTTTGCGTTTTGCTTTTTCGCAGAACCTTTGTGTTGTGCCAACGAAGTGCGGCGGTGTATGGTATACCTGTCTTTTGTAGTTCGAAAGAACGTGGAGAATCTATTTTAATGCTTTGTTGTGTGGTGATATGGTTCGGTATCGTGTGGGAAGATGGAGGAAGGATTCGAGATCTCCAGGTATGGTACCGTAGCAACCTATTCGATTACACGCTCTCTCGCACAAATACACGCACGCACTCAGAGAGGGAAAGACTATATTCTTATTATGGTAGGGCGAAGGAGCAAGCAGATCACAGAAAAGCAAGGCAAGGCAAGTCAAGTCAAGGCAAGGCACACAACAACCACACACAGACAGCGATGGGCTTCGTGTTGCTCTTGTGGTTCACGGTAGGCTACTACGTACGGTACTGTTAATTTCGTTTCGGTTGTTTTTTTTTTAATCTTGTGAACCAAACGGGAAGGACAGAAAGGTGCGCGTTGATCGAGCGTTGCGTCGGAGATTGGACGAAGTGTCACAATGATGGTCGATGTTGGGACGACGGTTTTTGGTGGGACGGAGCACTAATAAAATACTTAAGCTATGAATGCTATGACAGGTTTCGTACAATTGCCTGAAAACAAAACTAACTGCGAACTCCTCTCTCGTCTCTCGACTCTCGATCCAATGTTGGACGTATGGACGTAGTCTATATTAGGTATGAATAAGGGACACTTTTCCTACTTTAATACACTTCGCCGATGGTTGAATCCCGCGCGATAAACTGAATCGGAAAATGATTTTGGGTCGATTGTCGGCGAAGTTCCCACGAAATCAAGAAATAGTACCGGTACGAGTATCCATCAAGTCGACACACACAAGACATCACGATGATAAAAAATCTTTCTTTCGATGAACTCACAATATCAAACCTTCAATATTTACACAAGATACTATCAATAAATTCAAAACAACGACATCCAAAATGGTTATTAGTCCATCTATTGTAAGCTATGGTGCCGCAGACGGCATTGGCACCATGATGACAGAGGGCGTTAGGACTCTCGCCTCACAGCCCGCACCTTGGCTCCTCCAATCTCATCTGGAGACCATCATGTTGGGTTCCGTCATTCTCGATGCCATGGCTGGAGGTATCATCTTCATCTTTTCCAACACAATCATGAAGACCTTTGCGGAATTTGATGACGAAATTGGGATCAATGTCATGGTTCTACTCAACAAAATCATTATCAATCCCCTCTTTGCGTTTGTCTTCTTCGGAGGACTCATCTCGGCATACCCTGCGATTGTCATGATGACGAGACCTGACGAGTTCTCGAAGCCTGCTCGCTACTATGCATTGGCCTCCACTTTGGTATTCTTTTTCGGAGAATTTCTGGTCACTGTGACGCAAAATGTTCCTCGCAACGATGCTTTGATGGCCGCAGATCCTACATCGGACGAGGGAGTGGAGTATTGGCGAAAGGATTTTCTCGGAGATTGGGTGGCCTGGAATACCGCTCGATGCATCGCTTCCGTCGTTGCGTCCATCCTCGGAGGCCTTTCCCTCATGGCTATGAGAAGCTAACAATTCTCAGTACCGCCTCTCTTGTTGCGAGAATCAATTTTGTGCGATCGTGCGCACTGTTGTTGTCACGATGCGACAAAATTGAAACCACCCATCATCATTTCTTCTCGTCGGCAAATCCTGGAAGCAACACGACACACGACGAAACACCATCTAAACGATGGACAGGTTGTCCATAAACAAGTGAATATTTTGCGCGCATATTTCTGCCGAATAAAACTTGTAAATGTATAATATTAGTATGTAGTAGTTGTCTACCTTTTACTTGTAGGAGCTCGATATTGGTCGTATCCGGACAAACAGTGCGAGACACACTTGGATAGAAGTGACAGGTACTAAGGCAAGGTCAATAGTTGCATCTCGCTTCCGCAAGGAAAGAAAAAGGCGACTCGAGAAGAAAAAAAAATGAAAAAATGGAGCAATTGACTTCTCTACAGTAGCATCCCAGACGTGCACCGTGTCAATCGGAGAAGAACCTGCCGACGTGCACCGACATAGTAAACTGTATCATTTCTATCGTTCTTGTTCTGGCAGGTTTCGTACTATTTATTGCCTGAAAACAAAACTAACAGCGAACTCCTCTCTCGATCCAATGTTGGACGTATGGACGTAGTCTATATTAGGTATGAATAGCGAACGCCGGAGAGAAACCGGTGTGTGCGCAGAAGATCTTTTTGCGAATTCTTTTTTGCGATGGCGAGCACCTAAGCAGTTCGTACCATTTATTTTTGCATACCTTCGCGACCAAAACCCGCACGGGTCGATCTTTTTTAGGCCGCGGGGACGGCCGGAGAATGTTCCGTTCGCCCTTTTGGTGCCTCCGAGCCGTGTTTTCGTGGTGTCTCGGCGCACCGGTGCCATAGCATACAGTACCGTTGCGTACGTACAGTACCCTACGGAACTGTATCGTATGGTACGAATCTACGTTACCATACGATACACATGTTTAGTTGACAGGCGCAGACATCATCGCCTTCTACGCAATGCATTCATCCAGTACTGTAATACTTAGAATCGTACCGTACTAGCACTGCGTTAGGCTCCAATCCAGAAAAACGAAAAAGATCGGTTGGTGCCAGAAAGAAGTTCTGGTACGATTTTTCCTACCGTACCTCAGCCGTGCTACGTTACGTGCTGTATCGTACCGTACGGTACTTCTCCTAAGGTAGTCCAAAGGTAGCATTGAAATGAATGCATCCATCGGATCTGTTCCGTTCCGCAACGGCAGTGTAACCGATTGGTACGGTAAGGCACGGTAGGTTCCCTTACCGCACGTCGAAACAAGGTATATGCAGCAAACACCCAGCAGATAGACTCTCTCTCTCTCTCTCTCTCTCTCTCTCACACACCCTCTTCCGAGACCGAGACCCATTGCCACCAGCGATCTCTCTCTCGCACCCAACGAAGAGAAACCGATCCGTATCCGTAGCAGGGGACGAATCCGAACTGTAACAGCAACCTGCACAGTTCACAACACATCGTTTCTGTTCCCTCCCGTCCGTGCGAAATAGCATACGAAGGGCAGGAAAGAGATCCGATCCAGTTGATTGCAGCAGCAGCAAATCATCCAATCCAATCCAATCCAAAGCGAAACGAAACAAAACGAAACAAACCGCAACCATGGCTCGCTGGTTCCGTTCCGAACCGATGGAGTACGTCTCCCTGATCCTGAACGAGGACGCCGCCCACGATTGCCTCGCCGATCTCGGAAAGCTGGGCGTCCTCCAGTTCACCGATGTGAGTTGTGTTGCATTGTGTTGCATTGTGTTTCGTCGTGTTGCAGTGTGTTGCTTGTTCTTGTGCCGAGGATTCTGGGTTGCGATGTCATTGTTGCTGGTAGCTTTCTTCGCCTGGATTCGTTGGCTGTGGCTTTGGGTGCTGCTGGTGGTTCGCGAAGAAGGACAACAAGACTGCGTGCTCCGCCGTGCTATGTACTCCGTGACAACAAACCCAACCGGCAGTCGGGTCGGCAATGCCCTGTTGTTGCTGGCCGGTGTGTACGGCACAGCAACCTTCCCTTCCGTTTCGTTTCGTCTCTTGCTCACACAACCAACCCAATCTTCCCCGCTGCTTTTTCCCTTTTGCCCCTCTCCCAGCTCAACCCGGAGCTCACCCCCTTTCAGCGCCGGTACGTCTCGTACGTGAAGCGGTGCGACGAGCTCGAGCGGATCCTCCGCTACATCCACGGCGAGATCGATAGGTTCGAGGACCTCGAGCTCGCCCCGGCCGGATCCGTCGACTCCTTCCTCGAGGAATCCGTCGGGACCCAGAAGACGGACCGCAGCGGCAACAGCAAGCTGGACGTCCTGGAGACCGACCTGGGCGGCTACGAGAGGCAGCTGAGGGAACTCGGCCTCTACAGCGAAAAGCTCACCCACCAGTACAACGAAAAGGTCGAGCTCCAGCAGGTCCTGGAAAAGGCCCGGGACTTCTTCCGCTTCGACCGAAACGAGAGCACGACCACGCCCCGCCTCGACATCATGAGGTTCCAGTCCATCGCGGGCGTCATCAGCACCGAGGAAAAGGTCCGCTTCGAGCGCATGATCTTCCGGACCACCCGCGGGAATTCCCTGGTGAGCTTTGCGCCCATCGAAGAGCCCATTACCGATCCCGAAACCGGCAAGGAGGCCGACAAGTCCGTCTTTTTGGTCTTTTTCAAGTCCAAGGCCATCGAGGTCAAGCTCAAGCGGATCTGCGACGCCTTCATGGCCCACCGGTACACCCTCCCGGACATGGACGACCTTGCCACGGTCGAAAAGCTCCTGGAGGAAAACGCCCGCGAGCTCGAGGACTCCGAGACGGTCCTCAAGAAGAATAGGGACACCCGCTACAAGCTCTGCAAAGAACTCGCCGCGAAGTGCGAGAAGTGGACCTGGATCGTCCTCAAGGAAAAGGCCATCTACCACTCCCTCAACATGCTCAAGGCGGACGTCTCGGGGATGCTTCGGGGCGAGGGCTGGGTGGTCTCTGAAAACCTCGACGACGTTGCCAGGGCCGTCGACCGGGCCCACTCCTCCCTCGACATGGCCATGCCCTCCCTCGTCAAGCCCGTCGACCAGCCCTGGCCGACCCCGCCGACCCACTTTGCCACCAACAAGTTCACCTACGCCTACCAGGAATTCGTCAACACCTACGGGATCCCTAGGTACCGGGAGGCGAACCCGGCCCTCTTCACGGCCGCGACCTTTCCCTTCTTGTTTGGTGTCATGTACGGGGACATCGGCCACGGGCTCTTTTTGTTTCTGGCGGGCTGCTCGCTGGTCTGGAACGAGCAGGCGGTCGAGAACGGCCCGAAGCCCGACGAGCTCACGGCCGGCCTCCACACGGGCCGGTACATGATGCTCATGATGGGCTTCTTTGCCGTCTACGCCGGCTTTGTCTACAACGACTGCTTCTCGCTGGGCATGAACCTCTTCGGGACCCGCTATTCCTTCGACGGGATGGACGACGGGACGACCGAGGAGGGGGACGTCGCTGTTCTGAACGCGCCCTACGGGAGCGACGAGTCCGTCTACCCCTTCGGGCTGGACCCGATCTGGCACGTGGCCTCGAACGAGCTCCTCTTTTTCAATTCCTTCAAGATGAAGCTCAGCGTCATCCTCGGGATCATCCAGATGTCCTTTGGGATCCTCCTCAAGGGATCGAACGCCGTCTACTTCAAGCAGCCCCTGGACCTGTTCCTGGAGGTCGGACCGATGGTCGTCTTTGCCACCTCGCTCTTCCTGTACATGGTGGTCATGATTTTCATGAAGTGGAGCATCGACTGGAACCACCGCATGTCGCTGGCCACCTGCTACGACCCGACCGGCACCGAGTGGCAATCGGACTGGACGGTCTGCGACGGGGGCACCCAGGACGCAAACGGCCTCTGCACCCCCTGGGGCCACTCCTGCACCGACTCGGACACCACCGCCGACAAGTGTCCCCTCGACTACGGGGGGTCCGGCGACGGGTGCCAGCCCCCCTCCCTCATCACCTCGCTGATCAACATCGCCCTCGCCCCCGGATCGGTCGACGAGCCCCTCTACGCGGGCCAGGCCGCCCTGCAGAACCTCTTGCTTCTGGTGGCGGTGGTTTCGGTTCCGGTCCTCCTGCTGGCCAAGCCCATCGTCCTGCACCAGCGGGCGCAGGAGGCCCACGCGAAGGAGGTCGTCCACGCCGTGGACGGCTGCGGCGGCGACGAGGAGGAGCACGGGCACGGCGGCGACGACCACGGCGAGAGCGACGAGGAACACGGCTTTGGCGAAATCATCATCCACCAGGCGATCGAAACGATCGAGTTCGTCCTGGGGATGGTCTCCAACACGGCCTCGTACCTCCGTCTGTGGGCCCTCTCCCTGGCCCACTCGGAGCTCGCCCAGGTCTTCTGGCAGAAGTGCCTCCTGACCACCCTGCCCCTCGGGTGGCTGCCTACCTACCTCGGCTTTGGTCTATTTGCCGCCATTACCCTCGGCGTCTTGCTCATGATGGACGTCCTGGAGTGCTTTTTGCACGCCCTTCGGCTCCACTGGGTCGAGTTCCAGCAGAAGTTCTTCAAGGGGGACGGTGTTCGCTTCGTCCCCTACTCCTTCAAGCAAATAATCACCGACGCCATGTAGGTTGGGCAACGAGCCGTGGGCACACGATGCACTCTGGAAGACGGATGCGATGCGATTCAGGATTTTGGGATTCTACGGTTTGCCACTATGTAGGTGCTATTATTGAAGCAGAACGAGAGCCCTAAGGAACTCGATTCGATGTCTCTAGATACGGTATCGAATTGCCGAAATCCGTGGTGCGTGTGCAAGTTGTGTTCACTCTCTTAGTTTTAAAGACATAGTAGTACTAGTACTAGGATACGAAAGTCGATCATCGACAGCGCAATTTATCTGACAAGGCAGCGGTTCATTCGAACCTTTTTTGTAGCACAAAACTTGGTACAATTTGGTTCCAGCACAACGATTTTGGTCGCTCACATCTAGTCAACACACCAACGGCAAGAATGGAATAGAAGATGGAGTGCTGGGTGCTGTCCGATCCAAACGGACTAATCACCATACGAACAGCGTTGAATTTTCGGAACGCGACTACAAATAGTGTGGCCAACGCAACAAAAACGAACACACCGTACTATTTCTTGCCTCATGGTTTGAATCCCGGTGGTGGTGGTCCGTCGCTTCGAGGCAACTCCAAAGGCGGGATGGAAGGAAACAACAAACCCATCCTGCGCCACGAGGGCGATGCCGTTGCCAACGTGCATCTCGCAGCAATTCCAGAGTTCGTCGCCACCAACCGGGCCTGGTTTCCAATCGAATCGAACAGAACTCTTTGACGGACCAGAATTCTGCTGGTTCGCCCAGCTCCAACGATCCAACCAGATGGAGTTTTGTTCGGAACCAAGTCGACGAATTACGTCTCGAAAGTTCCGAAACAAATCTGCTCATAACGCACACGTTATCACCGCATCGCTTGTCGGCAGATTGATATCGATTCAAAATGTCACTCTGCCTGCCATCCGCGGAAACCAATTGGAACAGAAAAGATTCCTCTAAACCAAACAGGCGTATTTCCTTCGAAAGTTCCGAAACAAATCTGGTCCCAAAACACCAAGAACCCACTTGAGACCTAAAACACGCGCGGTCGCTATGCCCAAAACACAGCTGATAAAGAAACTCTCTGGAGAGGTACCGAAGGGACCGTTCTTTTACTATTTTTTGCGCGGCGCGCGCACAATAATATATTGTTCGCCACTTTGTGGACTTGAATAAATCAAACAAGTCTACACGACGGCTAATGTTCCCTGTGAGTCATTCTGTGATTGGATCATAGTTAATATACTTAAAAGGGCGAACCCCAAATACAAGTTTTGAACACCGGTGAAGTTATTTTTATTAATCCATTAATTAAATTTAATTGATTGAATGATTAAATTTAATTATGCAATTAATAAAATTTTTATTAAATGCTTAATTAAATTTAATTTATCAGTTAATTAAATTTAATTAATCGATTAATAAAAATGGCATGCGTGTAGCATTTGGTATATTAATCAATTAATAAAAATTAATTAATTGATTAAATAAATTTAATTGTCGGCGAGTTGAAAAGAATTTTTCCAAATAGTGACCTCCCCCAAAGGCATAGTGACGAATCTCAAAGAGGCATATCAAATTAACTCTATTCAATCTTACTCGCACCCAATAAAAAGATGTAAAAAGAAACCGTTAAAAGTGCGCGGATCGCTCTAAAATATTAAAAAAATGGTCCCTTCGGTCCCTCTCCTGGAGACCTCTCACGGTCGTTAAATCCAACACATTGACCATGATGATCAAGAACTCACGTGAGATCTCATACTAACATACCTGTGCAATAGGCAATTCAACCCTAACCCCAACTCTGCTTCGACCTCTCACGGACGTTAAATCCAAAACTCTCTGACGACGATCCAAAACTCACGCGAGACCTCATACGAACATACCTTTGTAATAGGCAATTCAATACAATTTTAAAAAAAAATGAAAAAAATCTTCATGCTGTCCCAGAAAAACCTGATTGGAACAAAAATGAATGTCTAAGAATCGTGTCATCGCACTTCCGTAATTCCGTGAGGGAGCATGAAGTTTGCATCATAGCAAGTTCTTCTTTTTCTTAGGGAATTTATTTTTAATCGCTCGAAATAATCTTACGCTTCAACATGGTATTTTTTTCAAAACTGTAAAGGCTCTCTACTATCTAGAAGTTATTTGTGTACTAAAGTGAGAAAGGATTCGAACATTTTTTACTCAATGAATGCTTTATTCAAGTTCTTCTTTTTCTTAGGGAATTTATTTTTTATCGCTCGAAATAAAACTACGCTTAAGGCTCTCTACTATCTAGAAGTTATTTGTGGCGTGTGTCACATTGTGTACTACGGTGAAGTGAGAAACGATTCGAACATTTTTTACTCAAATGCTTTATTCGGCGACTCATTCCAACGCGCATTACAGTGCTCTAATACTACTATTATTTTTATGTTTCTCGCTGTTTCTCAATCAAATGCCACTTAAGCAGCTCTTCAACAATGAGGTACAGTAGTTCGTTTTCAATTATAGTGCACAGGCTTTGTTTTACGGAATTACACGTTTTTCAATAACATACCCAACGCGTTCGCAGCAACCACTGTTCCGTACAACAAACACAATCTGTATTGTTTTCCCAACGCGACTTCTTCCCAACGCGACTTCTTTCAGATTCGAATCAGAACGTTTTCTCCAGCGTGCTCACAAAAGAAACTATCCTCTAAGTTGGTTTGCTAATTTTTCTCAACGTGTTCGCAACAATCCCAAAAGTCTTTTCACAACTGCCTTTCCAACGTTTCCACCTTGATACAATACGTCCCACCATGAATACAACAGAAGCAACTCCTCTCAGCCGCACCAAAAAGCGGGTGAGATTCCTGGAGGACGTGGAAGTCATCGAAATCGGAGGAGCATCCCAGAACAAGGACAAGGAAAACGACAGCGAAGCCCACCTCGAGGGCAACAATCGCACGGCACTCGAAGAACAACGAGATAGGATTTCTACCGACAACAGCCAACCTGTATCGAACATGTCCAGAGCTCAACGAGGGCATTTCCTCGTCTTCCCGTCGTGTCCGATCACGACTTTCCCACTACAAGGACAGAACGAGGTCTTGCTCACATCGCTGGCGCCAACCTCGGCACGCTTGTTCGATCGATGGGCCTGCGGTGCCTCGCACCAGCAGCTCGATCCCCGTTCGTTTTCCGTGCTTCCACCGACACTCCCCGTTCGCAGGGTCGATGATACCAAAGCGCAGTGCACGAGAGACATTATCCAGAGTGCCCTGGATTGTGTGACCGCCGATTGTCCAGTCCTTCTAGTAACGGACTGATCGAAAACGTTCGGAAAAATACGACGAATGTACATAGCAGTTCGTTCTGTTCGACTCCCTCGATAGATAGCAAAAGGCGGTATCTCCTATGGTTGACCAAAAGCACAGCTCGGTATCTGGAACCGGGCCCTACGAATTCACCAGGAGTAGCAACCCTACAACAAGATCATGTAAAAAAACCTTCCTCCCAAACTCTGCGTGTTTCCACATCATTCTACATAAGCATGCAAGCACACAGACGACCATGCACTCTTACGAACACACCCACTTGAATACTTACATATACATTACTAGTACTATTATTATTATAACTTAGCGCACCAGCACCACCTTTGAAACAAATTTATGACGTGAACTACTGACTAGCATGATACCGCGATGTTCTCATTGGATCTCTGGTGGTACCAGTTGTCGCTTGGGAGTTGTTGTATCTCCGTGCGAATTGTCCATTTTGCCTCCTGGGCTAGTTCCATGATTCGTAGTCTTCCTCCTTTCGACTAGTAGGGTACGGTACGAGTAATCGTACTTCGAATTACTTCAGTACTCGTTTCCAACATTTCCAATACTTCTATTAGTACTAGTGTCGTAACACTTCTATTAGTAGTGTCGTATGTTGGTGGACCGTTATTTCTCAGCACTGCGTTTGGCGTCCGTCCGGCGCCGAATATTACGACCTCGTAGATACGATACATATCTACGAACAGTGTAGCCATTCCTGTTGGTCATTGCTCTCGTACAGTACGTACCTCTTACTCGTACGAGCATTCGTACTCCATGACTAGAGAACACCAAAAAGCTGTTTCGTTTGTTCATCGCCGAAATTCAAAAAGAAAGATCTTAATGTTGTCTTTAACGTGTACTTCGTACGTACTACCGTTATTCTGGTACTTGTATTCTGGATACGAACGCAGCACCGAAATCAAGATGGAAAAAGCACATCAATGCAATCAATTCGTGATCAGCCTCCCAGCACAAGCAACAGTATCAGCACTAGCATACAGTAAGCATCCACGAGTAGAAGAATTCCTAATCAAGATAAACATAGACAGTAAAGAAAAGTACACTACACATTAGCATACATTCAACACTGCATCACCAAGAATACGATACGATACCATACGATACGAAACCAAACCAAACCAAACCGTACCATACCATACGCCAACGCAACACGAACGTCACAATGATAAGTGTGCTCCGCAACAAGACTCTCGTGGTCTCCGCGCTTGCGATTCTGCTATCCTTTGCGGGCAAGAGCCGCGTCACCGCACAAACCGCTGCGGCCTGCAAGCCTTCCGATGGTGGCACGTGCGCTTCCGAGGCCGGTGGCGACCGAAACGACAAAAAAGCCGCATCTGCCGCCGACGCGATCCCCTCCCTGCTCTACAGCGCCCGGCAGCAGGACAACGACGACGAGCAGAACGCCAGAAAAGCAAAGGATTTCTCCGAGTACTTCTCCGCCTACGGAGAGCTACACCACCAAAAGGACATGCTGACCGACGCACACCGGATGGACTCGTACTACACCGCCATTTCCGCCAACGCGGAGGCCGCCTTTGCTGGAAAGGTGGTCCTGGACGTGGGCACCGGATCGGGGATCCTGGCCGTGTGGGCCGCAAAGGCCGGTGCCAAAAAGGTCTACGCGATCGAGTACACGGGCATGGCCGAAAACGCCAGGAAACTGGCGGAAGCCAACGGAGTGGGGGACGTCGTCACGGTCCTGAGGGGAACCGTCGAGGGCATCCGCCTGCCGCTGGAGGAAGACGGCCTGCTGGGGGACGACTCCGGAGGCGAGGGAGCAAGCGAGCGGGTCGTCGATGTGATTGTCAGCGAGTGGATGGGCTACGTGCTCCTCCGCGAATCGATGCTGGATTCCGTCCTGGTGGCCCGCGACCGCTACCTGCGCAGGGACACCGGGCTGATGTTCCCCTCCCACGCCACGGTGCTGATCGCCCCCATCTCGGACGAGTCCCGCCGGACCGAACGCCTGGCGGACTACGAGGACAGCATGGCCGACTGGCACGACTTTGTCGACCAGACCTACGAAGACTACGGAGGGGTCGATTACTCCGTCCTCACCCGGGATTTCGACCGGGAGCAGAAGGAGTGGTACCTTACCCAGGGCGAGTGGAGAGAGCTGGGGCGATCGCACATGGTGGCGGAGCCCCAGGTGCTCAAGACGCTGGACCTAACGACCTGCACCCACGAGGACACCAGGGGGATCTTTTCCGAAAACAGCGGCAGCGGCAGCCACGGCAACGTGGACACGAATGCCTTTGACTTTGTCATCGATCCGAAAGGGCCCTACAACAACGGTTCCGGTGGTATCACCCTTGCCGTCTCGGGCCTCGCGGTTTGGTTCACCACCGACTTTCGGTCGCGGACGGACCCCCTCGCTTCAAGGGAGGCCCCGGTCCTGTCCACCCCCGTCAAACTGGACACCGGCCCCGAGCAGGGCTACACGCACTGGGGGCAGCAGGCCTTTTACTTCAAGGACCCGGTCCTGGTTCCGAACGACGAAGCGGGCACGCACACCACCTACCGTTTGAAGGGGAGCCTCGAGATGTTTCGGGCCAGAGACAACACTCGCATGTACAAGTGCCGGATCAAGCACAGCGGAGAGGAAACCGAAAACGAGACGGCGGAGGTGATCGGAAAGACCCGGCTGGTGGAAGCCGTCTATTCGGTGCCCTGAGGGGAGGAACCGGCCCGAAAACAAGCCTTGGTACAAGCGGCTTTCGTCCACGGGGGCAACCACTGGGGTCTGGGTCGGTGCGTCTCGGGTTTCTTTTTGGAACGAGAAAAAGACCACCATTGCGATTCCTAATTCTGCGTACTGTAGCATTTTTTAACTATTTTTTTGTGTGTTTACTGTTTCCGCTGCTGTTGTTGCGAAGGCCGATGGTGTCGCCACCATGGTTTGTTTGTCGAAATGCCAAAAAAACAAAGAGAATGGATCGTGAGATTTCCCGCTTTCCCGACTTGGTTGCTGATTGTTCTCGTTCTTCTTCGACATCGTCATTGGTTGTGCTCCTATGCATAGAAAGCCATTCTTCCGGTGCCAGCAATATTCTCGACCAAATATTTTGCAGAAAACGGTCGTTCTTGCGTGGAACCACAACAAGCCGGCCGTGTGATCGGTTAAGGCGTTTTTAGATTCCTCCGCCTCCACCGTCGAACAACGCCACGGGAGCTTTCGGTGTGGTTTTGGTGTTGTTTTGTGGGGTTCTTCACCCATTGGTTCCTGCTGCGGAGAGGAGGCGGTGACCGAAAGGGATTCGAAACACCCCGATTCGTTGGTTCGTCTCGTCTCGTCTCGTCTCGTCCCGCCCTGGCGGGCCGCGCCACGACGGTTGTGCACCCGACGCGGGGGTTTCCAAACCGTCCCGGCGATGCCGATGGCCCTGGTAGCCGGGACTGCGCGCAACGACACTGTTGTCGATGTTGTTGTTGTTGTTTCGTGTCATTTTGCGCCGCGTTTCGTTTTTGGTTCGTTGCGATCCGGTCTTTGCTTGCTAGGAAAAGAAGGAAAACCACTTTTTGGTTCGTTTGGTTCGTTTGGTCCGTCCGTTTCGTTTGGCCTCGATTCCGGTTTCGGTTTCGGTTCGGTCCTTGGTCGAAACCTTCGAGGAAGAAAAAACAGAAACAGAACCGGCAAAGCCATCTGCCCATTGGTCCGTGCCCTCCTCTTCGGCCGCTTCCCCCACCGCTAGCTCGAATTCCCTCGAAACGGTGGTCGCGCTCTCGAGGCTCACCCCCGCGCTCGGCTTGCGCACGGGCGGCACCAGAACCCGCATCGACCGGAGGCTCGACCGGATCTCTCTGCTGCCCCAGGCGGAACGGCCCATCGGTTCGTGGTGGTCTTCTTCGTCCTCGTCTTCGTCCTCCGCGCCCCGGAGGCATTCGGTCGGCTCGAGGCTCGCATCGTCGTCGTCCTCGTACTCGTCGTCGTCCTCGTTGGTGCTTGTGTCGTCGTTCGTGTTCTTCTTGCGCAAGACCGGCCCGTCCTCGACAATGGCCGGAAGATCCCCGGATGGAAAGGAGTCGATTGCATCCGTCCCGCGCTGGTGATTGGCTTCGGGCGAGCTGTCCTTGAGAATCCCCACCACCCTGGGCGCTTCGGTTTCGGTTTCGGTGATGGTCTTGCGTTCGAATTCGCGTTCGAATTCGCGTTCGCCGCCGTCCTCCTTCCCGGCAGCGGCGTCCGCAAGCAGCAGCTCCGGGTCGACATCGCTTTCCGGCGCGAAAATGGTGTCCCGGCGTTCCACGCAGGGGGGAGGACGCATGGACCGCGAGGTGGATTTCCAGGCCGATCTCTGGGAGGGATCGTCCTGGGCGGAGGCAAAACGAATCCGAAACGACCTGGGCTTGGGATCGGGCGATGATGCCGTTGTCGCTGTATCTGTCGCTGTATCCGTATCTGTTGCGTTCGAAGTCATGCCGACAGTAGTCTTCTTGTTTCTGTTTCTGTTTCTGTTCTTGTTTTTGTTTTTTTGGTCTGTGTTTACTCTTTTGGATTGGAGGGTGCTTTCCGCGTCTGGTTGCGAAGCACTGCGCTTTGTGTTTGGGTGGCGATGGTTCCTTTTGTTTCGCTCGTGCGTTCTCAAAGTCGTTCTTAAAAAGTTGTGATGATTGTCACGGAAACCGAAACGTTCCTACTGTATTGCATGGTACCGTACGATACTTTACAATACTCCTACCTGAGAGGATGCAGAAATTATTAACGCTCACCATAGGCGCCGAATATGGTCCATTAGATATCTCGCGCTGCGACTAGCAAGCACTGTTATGGCTAAGACACGAAACTGGAACACGCACCATACGCCCACGTACAAATCTTCGTGAAGACCTGTAGCGAATTCCGACCGCCGAGAACCTTCCTCCAGCAAACCTTCACGAGGTACGGTTGTAGGACGTACGTGGTCCGTCCGTTATGGTATGGGACATGGCGGATCTTTCGGCTGCATAGGCGAGTGTTACGCATAAATGAATACGAAGTACTAGAAGTACAGTAACTTACAAGCACAGCTTGATTACGGCTGCGTTGTTTAACGGTTTAAAACAAATCAGTTTTATCCAGGTTCTGTGTATTTTTTTAACGGGATTCACACTCTCATGTCGGAGCCTATTCATTTATCGCCCAATAACCCTAACTATTAACTATCGATGTATATGTTCCATGTACGTACTGTATGTTACTATGATATGATATGACATGACATGATATGATATTGCACCAATGCTGCCTTCAGGCGACACGTGGTTAACTGGATAGTAAGTATTGTAACCACTTTGTCGAATAAACCCGATTTGCTCTTATAATACATACCGTACATACCTCTAGAGAGTATGATAATGATGGAGAGTCTGAATCTCTGTTTCCCGTGACAAGTACACGTACGAAAACAAAGCACAGAAGGGCGTATGCTCTCGTCTCCGAAATCAAACGCACAGCTGCTCTACTACGGTACGAGTAGGACCTGATGGAGTCGCCCTTTCTTCGAAACAGAAAGTTTACGTCAAAAACATACAGTACGGTATCGTACCGTACTGCAGGGAGAGTTACCGCTGCGCACTTTTTCAATGTCTATCTGTTCACATAACAATGAAAATATACTGTAACGATGCACGTATTCAATTTTGGGCATATAAAATGCCGATCATAAAAACTTAAGTAAGTCACTGATAAAATATAATATTGCGATAATAAAATTTTATGAAGCACACAATAAATTTTATTAAGGGTCCCTCATGATAAACTCAAGTAGCGCAATATTAAAGTTTTTTCATGTCCTACTGATAAACAATTACTGACCCATTTTTTTTAATAAGACTTACCACGTACTTTGCTGGTAGTTAGTTTATTATAAAGAGAACCTCATTAAGATGCCCCTCTGGTTCGGTGGGACGTAGGCACTTGAAAAGGTATTTTGATAGTATTGATATTTTGATACCAATAAGTATCCCGTTGATCGTAAGGGAGTGACCATTCGGTTCGGTTTTCGCCTTTTGTACCGGTATGTCAGAAGAAGCAAATTGTACACAAATCACGACAGGTCAAACCACATCGGAGCAGAACGGCACAAAAAACACAACGAGCCTTACTCCCTCCAAACCAAACTACACAACACACATCCACGCCACGAAACATTCGGCCATGAAGCCCTTTCTGCCATTCCTGGGCCTGCTGGCAGCCGCCGTTCCCGTTTCGGCGTCCGTCGAGGTGGAAGGTTTTTTGTGCGGGACCCCGGGAATTAACGGCGGCAGGCCACTCTCGGGGTCTTACGGCATGGGCGATGAATTCCAGATCTGCGTCGTTCCAACGAGCCCGGGGTTCTCCACGGTGGGCTTCCGGTCGGTGACCTGCTGGAGCGGGAGCGGAAGCGGCTACGAGCAGGTCCTCGTCGGCACCTCGGGGGAGCTCCCCCAGCCGTTCTCGGAAATCCGTCGATCGGTAGAGGGAGCCCGGTCCCTCGACGGCTCGAGGGTCGCCGGGCCGGACGCCATCGCGATCAGCGTATTCGCAACGGAAAGATTCTTCCCGAGCGACAGCGAAGTTGTTTTTCGGTGCACGGGTGAGGTGGAGCTCTCGTCCACGACTTTTGAACCGGAGGTGGTGGTGATGGAAAGCTTTTCCGTGGGCAGCGGGGGGCGCGGCTGACCGGCAACGACCGGGATGCGATCGAATGACCGAGGAAGAAGCGAGGGAAAGACGCGCGGCCTCGGTTGGAAGGAGAGGCGAACGAACCGCCACAGACCACCTCCCTTCAACCCCAAATTCAAACGCTTTGTAGGAAACAATCCCCGGTGAAAAGTCGTCTTCTGGAACCCATGCTGGGCATCGAACAGCGTTATACAGTCAAGGTGAACCACAAACTCATTACCTGCAACCAAGCAACCAGCTATGGACGTGTTGTTTGTCGGATACCAACAAGTAAACAAAAATTAGTAATAGTAGTGTACAGTACATGTTGTAGTATAAAAATAGTGAGGCAAATTCTTCGAAAACTTTGTCCTTCTAGAGGTAGGTACATATGAATTATACATAATTAAATTGGACTATGTACGTACGTACGTACGTACGTACGACTTACGCAGTTAGTACGATTAAGATGTGCAGTAGACAACTCTTCTGCAAGACTTCGTCATCGTTTTCGGATCAGTCAGCAAACAACACACAAGTCTACGATACGAAATCTTCCCGGTGCAAGAGAGTCTCTTACGAGTTTTACAGGATTTTCTACGAACCTACCGTACTGTGTAACGGTGGGGTTTTGGATCCGACAAAACAGCAGGTTCTCGAAAACACATGACAGCTGCATTGACTGCACTATCAAACAGCGCAACACCACACAACAAGAATGAAATTTCCATCCCGACCGGTTCTTCTAGGAGTCGTTGCCGCCGCTTCCTCCGCCGCCGCCTTTTGCCCCCGCACCACATCCGCACACGCCGTCTCCAGCGCTGCCACCAGCACCACCAAGAGAGGGATGATCGCCAACATCCTTGACCTCCTGGCCGGCGGGGGCTTCGACCCCGAGATGGTGAGCCCCTCCGAGGCCCTCCCGGGACGCACCCAGAAAATGCCCAACATCGACGGCCTCCGGCACTACGTCCTCGGGAACAAGCTCGAGGAGGTTCCCGAGGGACATAAGGTCGCCGTCTTTGCCAACGGGTGCTTCTGGGGCAGCGAGAAGGGCATCTGGCGCCTCCCCGGGGACGGCATCCACAGCACCGCCGTCGGATACTGCGCCGGCTTCACACCCAACCCCACCTACGAGGAGGCCTGCAGCGGCCGCACCGGCCACACGGAGGGCGTCCGGGTCGTCTACGATCCCGACAAGATCGCCTTTGTCGACATTTTGAGGTGGTTCTGGGAGGCCCACGACCCCTGCTCGGGGATGGGACAGGGAAACGACCGGGGCACCCAGTACCGATCGGGATTTTACTACTTTGACGACGAGCAAAAGGCCCTCATCGAGGCCTCCAAGGCCGCCTACGAGGCGAAGCTCGGCGGGGAACGGCCGATCACGACGGAAATTGCCTCCGCGGACGACTACGAAAAGTACGGCGGGCTCTGGTTCTTCGGGGAGGCCTACCACCAGCAGTACCTGGCCAAGCCCGGCGCCCGGCCCTACTGCTCGGCCCAACCCCAGGGCGTGTCCGTCCCGGACTTTGACGAGTGGAACCCCTTTGCCGGAAACGCCGACCTGACGGAGAAGCACCGCCCGAAGCTCCCCGAGTCCTTCTGGGCCAAGCACGCGCCCAAGAGGGGCTGCAGCGTGGTGTCGGAACCAAACGAACCGATCCTCGAGTCGTCGTACTTGTAAGCAACCGCGATGGACCCCGGTCCGATTGTAGAATACTAGTAGTAAGCAAACACAGTAAGAATAAAAATGTACGAACCATCCGATGCGATTCATTCCTCCGATCGATCGACAAAACTGCGTTGATTTTAGGGAAAACTGAACATGACAACTAACGAAAACGGGTTGAACCGAACGGGAATCAAATGAATTCGAATAGATGTAATCCATTGAAGACAAATAGCATCAAGAAAATGTGTACAGATACATTGCAAGCATCATTCACGAGTTTTTCTCCCAGAAGTTTTACTTTTGTCTAGTGCTTTCAAGTTACAGTGCAGATGCAGTTATTTGAGATTAGCACTTCCATTGTTCACGGTGTTGCTTGACTGCATTTTGATTGAATCATATCAGAGTATCTTTTTCCGCCATGGTTTTGCATATTCATGACAGCATGTTTACGTACTTGCACTACTACCGTAATACAAAAAGTACAGTTCGTACGTTCGTAACACCGTACTGTATCAACCGGTAGTATCTATCGTTCGAAACCAAGGTTTGCTGGGATACCGGTACGTTGACGATTTACGATTGACTTCTTCGACTCCCTTCTGTTCATTGCTTGAAAAATTCTCGAATTTAGTCGATTCAATCGAATATCGTGAATGACTTTTACACGTGTAGGTTTGATTTCGTACGTCATAACTCCACGTAGAGGCAGGATGCATCGTAGGTTTCAATAGAATGCCTATCAATGCGGATGATGTCCATTAAGAACAAATAAGCTGCACTATGACGAAAAGACACGCGGCACCTCACGTGAATCGGAGGCAACAGTCCCCCCTGTATCTAACATACCGGTACGATGCGAATTCGTACTCGTACTTCTAAGTACGGGTAACAGAAACCTAGGGACTCTAGAATCTTCCTCGTCGATCGATCGATCGATCGATCGATTGGATAGCGGCTGCTTTGGAGAGCTACATTACGTTCCGTATTCTTACGATCAGTTGCCGGCACAACAGGCGATAGATAGAAACCGTCACCGAAACCGAAATCATTTTTGTCAGCAGCAATATGAAGGCCTTTATCGGAATTTTGTGGGCACTGATGAGCCTTGCGGTGGCCGTTGCCTCCCAGCAATACTACGACGACTACGGGGACGACAACGCCGCGGCTGGCGGAGACTACTACCAGCAACAGGACTACGGCGGTGATTACGGAGATTACTACGCCGAGGACGGCGGCGACGGAGCCGGGGGAGATACCCTATACTCCGATTACGCCAAGCACCAGGAGGAAAAGGCTATGGGAGTCAAGGGCGGATTGTAAGTAACGAACGAACGAACGAACGAACAAACCAAACGAAAACAGCAAGTGCAATATGATCATCAAAGCGTGAAAGTTCTCCAGAGGAGATTGAGAGAAATAATAGAATACGTGAGGGACAGTAACAATATCAGATTCGGGTGTTGTGGGCTTGTTGTGATGTTTTGTACACATGGCATAAGGCGGGAATCCTGCATGATTGTACCGTTTCGGTTTGAGACAGGACCGTGACCATCTATATGGAAGGATTGAATCAGAGCGGTTTGGACATTCAAGCACATCACTCAAAATTGGTGGAGGGGCAAGGTGGAGGAACAGCAAATGGATGGATGGATTCTGATCGGTTATTCGGTCGGTGTGTAATAAGAAGGAAAGAAACAATTTTGTTTCGTGAGATGACATCATACGCAGCAACAGATAGTATCCAACCGACAAAAACTTGTGCCTTGCATGGTATTCTATTCTACTGCAGCCCGATGAATTCCGCTATCTTGCTCTCTTTCTCCGGAGCACAAATCAATCTCCGGAAAAAGAACCTCACGCAAACGACCACACGAGATATGTTTTTCGTTTCGATAGTGCAGCTGCACGCTGTTCAAAAATAGCTTTCGTTTCTCTTTCGAGAAAACTCATTCGTCTCACATCGCCCTTTTTTTTTTTCTTTCTTTCTTGTTTACTTTGGTACATTCGATGCCATGAATTCCAATTTTTGAAACGGCAACAAAACCAACTCAATCGCAATTTGGATGAATCCTCAATGCAATCCACGGAACTCAACGCAACCATAAACGCAACTGCAACCATATTATAGAAATCCTATGTTGAAAAACGCTGCGTATGGCGCCGCCGGCTGGTTCGTCGGGGCCAAGTTCCACTCCCGTCGCGCCGTCAAAAAGGCCACTGTGCTGGCGGGCAAGCAACAACAAAAACTCTACGAGCGATACGTCAAAGACGTCTCCGCCCTCCAGCTGCAGAACGCCCAGCTCCAGGAATACATCCAGCAGACTACCATCCAGCAGCTCACGGAAGAATTCCTCCAGGCCGATACCAATAACGACCGCAAGGTCTCCCGGCTGGAATTCGAGCGGTACAAGGCCGATTACCTCAAGAAGCACCCCGAGGCAGATCCCAGCATGTTTCCCAGGTTCGAGGATTTTGATCCCGACCACAACGGAATGGTCACCCTCCAAGAGCACGAGGATTACTACCGCCAACAGGGCATGATTGCGTAAATTAAAGAACCGGACAGTACTGCGCAGTAATATGGAGTAAAACAATTATAATAGCAAGCAGATGTGCCTTAGCTACAATAGAAAAACCGCTATCACCCCCACTGTTGATCATATTCTTTCGTTGGTATTGCTAATAGCAAAAAGAACAAATTATTCTAGCAAAATGGACTGAAAAAAGGGATTGTTCTTTCTGGATTAAAATATTGATGGGTTCTGTCGTCGTGTCGCCAGCTAATCCTTCGTAGTTTGCTCACCGGGGCACAAAAGAAAGAGAGGCTCTAAAATGCAAGAAGCGCAATAAAGAAATGAGAAGCGTGTATTCTACGTAATGTCGTCATGCATGCTTGTCTTTGAAGGTCTTGAATGCAACTGTTCTCCCATTTGCCGGCATTGATGCTTCTCTGTGTCCTTGAAGGTTTTGGACCTATCGCACGATAGAGCTTTCGACTTGGGTGTTTTGGGATGGGATATTCCTAGGTTCTACTATACTAAGATTGCATAGGATTTCGAGTAGCAAAAAGCTGAATGGCTTGCCGTCCTTTCTCCCCCCTCCCCCCTTCCGTACAGACTCGACCTAATCCAAATGATTTTTCGCACTATTACGCAATCGGCCTACTCTCCGTCTTTCTCACGCAGCAGCCGTAGAACAAGCCACGTCCACACGGCAACCAGCACTAGAATCAGACACACAACCGTGTAAACCCCACAGCTCGGTCGGAACCTCTTCTCCTTGTCGAAACACCGAATGTCCAGGCAATCATTGGTTGTCACCTTGAAGAACAAGGACGACTTCTGGGTCGTCAGCGTGGACTGCTCGTTGTTGCTTTTGCTGTTGCTGCTTTCCCCACTGTTGCCATCGATGCCACGATCGAATCCATTTTCCTCGTCCTCGCCCTCGCCCTCCCGGTGCTCCTCGTGCACCACTTCGTACGATATGGACGTTTGGGAGGATAGGTCGTCGCCGTCTGCCTCCTGGATAGATGGCCGATACCTCGACGACGACGCGACAGAGACCGGTTCCAGTTGTTTTTTCTTCTGTGTTCTGGAGGATATTGTGTAGGGTATGGTGCGCTTCTCGCACTCTGCGTCGCTGTTCTGATTTGTGTCTACCTGATCGAGGGCAGCATTGTCGTTGAGGGCTCGGTGGATGTTGCTCGGAACGTTGGATCTCGCCGTAGACAGGGATGGGTTCTGTTCCACCTCACAGAATTCCTCGACCGTGTATTCCTCGTTTTCGGTGATTATTTCGTCGTCTTCGGTGTCCAGAGGTTCCTTCGGTGGTTTCTCCTCTTTGAAAAACGACTCGTCGTACACCGTATACTCCTCGTCGATACCTTCGATGCCCAACTCCTCGAGGTCGATATCATCGATCTCGATGTCTTCGTAGTCCCCGTCACCGTCGTCGTCCATGTCCTCGATGAACTCCTCCAGGAATGCATCGTTCTCGTCTGCAATGTTCTTCTCGGCGACAGGGGTAGAAATGGCGTTGGGAATCGTTAGGGCGCTCACGGGCTTCGCGATTTCCCTGTCCACCGTTAGGGTGGCACTGCCGCTAGAAGCGTTGCCTATGTGGTTGTCGAGACTGTTTTTGTTGCTGCTGTTGTCCGAGTATCCGTATGCTTTCTCCACCCCTTCCGAAGCGTGGTTGTGTTCGGCTATTCCTGTAGGCTTCTTCCGCGATTTTTGCTTCCGTGTTTGGTGGTTTATTGACTCTGGAAGGATGGGCACGTAGAGCCGCTGCTGTTTCCGCTGCGCTTCGGTCTGCTCGTTTCGTTTCTTCTCGGCGGCCCGGATTTGTTTCTGCGACGGGGGGTAGGGTGAGACATAGGTGTCATCGTTCTGGTGCTGGTGAAACTTTTTCCGGTAGCTGCTGCCCGTTTCTCGGCTTCCTCTGCCCTTGGCGGCGCTGTTTTCTCCCGCCAGAAGCTGGTGCAGCGCTGATTTCTGCGTGGTTTTCTTGTAAAAGTTCGAAGGGACCCAGTCGTTTCCGGACGAGAATCCCATCTCGTCGAGGTGCTTCTCGTCGCCACGTATTCTTCGGCTGTTTTTCGGATCGCTGTGCTGCCAGGACTTCTTGGGGGCTGCACTGTCCCGGATTTCAATGCCCCGGTCGGAGAGCCCGAGCTTCGGTTTGGGATCTCTTCTGTTTTTCTGGAGCTGGTGGACTTCACGGTACGGGTTGAGTTCCAGCTCGGGCTTCGGTGGGCTCCACGACGTGTGGTGCGCCTGGCTCGGGTCGTGTTTGTGTGAGCGCAAGCGCCCCACCTCATCCGATAAAGACGAGCAATCGTCCGTGTGGGTTGTTACATCGTCGTCGTTCCTCTGCTGGCGATAGCTAGAATGCTGTTGTTCAAGGTAGCGTTTCCTCGCCCGAAGGCTCTTGCTGCTATTGCCTGCCGCCTTGTTTGATTTCCCGAAAGAAATGCTGTTCGGAACATTAGCGTCGGTCCCTTGTGCGGGGGGATCGGAACCTCTCCGTCGGTGGCCGCGACTGTCGTTGTGATTGCTGCTGGTGGTTCCGGCTGTTCCTGCCCCTCTCGACATGCCATTCGGAATATTTTTGCTAGCGCCCATGATTGTAGTATCGACCTCGTTTCATCGGTTGTTGGTTGGCTCTTAGAAAAACACGGGATATAGCTTGCGACAACTCGATGGCGTTTTCGTTGTTTGCGGTGTTGTGCTTTTGGTTTGGTGCTGCATAGTTCGGACACTAACGAATCGATGAATTTTGACATACCTCCGGTACCGTAGGCTTTTGTCCTTTCACTGCAGTATCGTGATTTGTACCCAATATTCCTAGTTCTGTTTAATGTTTCATTTTCTTAAGAAGTTCCTTGATGGCGTGTGTTAAATGTTACGATCGAGTGCTTTCATGTTTAACGCACATACAGTAAATATCTGTAAGTGAAACGGAGTACACAACATACTGCATATGCGTTGAAAGACCAGTAAATCGAGATGGAATTTCTTTTTGCGTACATTTATGTTTCATGAAAGTACGTACCGTACGTACGTACGAGTTGCTTCATACTAGTGTCATTATTTTCAATATCATTATTTTCAACTACGTAGCACGAAGGAGGATAGTACGATTCTACAGATACTTTAATTATTTGTAGTACGTATGAGGTGGTACCCTGGTTTACTCGTCCGCGTTTCGGATCTTTTATCGAAATCTTTTATCGAAACAATAGAATACACTCCTACATCCTACTCTACCGGACGGTAGTGTATGGACCATAAACGGCATCAGGATTGCTATCTTTTGAATAAAGCACTACGCTGAAAGTGTTGGATACTGACCGACGCGCTCCATATTTTACCGCAGCATCGACAATATGCCGAAAAGAAAATCATCCTCCGTCAAGGATGCTTTGTCGGCTCTCACCGATGTTCTTTCGGAACGGGAAAAGGCTCTGGAAGAAGGCGAAGAAAAGCTTCGAAGAGAACGAGAAGCACTCGAAGCACTCGAAGCGGAGAAAGCTTCTTTTTACGGCGAAACCAAACCTAGCGACGTTCTCCATCTCAACGTCGGTGGTACCAAAACAAGTGTGCTTAGAAGAACCCTCACTTCTGTTCCCGGTAGTATGCTGGCCGCAAGATTCTCGGGACGATGGGACGACAGCTTGGAAAAAGACAAAGACGGTCATTTTTTCATTGAACAAAATTTCGAAACGTTCGAAATAATGCTCAAGTACCTCCGAAACAAGGCCAATGGAACCGAAAAGTATAGTATTGCGTCACCGTCTTTGCGTAGGGAACAAAAACAAGATTTTTATCGAATGCTTCACTATTTCGGGATGACAGACGGCATTTACCCTACGAAGCTGATGATGAAAACAGTACCCAAGATTGAAGATGCGGTTGAAATCATCGGTACTAAAAAGGTTATTGCAAAAGAGTTCACCACGTTTCAGATGGCTCCGGATGGACACAGCAGGCGCGTAAAAGGATTCGAAATAAGACTTGGTACCACCCAGCGCATCCAAGTGGGTTGGTCATATAAGAATGATGATGTTATGGAGAAAAGTGTCGGACATTATGAGGGTTCTTTTGCCCTTGACCTAACGGGTAGCTCGTTTCTAGTAGGCGGAGGAGCCAAAAGACTCTCTTATATCGAACACCCCGAGGGAACTGTTGTACGTTCAGAAAATTTCGGAAGAACTTGGTATGTGAATGGGGAACTCTTGACTGTGAATGCTAGTAATGACCAAGTCGAAAAGATATGGCGGCGGTATTGGAGTAACCTTGAAAGTTTGAGGCCACTTATTTCCATTGAAGGAGAAGTGGAGGTTACTTCGGTGGAATTAGTGGATTGACACAGCCAATACGGATAGTGAAATTTCTTTAATATAGTGACTTTTGAATCTATAGATGTACGTCACAAAAATTGTTTTACTTTAGTTTTAGATGAACTCGGTACCGATTCGATGTTAACTTTGGATGGCGGTTTGTTTCTACGAAATGTACACAGGCACCGTATCGCGTTGAATGGATGAATGCATGATTTTGATGCCATGCCATCTCCGTGACAAAGGTAGCCTTTCGAAAAGCTCAGTCTGAGATCAGAAAAACACAAGAGAAGCCTGTCGCTACCCACCCGAACCGAGCGGAAACGTCCGCAAGAACCCTTGGCCTGTCGATGCGATTAGCCGCCGAATAACAGCGAGCGCCAGTTTCGGCTTAGTGATACATACCTTGCCTTCATACAGTCTTCGGCATGCAACCTGCTGCATCAATCCTCATCCTTTCGTGCGTGATTCGTTCCAAGAGGAAAAAGGTAGTCTTTCATCCTTCGTGCGTGCAAACCTACGAGCGTTGATCCGTGGAGTTGTTCCATCCTGGTGGTCCCAACATCTGTTCCCAGTGAAATCCGAGCCGTGAGCTACGGTAAAAGTTAACGAATTGTAGGCGACAAGGCTTGTTTCCCGGCTTCGTTCCCTTCGATGCTCCAAAACGCAAGACGGCATCCCCCCAACCCGTCGTGTTGTGCCGTGTTTTGTCGTGTCGTGTTGGGTTTCGCCCGTTTCCTCGATTTCGCCCCCGTCCAACTGTTTGGGCGTCCGTTTGCCTTCCTCTCCGGCTCGCTCAATTCCTCGTTCGACCTCAAAAGGGCTTCGAGCCCAGCATCCCGGCCATCACACCCGAGATCGACCCGTACACGCCAAAGGCCAGGACCGGCGGGGACACCCCGTACCGGTAGGCGTGGGCCGGGGAGACCAGGGGGATCCCCAGCCGGCCCGTGGCGACCCCCAGAAAGCCAATCGTTCCGCCGCTCAGAATGTTGTGCCAGAGGCTGGGCCGCCCGTGGATCGCCTCCATGGGGCACTGGATGGCGTGGTAGCAATAGATTCCGCCAAAGTACGTGCCTGTGTTTTTTTTGCGGTGGTGGTGTGCGGTGATCGATCGTTTGTTTTTTAGGGGAATGGGGGGGGGGGGGCAACGGAGCGGAAACACGGCACGGTCGGTACACAGCGCATGTGAGTTCGGATGCCGTGTGCGATATCGTGTGCGATATCGTGTGATAACGTGTTCCGTGGTTCAACAAATGCAGAAAACGGTGCACACCCGATTGACAACAGCAGCGGCATCGTTAAAAAAGGAAGCAACGAGACAACGCATCACAAACACGAATGGCGTCTTACCTAGCGACCTAGGATTCATGACATTCTGTAAAGGAACGCCCTGAAAGATGTCGATGGCCGAAAAGAGGATTGTGGCGACGGCACTCGACTGGATCGGGTAAGTAAGGCATCGTTTCTGGTAGGCCCAGGATTTCGTGTCGACGTAAAAGTACATTGTGCAGAGGAGGTGCGATAGATGCTTCTGTTTCTATGTTGGTTGTGTTGTGAGCTTCGTGGACAGATGTGAACATGAAGGCGTTCGTTCGTACGGTCCTGGTTGACGATTGTGCTGCGTCGAAAACGACAGGAGTGCCCAGGTTTTGCGTCTCTACTGTACAAGCGCCTGACAGCTGCTTCGTACCGTACCGTACGACTTCATTTTGTGCATTAAGTGCTTGTACCAGTTAAATTAAATCGTCACAGAAAACTGTCGGCATGCGCCCTCGCTATCATTGTATGGTATGTACGTACGTACGTACGTATGTACGTACCATCTTCAATCTTCACTCTTTTTTCTTTCATTACCGTCCAATTGGTACTGTACTGTACTGTGTACTGTACGTAGATCGTAGATTCATGACGCCACGTCCATAGGTATGTTCATACCCGAACACATGTACATAGATATGTGCCTACGTTCTACGTTCCTACCTTAGGGTCCACGATTGGGATTCACTCTTTTCAATCACTCATCCATCAAGAATGCCACACAACAAACTGTGCGCACCAATGGAATGTTCTCGATCGCGTAGCAACAATAGCCCCACGAGCCGATCGTGCCAATTCGCGGAAAATAGTACGACTCTGTCTCACCCCTCGACGAATCCATCCGAGACACCGGAAGACCCAACGTCTCGAACTGTCACACCCTGGCAACCCAACGCCACATACTCGCGACTTTCGGTGCGATCCCGACCCGAGTACGAAGATGCGACGAGCACTTCCCATTCCAGCAGCCGGTTGCCGAAAAACATCGAATCGGTGTGTATCGAATATTGTTGATTCGTTTCCGTTTGACATTTTCAAGTGTGTTTCCCTCGATCGAGGCCGTTACTGTTTCTGTTGCTGTTACGATTACTGTTACTGTTACACCATCCACTATCTACCTTGCTTCTGGCATCATCAAAAAGCAGTTAAAACAGTTGGAAGCACAAGTATTCATTGCTTCATACCGCACCGACAGAGACGAGGTCACGTCGAACCATATCCAGAAAGACAGAAACCTAGATAGATCATCGACTCGATATACCTACTAGCCAAGCGCCCGACTCCTAGCCAGCATGAGAACCATTGTTCCTAACCTTGGTGGCGGGAACAACGCATCATCTCTACAGAAACCACGGAGTGGCAGCAAGTCCCAGAGCAAATCTGCCTCGATGGACTCGCACATGAGGAGTTTCAGCGGCCGAACCCCCACGGAAGCGGAACTCATGAACCCTCCGGGAAGCCCTCCGCGGGAGCCGGTGGATCGCGACGGCACGGGCAGCACCATGCGGAGTACCCCGGAGCGAAAGGGGGCCAGGACGCCCAACGGCGGGTACGAAAGCGACGACATGGAGGAGGACACCTACTACTACGTCGAGGAATCTCCAAAGGCGAATCGCCTTCCGTCCCCCGCTGCCAAGGTGACCAAGAGCGTCACGTATTCCACAAAATACAACGATCCCGACCAGCAGCTGAGCCTGGTCGATCTTCCCACCTCGATGCCCTCCTCGGGGAAGCTCCAAAACAAGGAAGAGCCGGTGGCGGACACGCTTCCCCTCTCCCCCAAACAAGGCACGCTGCCCGAACACCAGGCCAAGGACGACTACTACGAGGTCGAGGCGTCCCCGGACGTCCGCCGGTATTCGTCCCCCCCCGCAAAGTTCACCAAGAGCGTCACCTACTCTACCAAGTACGCTCGCGATCCATTGGAAGGCCTGCCACGGGAGGAGGAGATCCACACCCAAAACGAAATCACCGTGGCCAGCGCAAGCATGTCCGTGGTCGACCTCCCCCAGTCCATGGCCTCGGTGGCCGATTCGCTCAGCGCCGCGCGGTACGACTCGCCGCCGGTCAAGGGGTCCAACAGCGTGACATTTTCCACAAAATTCGCGAGGGACCCGACCGCGGCCGGGAGCCAGCAACCCCACGAGAGGCGCCTCGACACGACGCTGGAAACGGCGGAAAACTCCTCCCCCGAAACCAGGGGTTCCGGCAGCCCCGACTCGTACCACTACTACTCCGGTGACAGCGGGAGCTCGAGGAAGACCGATCCCGAGGCCCACCGGATCGTCAAGCGGGTCCCGTCGAACGAGGAATACATCCTGGAGGAAGACCCCCCGGACAGCGGCCGCCTGCCGGAGGACGGCTACGACATCGACGAGGGCGACCAGTACTACGACGTTCCGGATTCCCCCCGTGCCAGCGCCGGCGAGTTGTACTCGAACCTGTCGTCGTCGGCAACGACGAACCGCCCGACGAGCCGGGTGGCCAGCTACAACGCCAGCAAGCACGCCAAGGAGGTCATGGGGGAGAACTATCCCCCCCGGTCGAAGAGATCCGGCTCGATGAACTTCAAGCCGGTGTCGAGCTCTTCCAGCTCACACGCCGCCTCGAGCTCGCTTTTGTACTCGAGCGGGTCGGGTGCCACGATGATGAACAGCGCCGGAACCCCCACCGTCAGTGCCAGCGACAGCAACCGGCACCGGCTCTATTTTACGTCTCTGAAGGGAGACACGGACAGCAGCCACAGCGKGTGGACCGAGCGGCGCAAGAAGGGATTGTTTGGGCGTTTCGGCAAGCAGCAGCAGCAGCAACAGCAACGACAACAAAACCAGTACCTGAACCAGCTTTCGAGCGGCCCCGAGGTTACCGGCGGCGGAGGCGGTGGTCCGATGGACCCAGACGGCCAGGTCAACGAGGAAGACAACTATTCCACACACGGAGAAAGCTTAGCTCCCACCCCCGACGACGACACCGCGTTCCAAAGCACCGAACAACTCGGTGATTCGGAGATGGAGGGAACGTCCTCGCCGCCCTCCCGAAGCAGCCCGGCCAGCCCGGATAACGGATCAAACGACGAAAAGAGCAAGGAATCCGGGGAGTCTGCGTCCGCTGGGACACCCCCGCAGCCCAAACCCAAGCACTCAAAGTTTCCTTCGATTCCGGTGCTCGTGTTTGCATCCGTTGTGGTGGTGTTGTGTGTGGGCACGCTGGCCGGTGGTCTGACGTATTACCTATGGGACAAGAAGAGCCTGGACCCGATTCGTCCGCCGACGCAGGCACCGGTTCCGGGGGAATACGGTCCACCCCCTCCCACAGTTCACGCTACCGGTGGTGACATGCCTCCCATCGATCCCTCCGTGCTTCCCAGCGATGCAACCCTCTTGCAATTGTTTGCCTTTGCCATTGGACAGGACTCGGTCGACAACTCCTCGTCCGCCGCAAAGGCAGCAGCCGACTGGATGCTCAACGAGGATCCCAGAAAGCAATCGATGCCTCGCACCAGCGCCGGATGGATCCAGCGGTATCTGCTTGTCTATACGTACTTTTCCACCACGGGAAACGGGGAGTCGACGTGGCTCTCCTGCAATCCGCCGTCGCACGGCGAGGAGGACGCCCGCAACAGCGACGAGTGCCGGTTTGCCTATCCGACGGAACTTCCCAACGGAGACGTCATTTTCGACCTGGTTCCCTCCTCCCGCTGGCTGAGCGGGACGGACGAGTGTCGGTGGGGCGGGGTGGCGTGCGGAAAAACCGTGATCGACGAGGCCTCGGGCACCTCGATGCGGGCGGTCACGTCCATCGTGCTGGCCCAGCAGCTGCTGAGGGGTTCGATCGTCACGGAGCTCACCGCGCTTCCCGAGCTGGAAATGCTGGATCTCTCCCACAACGGGCTGAGCGGCACCCTGAGCGAAAGCTTCCGGTCCCTGCAAACCCTCCGCCTGCAGTACAACGATCTCACCGGCACGATTCCCGTCAACTTTTTCGACGACCAGAGTGTCATGAAAGAACTCAACGTCGGATCCAACAACATGACCGGAACCATTCCCGGCCAGGTGGCCCAGGCTTCGCAAATGACCGGTCTCTACCTCTTCGACAACGGATTCACCGGCAGCATACCCATCCTGGGCGAGATGCCCCTGACGACCTTCCAGGCCCAAAACAACAGACTGAGCGGCATGCTGCCCTTTGACCTGCACGTTAGCGGAAAGTGGCCCGACACACTGACGACCTGGTGGGTCTTTGGCAACCAGCTGTCGGGACCCATCGGCGAAACCCTTGGCTACCTCTCCAGCCTGGAGGATTTCAGGGTGCAAGACAACCGGCTCACGGGCAGGATTCCCGAATCGATCGGAGACCTGCAGCGGCTCTTCCGCTTCGAGGTGAATTCGAACGCCCTCACGGGCACCGTTCCGGACGAAATCAGCGACCTGCCGGTGCTCCGGGACGTGCAGCTGCAGTTCAACGAGTTTAGAGGAGTGGTCCCCCCCGGCCTCTGTTTTCTGACCTCGATGGAAACCCTCGAGGCGGATTGCCTCGATATCGCGGTGGATGGATTCCTCTTCGAGGCACCCCCCAGAACCGAGTGTTACTGCTGCACGTCCTGCTGCGATCCCATTGCAAAAGAATGCGTCACGTACTGATGGACATCGGTGCAAGTCTTTTCCGGTTTGCAGCCACTACTAGGGAGTACTACAGTACGGTATGTAGTTGTTGACTCGGCTACACGCTAGTAGGTCCGATGTTCGCAAAACGAAGCAAAGCAAAGCAAAACAATTCTATTCTATTCTATCCTATCCTATACGTATGTAACATGTAAATCTTAATCAAAATTATCAAAATCAAAAGATCAATCCGTGCTGTCAACTTCCATACACAGTTTTGTTCTTTCTTCGTTCAAACGGCATACTTCCTCTTCTTGTCGTGAGAGAAAAGTCCATAGACAATTTACACCTAACCAAGGATGATCACTAAAGTTTGAAACGAATCAAGTGAACCAGAATGCTCTGCCTGCACTGCCAGTACTACTAGTTGCCAATCGCACCCGAAATGTGGCACCAATAGCAGAATGTACCGTACTAACGTCGTCACAAAATTTTAATCAAAACACATTTGTAGTTCGTAGTACTAGTAAGAATAGTACTTTTACTCGTAGTAGTCGTATGCGATGGATCGATTCATTCCCACCCGTTGCCTTGCAACCGACAATCGACTCCATCGACTAAAAACCAATCCCGGCCCCGCGATCCGGCACGAACCGGGGGATGCCATCGGAATTTTTTGTATGTGGTTCTACTCCCAACGGTCGACCAGCAAGGTTTCGCACCTAATTCTTTGTCCCCAACGAAGATGTTCCGGATTTTGTTAGGACGGAGGTGTTCTCCGAACGAGCCGGACCGCTCTTGCATACCTGCCGTTCGGCAGGAACCAGCGATTCGGTGGAGCCCCAAGATCCCGGTACGAAATGCACGCGGTGCTTGCCGATGTCCCTTCTCCGCGAGCAGATGTGACCGGGTTTGTGTCCCGGCAATTGTCTGTTGCGTGCAAAAAGACATTTTTGTTTGCGTTCTCTTCGATGCTACGACCCAAACTACCCGTCTCCATAGCATACTCGTACGACGAGTTCTCGTTGTCGCATCGTAAAGTACAGTACTCATACATACGGGATAGTCTCTCAGACAAAGATTCGGTGCCAGCTACCCGCCCGGTGCTGGGCTTCCTTCACATCCCGTATCGTACCGTACCGTACTACCCCCTTGGGTTTGACGCTTTTTCTGCCTCGAACCTCCTCGACGCAACTAAAACAAAAACAACGCTCTTGTACACATCCGAGTCAATTTCATCGTGCACTCGGCAACCCCACCCCGTCGATCGAGACGACGGAACGAAACAGATCAACACCGCACCTCACCGCAAGAAGAAGTGTGCCGGCCTCCACAAACAAGGGCGGAGACGGTGCAGAGAGACTTCTTTTTGTTCGAAACCAATCGAATCTTGAATGGGTTCTGTTCGGTAACGAGCAGGTAAGAGTAGTGTGTCACTAGAAACAGGATACGATACGATAAAATACGATACGATACCATACGATACGATAAAATACGATACGATACAAACCCAAACGCCACTATGGAAGAAGAAGAGGCGCCCGTGATCCCCCGGAGGCGGAGCAAGGCCCTCAAGAAGAAATCCAGCAAAAAGGCCTCCGGAGAAATGACCGACTCGGGCAGGAGCGAACGAAAACTGCTGAAGCAACAATCCAAGAGAATCTCGTCGAAAAAACTCGCAAAGGAAACTTTTCTCGATGACCGAAGCACCGAAGAGCCTCCCAAAAAGTCCAAGAAGAAGAAAAAGAACACGGGGGACGACAACGAAGACGAACAAGATGCCGAGCAGCGGCCCTCTCTCAAAAAGTCCAAGAAGAAAAAGAGCAGCAGGAGCAGCCTGGCGGGGGGAGAGAGCAGCCGCAACCTCAAGTCGAAAAAGAAGACCGGGAGCAGCAGCCGAAACCTCCTGGGCGGCGAGCCTTCCCCGGACGCTCCCAAAAAGAGCAAGAAGAAGACCAGGAGCAGCAAGTACACCGCGCTCCTCGAGGACGTGGAGGAAGACGACGAAGGAAGCGGCGGCGGATACGAACCCACGGCCCCACCGGGGACTCTCCAGCAGCAGCAGCAGCAGCAAGGGTCACCGCCGGAGGAGGACGCCCCCCGGTCCGCCATGGAACTGGTCGAGAGCGCCCTCGTGGGGTGCGTCGTTGCGGAAAAACCCGTCGACCGCGAGGCGGAAGAGCACGAGCGCGAGCAGCAGCGGAGGATCCAGGAGGAAGCCGCCAGCCGGGCGGCCGCCGGTGGAAGAACCTCCTTCGATCCCGATGCCTCCATGGGGTCTTTCGTGCCGGCATCCTCCCCCGGCAAAGGGTCCGCCCGCTCCTCGCTGTCCGGGAGCTCCTCCATGCGGTTCGATCCCTCCGCCTCGTCCGATTCGATGCGCTTTGGCCCCGGCGACCACGACAACGACAACTCGGTCTCGTCCTTTGTCGGGAACAACGTCTCCCGGTCGGAGGGGGGCTCGGAGCGGGACGTTTCGACCACCTTTCGCCGCAAGCCCAAGCTACCGGGCGGCAAGAAAAAGGCCCGGGAGAGCGCCAAGAGCCTCATGGGCAGCCTGAGGGGGGGCCAGGGCGTCCCGTTCTGGCAAAGCAGCCGAACCCTCTCGCGTCCCACGTTTTCGTCGGACGAAGACGAGGCCTTTGTGGTCGACGGCGACGGCGACTACGGAAGCGGGCACCGTCGCGAGAGCGGGTTTTCCGGGGACCGGCGCAGCCTGCTGGCAAGGGGAAGCCTCCCGCCCCCCCCCGCTCCCGGGCCGCCGCTGGTCGAAGGGGCCGCCCCCCCTTTGGAGGAAGACGAGAGGGAACGAGCCGCCGATCCTTCCTATCCCTTTCCCGCCTTTGGGGTCACCCTCAAGAAGAGCACCAGGGACCTCACCAGGGGACCGCCTTCCCCCCCGGGTCCCTTTGGCGTGAGGCTCAAGAAGAGCGACAGGCACCTGGTCAAGGAGGAAGAACCCCCGTCGGGTCCCTTTGGCGTCACGCTGAAAAGGAGCAAGAGGCACCTGACTGACGAGGAAGAAACCTCTCATACCACAGAACTCGAGACAACCACTAGGCCTTCATTTGGTGGTGTTGTGTTGAAGAGTAGCAAGAGAGACCTGACCAAGGAAGAAAAATCCTCTCCCACTCCAGAACCAGAGGCAACAGCGACGCCTTCGTTTGGTGGCGTTGTGTTGAAGAATAGCAAGAGGGACCTGACCGAGGAGGAGGAAGAAACCTCTCCTACTCCAGAACTCGAGACAACCACTAGGCCTTCGTTTGGTGATATTGTATTGAAGAATAGCAAGAGAGACCTAACCAAGGAGGAGGATGAAACATCTCCCACTCCAGAACCAGAGGAGGAGGACGAAACATCTCCCACTCCAGAACCGGAGGCAACAGCGAGGCCTTCGTTTGGTGGCGTTGTGTTGAAGAATAGCAAGAGGAACTTGACGGAAGAGGAGGACGAAACCTCTCCAACTCCAGAACCAGAGACGGTAGCTAGGCCAGCTTTTGGTATTGTTCTGAAGAATAGCAAGAGGGACCTAACCAAGGAGGAGGATGAAACATCTCCCACTCCAGAACCAGAGACAACGGCGAGGCCTTCGTTTGGTGGCGTTGTGTTGAAGAATAGCAAGAGGGATCTAACCAAGGAGGACGAAACCTCTCCCACTTCAGAACCAGAGACGGTGGCTAGGCCAGCTTTTGGTATTGTTCTGAAGAAGAGCAACCGAGACCTAACCAAGTTGGACGAATCTCCTCCAGAGGCAGAGTTTGAATCGGCACAAAAGGAAACGGTTGACGACGGTGAGGATTTGCCGGAAGCTCCTACCACTCCGGAAGCAGAGACGACCGCTAGGCCTTCGTTTGGTGTCGTGCTGAAGAAGAGCAACAGAGATCTAACCAAGGAAGAATCTCCCCCGAAGCCTCAATCGGAAGTGGCTCAGAAGGCTGACGAAGCGGCAACCGTTGAAGTGAAGCATACTGCTAGAAAACAGGAGGAACCTGTATGGGCTCAGAAGAGAAGAGAAAGCCTGAAAAGTCAGTCTCAACCAGAGCAGTCGGCTGCGGTCGACAAGGAGGAGGGTTCTGTGAGGTCGAGAAAGAAGGAACCAGAATGGGTCCAAAAACGAAGAAATAGTTTGGAGAGTCAGTCGCAACCGGAGCAGTCGGCTGCGTTCGACAAGGACGAGGGCTCGGTCAGGTCGAGAAAACAAGAACCAGAATGGGTCCAAAAGCGAAGAGAAAGTTTGGCGAGTCAGTCTCAACCAGATAGGGCAGAAGAAGTGGACGAGGAGGGTTCTATGAGATCGCGGAATCAAGAACCGGAATGGCTCCACAAGCGAAAAGAAACCCAGAAGAGTGATGCATCTATGCAAGAAGGTGACTCATTGTCAAATAATAAGACGATCGACGGGAATATTCCATCCAAATCACCCTGGTCAGTAATAAAGAAAAATCTAAAATCAGTCAAGGCGCTGGATGCTACAAACCCACTGACAGGACCATCACAATCTGACAAGGGAGAAAATGACCCGTTGGGAAGCGAAATGAGGAAAAAAGAGTCGCCACAGCCTGAAGCAGTGGATTCGTCGGCGAAGAAGAAGAACAGTGAGGAGGAAATTCCATCCAAATCTCCCTGGTTAGCGGTGAAGAAATCTCTGAAATCATTGAAGGATCTGGATGCGATACACCCTATTACTGAACCACCGGAACCACCTGCCACTCAGGTCGCAAGCAGATCAAAGGGGTCACAGACTGGAGTTGCAGACTCGTTGCTTACAAAGAAGAACGTTGAGGAGGACGTTCCATCTAAGTCACCATGGTTGGCTGTCAAAAAATCTCTGAAATCAACAAAGGAACTGGATGCAATATTCCCGCTCACCGAACCGCCATTTTCATCTGCAGCGCAAGATGAACTTGTTGTGAGCAAGTCGATGAAACCAAACGAATCGCTAGGGGGTACTGGAGAAGTCGATTCTTTATTAGGAGAGAAAGACATCGCAAAAGAGATTTCGCCCAAATCACCTTGGTTAACGGTGAAAAAATCGCTTAAATCAGTGAGGGAACTGACTGCGATACATTCGCTTACAGAACCACCAGACCTATTGACTGAGAAAAATGACCGGGTTGTCAACGAACCAATGAAGAGAAAAGAGTTTTCAGATGACTCTGGAGAAGCCGACTCATTATCAGTGAAGAAGAATATTGAGGAGGATACTCCATCCAAATCACCTTGGTCAGCTGTAAAGAAGTCCCTGAAATCATTGAAGGAACTGGATGCGATACAACCCCTCAAAGAACCACCAGAGAAGAAAGTAACGAAACAAAAGCAGCCTTTTGGAGCGGAAGTAGAAGGGTCATTACTAGCGACAAACGACATTGAAGAAGATATTCCACCCAAGTCACCCTGGTTGGTAATCAAGAAATCTCTGAAATCAGTGAAGACTATGGATGCCCAGCACCCGATCACCGAACCACGACTACTGGATTCCAAGAATGGCGATGACTTTGTAGCGAAGAAAGCAATGAAAGAAGAACAGCCTTCGGGAGCGGAAGCAGCAGATTCATTATCACCAAAGACAAACATCGCAGAAGATATTCCGCCAACCCCCAAACCGTCCCCCTGGTTAGCTATCAAGAAATCTTTGAAGTCGTCGAAGTCATTGGATGGTAGACAATCGAAGATGGCTTTGCCAATGTCGGTTATCGAAAATGGCGCTGCAAGCCAACCAACGAAGCCAAAAGAGCCACCCGGGCTGCGGCCCTTGCACAGCAGTCGGCCAGGAAAATCGCTATGGGCACAAAAGAAAAAGGATATGACTGGAGCTTCCTTAAAGGATAACCAAAGCTATCAATCAATGAGAATTGTTGATGCCACGTCAAGTCGAACTGGTGCACACGAAGAGGGGACAGATGCTATGCATGAATCTGCTCCAGTTTTAAGCACAGAAATGTCTGACTCTCCTCAAGAGGACGGATCCATTGCAAATCTTTCCACCACAAGCAGTCGATCGGGATTAGCATCTTCGCTGTATTCCTCTACTTCAGCTTCCCTAAGGAGTGTGGGGGCACCACTTGAAAATAAATGGAAGGCATCAAAACCCATCGATGATGACACTGAAACAATGCAAGATGCTGGAAATAATGCGATGTACACTTCAGTGAAACTCAAGAAGGTGAAGCCCGTCGTCGAAGAGGGTGTGGAGGATGACACCTCTATGGCTGAAGATAACTCACTTTTAAATATAAGCAGTCGTCCATCTTTGGCATCATCTCTTTATTCCGCCGCTTCAGCTTCCCTCAGGAGTGTAGGGACACCAGTTGAAAATAAATGGAAGGCATCGAAGTCAGAATTAGATGAAGATGACGAAATGCAAGATTCTAGAAAGAATTTGATGTATACATCAGTGAGACTGAAGAAGGTCAAGGCTGCCGCTCCTATCATTGAAGAGGAGGAGGACGACGGAGATGACAATATTGAATCCTCAGAAGAAAATTCTCCTTCAACCGAAGCATCTACCGGGAGTACAAAACATAACATTATCACTGAAATTTCTGACGAAAAATCACCCCAGGATAAGGTACAACGAAACGAGGTAGAGCCCTCTGTTGGAGACGACACTAAAGCCGATACATTGGAAATTCTTAATGAAAAACCACCGCATCCCGAGGTACAAGTTGATGAGGTCGAGGCTTCCAGTGAAGACGATGTGAAAAATGTTGATGCGGAAGCTACTGAGAACAATTCAGCTCATACTGAGGTGCAGCTCGACGAGATCAAGCCTTCTATTGAAGACGATGCGCACAATGACAACTCTCAGGCTCCTGGAGTCAATTTGCTTTATACTGCAGTCAAACTGAAAAAGGTCAAACCCACGCCCACCACTTTAGACGAAGAACTGACAAAGAATCGCCCCTCTTTGGCGTCATCTCTTTATTCTTCGGCTTCGGCTTCCCTTAGAAGTGTGGGTGCACCGCCTGAAAATAAATGGAAGGCATCAAAATCCAACGAAGATGAAGATGATCCTACGCAAGACCCCAGCAAAAACTCGATGTACACTTCAGTGAGACTCAAGAAAGTTCAGCCTGTTGCGCCTGTCATTGAAGAAGATGCGCAATATGATCCCTCTGAAACTTCCGAAGAACATTCACTCTATACCAGTGTGCAGCTCAAAAAGGTCGGGTCGACCCCTGACGACGAGGAATCTCCAACAAGTCGTCCCTCCTTGGCGTCATCCCTATATTCTTCGGCTTCTGCTTCGCTAAGAAACATAGGGACACCTGTTGAACACAAATGGAAGGAATCTAAAACCATCGGCTTAATCGAAGAAGATGATGTGGGAAAATTATACTCCAGTCAGCATCAGCTCCTCCGTTCAGTCGCGCCACCGGTTGAAGAGAAATCGATAGCGACAGATAATGAAGACGCTGAATTACATGTAAGCGAACTGCAAGTTACTAATCGGAAAATACTCATGCTGATCTCAACAGTGTCTGGAAGTCAAGAGCAGAAAACAGCACAAGACCGGGCCCTAACGATACTGAAAGGTATGCACATAAGCCCCGAGCAACTGGAACAGGTGGATGGGGCCGACCCTGCAAACCTTGAACGTCGAAATGAATTGTTCGCTGTAAGCGGAATACGGGCAAAATATCCTCAGTTTTTTGTAGTCAATGCCAATGATAAAATCGAGTATTTAGCTGACTGGGAATCTTTCGAAATGATGAACGAAGTAGGCAGTTTGTCGGAGTCGATGAACTTGGATGTCAGTTTGAGCGATGCTTCTCCTCTGGGAAAAGAAGATGATATTGCAGACGATCTTAATTCAGAGAACATTGATAGAGAAGGTGATGTCGAAAATTATGGTCGAAATGTTGATTCTGAGAACGAAGCCGAAGTCAAAGATGTTGAAGATGGTGAATCGGCCTTAGATAAAGATGATACGGGCACATCTTCGGTGAGTACTGGTATCAAAGAGGAGACAAATCTGACACAAGATTTCGAGGGCGGTGATGACGAGGTCAAGAATGAGGTGCAGAGTGTGATAGCTCCAACTTCAGAATGCCAAGACGAAGGTGAGAAGCCCGAGAACTCAGTGAGTGAAACCAAAGCATTCGAAGAGGATGGTTCAGTTAGAGATTCAGATTCTGAAAAAGAAATTGAGAAGGGTGTCGTAGAAAACCTGGCACCAGATTCTGAGGATGAAGATGAGATTGAAAATGTCCAGTCAGTTGCTTCTGTAAACTCACAAATAGAGAAAGATAATTTGAGGACAGCGGAATATCCTATCACAGAGACCGAAGTATCTTCAGATAGTGCTGAAGAAAGAATTGAAGCTGAGAACAATGAATCAGAATCTGGTAAAATCATCAAAAGTAGTGATGACAATATCGAAAATGAAGATTCAAACGTTGGTAATGTTGAAGCGGATGGTGAGGAAACGGCGGATCAAGAAAGTCACGTTTCAGAAACGAATAACAAACCTCAAGTCGAAGAGAATCATCTCGAAGAGGAATCAACGGCACCGGATGTTGTTGCAGAGTATAATTCAGGTAGATCGGAAGATAGTTCCGAGGAAGCATTGCCACCTAGGGATACAGAAGCCACAAACGTTATAGACGAGACGCAAGAGGAAGAAGAATCTTCAGCACTTGCAAATCCCAAAGACATCGATATCGTGATCGATGGAGATGAAGACCCTGCCGGATCTACAGGCGTCAGTGTTGAACCCACGGAACCTGACGAAGATGATGAATTGAGTCCAGCAAAATACCTTCAAGACGGAAACGAAGAGACAGATCCGGTTGAAGAGGTATCACCTCATCCTGTAGTCGATGCCCAAGGTGAGGAGAAACAAAGTACAGACATGAAACCGGAAAGGAAGAACAGCGAAATCGTTTTCGGGGACACTTCAGATGATCCGATCTCTCCTGTGGATACCGATAACAACGATATAGGTACAAATGTCGAGGAACAAGATTCGAAAGGCGGCGATCAAGCTGAAGAGGACAATGGAGCAGAACATGATGACAGTGTAGCGGACAATCCACATGTAGAGTCCATAAATGAAGCGACTGAGGAGATATTATCCACGGAACAAAATGCCGAAGATGAAAACATAGCAGATCCACCCTCGGAATCATCGCCGGGACCGAAAGAAGTTGAAACCTATCATATAGAAACTTTAGAGGTAGAATCTGAACAAAGATCCTATGAAAGTACCGCTGGTGACACGAAAGATGCAATTGACGTGCCAGAAGAGGAAGATGATACCGAAATAGTAGCTATTCAGGAACAAGAGGATACCAAAGACAACGAAACATTTATAGATGAAAATTTGAAGCAGAATCGAGCTGATACTTCAGAAGCCACAACTTCGAATCGTAATGATGATGATCATGAAAAGGATGGCAAAGGAGACGACAATTCCGCCAGTAAAGATCAAATCCTCAGCGAGAACGAAGGTTCAACTCCCGTTGAAGATGAAGTAGAGGCCGACAATATAGAAGAGACTGAGGATTTTGGTTCCCCGTCAAATAAAGAGAGCGAAGTTGACACACATGGTGATGGTATGGAACCACAAGCAAAAACTGAAGATGAAGATCGTGCGACCGAAGATGTGGGATTCAGAGATAGTTTTGTTCAAGAAACGGGTGTGCTTTCGGAATTTCTTGGTGGTAAGAATGACAGATCGGTTTTATTGCGATGTGAATTAGAGCGTTGTAGGCTCGTACTATGAGTATTTCTAGAATCATATTTCTCACGAGCCAATTACATATCACCGTGCGCACTTCAATCCGTTTCAATCCAATCCGCTCCGTTTCATCTAATCGAATCACAGAAGAAACTCCTAGCAAAGGCGATGAAAAATGCGATGGCGAAGAGGAGGAGGAGAAGGACGAAGAGCAGAAAGAGGAGGAGGAGCAGAATAAGGAGCAGAAGGATCAGGATCAGAAGCAGAACGAGGAAGAGCAGAAGGACGAGGAGCAGAAGGATCAGGATCAGGATGAGAAGCTGAAGGACGAAGAGCAGAAGGGCGAGGATCAAGAGCAGAAGGAACAGGAGCGCGAGGAAGATGATAAATTCACCTCCGACCTCGAGCTACAAAAGGCTTCTTTTGCCTCGAAAAATAGCAACCACCAACCAACAATGATGCGGTATAGCGATGATTCCGAGGAAGAGGCATCAGACGGAGGATGGTCGGATGACGACTCTGCTACGATCAAGTCCGAATACACCGAGTTGTCCTACGCTACATTTGGCAGTGCTGTTGTCTTCGATGGAAGAGCCATGACGTCGAAAGATGAGGGTACCAAAAAACTTTCTGAACTGGTGACAGCAGCAGCACAAGAACACCAAAACCCAACACCGCCAAAACCAAAGGCTAAGCCTGTTGCGCAGCCATTGACAACCACAGCATCGAAAAAGAACAACAACCAAGATATTTTGTTCACGCCCATGGCATCAGACAATAAGGCCGGAGATGACAAATCTGCAGCAAACGAGAAGGAAAAGGATAAGAAAAAAAAGAAATCCAAAAAGGAAGCCAAAGAACCGCCGCCGTCTCTACCGGAAGGGAATGACGATATAGCGATCGACGTAGATGATCCTCCCGCGATGAAAAAGGAAAAGAAAAAGGACAAGGCAAGAAATAGCATTCAAGAAGATATCGTCTTGGACTTTGGCGAACAAGACACAAAAAACGAGACGCCATCTCAGGAGTCTGTTGGGAATTCAGAAGCAGATGAGACCCAAAGCCAATCAAAAAAGAAGAAAAAGAAGAAATCAAAGGAGGAAAAAGAGAACAAGAAGAATAAGAGAAAGTCGGCTGCCGAATCTTCGAAGCAAGTACAGGAACCGGGTCCTTCTGAATCGGAGCTGAGGGAAAAAATGATCAAAGACACGGTTAAACAACTGATCGAGGATTCCAACAAGTACGAACTGAGGCCCGAAAAACCCTTCGACGACGATTCTGCCGAGTGCCTGCTCAAGGCCGCCCTGAAGATATGCCATCTCAAGAAATTCTACGATACGACCAAGGACAAGATCGTCTACTTTCCGTCGCCCGTGCACGCGTGTTTCGACTACCGTCTCATGGAGGCCGCCGAGGAATTTTACGAAGAAGAATACCCATCGGACCTCTGCCGCGCGCTGAGAAACGTTGCCTTTGGCATGATCGAGAAAGAGGCTGACGACGACTACGACGAGGAATACATGGCGCTCGTTGCCACGGACGTAGAGATTTGATCTCAAGATCGTTCGTACTCTTTTTGCAGTGTAATTTAGTGAATCTTTTTTAGCAATACGCATCTATGCGTTGAATAAGAAAAAATGTTATTTATACGTAAGTTTCCCTTGGAAATGAATACCAAGCTCAGACGATGCCCATCAGCCAGAATATTTCGCACGGACTCGTGATCTTTCTATTGAGGACCATCGATCCCTGGTTTTTCGTACCGAACGGTGCGAATCAAACGCAACCATCTCAAGGAACCATGTAAAATTGGAAGCCCGCATAACACGACCCGCACGATACAGGGCAGATATCTTTGACCCAGGTGTTCCCCCGCACCTTCGTGTTACAGGTGAATGTCTGGTCATCTTTGTTCACATCACGGCATCGAAACTTCTTCTTCTTGATTTTGAATGATTTCTTGTCGCTGCAGTTGCATCGTCTGTTGCAAACGCCCGGACAAGCAGATTTTACCTTTCTTTTGCCGCACAATGTGTTCTTCTTCTTGATGCTGAAGTTTTGCAATTCGTCGCAGGTGGTGGTTTTGCCCTTCAACAAAAATGATTCCTTATTTGAACAGACAGAGGTACAGGTCTTGCCGGTTTTTTGGCACCACGGTCCTTCTGGTACTTTTGGATCCTCTTGGCTGGGACATCCACTACCATCAAAAGTCATATAAAACGCTTTAAAATCCTCCGGAAGCTTTTTCCCCCACGATGATAGGCATTGATTAAATTGTTTTGCTCCTCGAAACATAGAATGCATGGATGGAAAGCTTGAAAGATCCCAATCGTCAAGCGGTTGGTTGAAACTAGATGCCCTATAAAACATCCCAGTCATGCTGCCTACTTTTGACACATCCCAATCACCTATAGGATGGTTGAATCCTGTATTTCGAAACATATTCGACATGTCTTGCACACTCGACACATTCCAGTCACCAAGTGGCTGGTCGAACTCATATGCATCCAAAAACATCCAAAACATATCTCTCACATTTGACACGTCCCAGTTACCAATGGGCTGATTAAAAGAGGATGCATTGAGAAAGCTGTAAGCCATGTACTTCACACTTGACACATCCCAGTCACCAATGGGCTGGTTGAAAGAGGATGCACCATGGAATATAAAATCCATGCTTACAACGCTTGACGTATTCCAACGACTGATGGGCTGGTCGAATGACTCCGCACCGGCAAATCAACCATCCATGTATGTCACACTTGAAATATCCCAATCACCAATGGGCTGGTTGAAATTGGTTGCCCCGGAAAACATGGATCTCACGTATGTCACGCTTGAAATATCCCAGTTACCCATGGGCTGGTTGAATTTCTTACACTTTCCAAACATCATGCGCATGTCAGTCACTTTTGACACGTCCCAACCACCAATGGGCTGGTTGAAGGACTCCGCATAGAAAAATAAATTGTTCATGTTATTCACTTTTGACACATCCCAATCACCAATGGGCTGGTTGAAATTGGGTGCCATTGAAAACATCTGATCCATTTTTGTCACACTTGACACATCCCAATCACCANCACCAATGGGCTGGTTGAAATTGGGTGCCATTGAAAACATCTGATCCATTTTTGTCACACTTGACACATCCCAATCACCAATGGGCTGGTTGAAAGGGTGTTCCTCGAAAGAAAATCCGAAAAACATGGCACTCATGCTAGTTACGCTTGACACATTCCAACCACCAATGGGCTGGTTGAAGGACCAAGCAGCGAAAAATAAATCGTCCATGTTATTCACTTTTGACACATCCCAATCACCAATGGGCTGGTTGAATTTCTTAGCATATTCAAACATACGGTACATGTTAGTCACACCTGATACATCCCAATCACCGATGGGCTGGTTGAATTTCTTAGCATATTGAAACATCCCGAGCATGTCAGTCGCTTTTGACACGTCCCAACCACCAATAGGCTGGTTGAAGGACTTCGAGTACATAAATAGATCGACCATGTTATTCACTTTTGACACATCCCAATCACCAATGGGCTGGTTGAATTTCTCAGCGTAAAAAAACATCTCGCGCATGTTAGTCACACCCGATACATCCCAGCAATGAAGCGGTTCATTGAATTTCGTTTGATTGTAGAATGCTTTAGACATCGAAGCGACATTCGATGTATCCCAGCAGCCAATCGGAAGGTCATACGTGCAAGTGCCTTCGAGGCAGTCATCGATGAGATTCTGAAATGCAACTCCAGAGACGCTTATCACGGGCCGTCCATTGGGACACGCGGTAGCGCAGTCCGTGATGGACGGAAGCTCCCKGTGTTGTTCTTGGTGCAACCCTGGGTGTTCTGCTCCGGCATCACCCACCGCAGGTTTCTCGAGGACACCAAGATTTGGAAAGAAACCTAGATCTTCTCTGTCCACACCCGGTCGTTCGAACTCATCCGATCCGTTTCGAAGGACTTCGGGTTTGCTTTCGCCGGTTGTCTCCGAAAGGTTCTCGTTGGGCAGCTGGTGTTTCTCGGAGAGTCCCAACGAAACAGAAACAGAAACAGAAACAGGATCCGAATCGGCAGGGATTCGATGGTTGCTTAAGTATTCTTGATCATCATTCCCGTCGTTGCTGGCAGTTGCAAGGCCGGCGATGGCAGAAAGGGCAATTTGAAGACACATGGCAGTAGCAATGTAATATCGTATTTGATAATGTGGTTAGGTATGCAATTGTGAGTAGTCTTGGCAAGCGACGTCAAAGGCAAGACAGAAAGATAGTTTTGAGATGATTGACATTATTGTAGCGGTTAGTAGGGCGGTACACAACACTTCTTGCCTACTTCTACTACGAAATAGTACTACTATAAACTATAACTCGAACTCTGATATTTTGCTGATTTCGTTTGGCATACGGTACCGTAGCAACCAGTTTGGATTTGGATCTTTTTTTGGCACCGTACCATACGGTACTGTAACATGTTGAAGCGTTTTTTCGCATTGCATTGTTGCTTCCGCTATTTTTCGAAGAAAAAGAATCCATCTTCCATACATAACGGATCTATTAGTTATTCGATGTACTTTTTACGTGTTGACCAAAAGCGAAGCGAAATGAAATTTGTACTGCCAAGTTCTTCCGTGCGAACCTTGTCGTCTGTCGTCCATCCAAATAGAGGGTAATTTGTCTAATAATAGCTAGATGAGAAGAGGTAAGTCCTTCTTGTTGCTCATAACCTGTGAAATGTTGATAGGCTCCTTAGTGTACATGAATACGTGGTTTACATTAAAGAGTGAGGTTATTCACTAGCTACTCGTGATTGTGGTGTCTGTACTACCTCACAGTAATTAGTCGCCCGGGTAATCATCTGGTAATCAGGACGGTAATCAGGCCAGTAATCAGGCCATGCAGAAAAAATAATTTAAAATGTGCGCATGGGTTCTTCTCCTAGGTACAAGCACAAATCCCTTAGGAGAAGAACCCATGTGCACATTTTAATTTATTTTTTCTGCATGGCCTGATTACTGGCCTGATTACTGGCCTGATTACTGGCCCGATTACTGTCCTGATTACCGTCCTGATTACTGTCCTGATTACCGTCCTGATTACCAGATGATTACCGAGTAATCAACAAGACAAGGCCGAATCCCCGAGGGACGAGGAGGATGAGACCAATGTTGATTACTCTAGTAACTCACTGAAGTTGTGTCTTCATTCCTCATCTCGTATTCTGGTGGCAAGTGCAATCGATTACTTGACAAGAAACTGAGCAACTACTAGTCTATTACGTCAATAATTGTCAAGTCAATTAGTCTTAAGCGCTTAAAGTAACTCACTTCAGTTGTGTCTCCTTCATTCCTCGTCCCTTGGATGCAGGAGACACAACTTTAGTGAGTTACTAGAGTAATCAACATCAGTCTCATCCTCGTCCCTCGGTTTTGGCCTCTTGTTGATTAGTACTTGGTTATCAATGAGTAATCAGGCCAGTAATCAGGCCAGTAATCAGGCCGTGTGGAAGAAAGGTAATTTAAAATAATTTAAAATGCGCACATGGGTTCTTCTCCTAAGGGATTCCTGCTTGTACCTCCCTCTCACCCTACTAGTAGGAGAAGAACCCATTATGCGCACATTTAAAATTATTTTAAATTACCTTTCTTCCACACGGCCTGATTACTGGCCTGATTACTGTCCTGATTACTCATTGATTACCCATGCGTGACTAATTACTCAACGATTATTAGACATACTACTACTGTGTTCTCCTCTGGTACTGTATTTTCGTTGAGGAACCCACCGGTGCTGAGCGAGAGGGGAATCCTTGTCGGCTCCTCGCTGAGCATTAAATCAGGCTGCCCAGCAGCTGCTCTCCTCCTAGTGGTCTGATGATGGTTACTAAGTAATGAGATGAAGATATGTTCCTTTGTTGCTCGTCATAACCTGTGAGTGTTAATAGGTTTCCTACTGCGTGTCAGTACGTAGTTTACAATAGAGGAGTGAGGTCAGAACCTGCGAATCTTAGTGGGCTCCCTGCTGTGTCTTACAGTAATACCGTACAATACGTGGTTTGCAATAGAGGAGTGAGGTTATTCACTAGCTACTCGGGATTTAGCCTCACAGTACGTACGTATGTTACGTTGTAGGATGACTGAATGGAGCGTTGTCCCGAAATAAGACCAAATGCCGTTACGGCAGTTAGTAATCCCGACTCGCAACGGTTATAAATCCTGGAAATTTTGGTGTTGCTCGTCCGACGCAACAAACAAACGTTCCGCCATGAATAGATACGAGCAGTAGTAGCGGGTACAGAACTTGTACGCAGTCGTACATACCATACATGGTACCGTACACACGTTTTTTTTTTTTCCGTTTTGCTTCCGTTTCTCCGGGAACTTCGGTCGATCCTCTTTGCATCCTGCGGTACTTGCACCGGTCACCCCGGCAAGAACGCCACAAAGCCCGCCACGGTCGGCAACGCCACTTCCGCTCCGACACAAACCCCAAGCACTCGGAAGGACTCGCAGCGTAGCAGCGTAACAGCGCAACAGCCAGCCAGCCAGCGAGCCACCATGGTGTCGATGTCGCTCTGCCGGCACCCCTCCATCGCAACGGAGCCGAGCCACGAGGATGCCACCGCCGCCGAGCACTGCCCGCCGGGTGCCGAGGACGCTAGTTTCGGGGGCGAACACGACAGCGACGAAGACGACGAGGAAGGAGAGACGAAAGGCCTGAAGGTTTCCTTCGTTCCGAGCAATGTCTTTGTCCTCCAGGCCATGGAGGGAGCCTCGGCAAAGGCGAGGGTGGACCTCGAGAGGGCCACCGCCGCGGCGATCCGCCGAATCCATCTGGCAAAGAGGACGCCTCCGCCCTCGCCTTGCTCCGGAGAAAAGACACAAAGCGCCGGCGTTGTTGTGCCGGACCAACGGAAAAAACTGCGGGCCGAGCCACCGAGGAAACAGGTGCTGCCGTGGTTCCTGCTGTTTCTGTGCCTGGTGTTTGTCGCCCTGGGACAAGCCCCGCTCGTTCGATCCGCAATGGTTTCGTCTCGTGGAATCGTGGCCAACGGGTTTCCACCGGAGCAACAGAGCAGTCTTTCGGATACAAGCGACATCGACCTAATGAGGATGCTAATTGTAATCTAGTTGTAGAATAGGACATTATGTTGTTACACCAAACAAAACGAAAGTAGATCTCGAACGAACGAACGAACGACGAGAGAAACTCCCCGATGCGCAGGAAGACAACCCCCAGAGCACAAGGCAAGGCCGTCGGGAAACTCCGCAGAAAGAGACCACCCCGGTCGTGGACCACGGATGGCGTGCCGGCCCGGGCCGTCCGTCTGGTGCCTCCGTGCCGCGAATTCCATCGCCGCACGCACGCACGCACACACACACACTTTGGTCGGGGGCTAGCCGTGGCCACCGCGGCGGCCAAGGTGTTTCCCTGGGTGCCCGGCCGGGCAAGGGCGGGCCGCCTCCCACAGATCCGTCTCTCTTGCGAGGGTCCGGGTCGAGTGGAAGACCGCCTCGGGGCCCGCGGCCTCCTTCCCGGCCCTGGCCAAAAGCTCCGGGAGGACCAGGACCGTTAGGGACGGCCGCTGCGGAGGCTCGGACGCCCCTGGTTCGGGAGGATCGTCGGGGCTCCCGAGCCAACACCAGCGATCGTCGTCGTCGTCGTCGTTCTTGTCGTTGTTCGTGGTTTCTCCGGTGGCCGCCCCGAGGCGAGAGGCCCTCGGAATCCAAACGGAATCGATGCGTTCCAGGCTTTCGTTCATCGCCTTGTTTGCTCCGAGCAGTGATTCCAGCTCCTCCCTGAGGTCTCTGGGATTGCCCCCGTTGCCGCTTCCGCCGCCGCCGATCCTTCTTCCCACCGGTTCGAGGTTCTTGAAGCCGAGGGTGCAGGAGAGTTCCTGCAGGCGGACCCGGTAGATGGGATTCTGCGTCAGTGCCTCGCAGAAGACCCTTCCCACCGCCCGCTTGCGTTCCTGGACGGCCCACGAGGAGCAGCAAGCCCCACCCATGGGGCTCCTCCCCTGTTCGTCGCTGAAATAATCGGTCGCCAGGACCAGCGTCTCGAGTCGGCTCCCGGGGGGCCGCTTCCGGAGGTGGGGGGGGACGCCCCGTTCGACGTCGCAACTGTTTTTGCCCCTGGAGGAATGGTCCCGCAGGGCCCGGGCCACGGCCAGGGTCGATTTCACCGAGAGCACCGACGGCGACCGCCGGAAGGCTCCTTCGCCGCTTTGGTTGGTTTCTTGCCCCTGCGGAAGCTGTCCGCCGTCGCTGGCCAGGACGAGCCGCCGGAGCGAGGTGTTGACGCGGACCATGGACGCCACCACGCTGCAGGCCCGCTTGCCTCCGGGGTGGTGCGTCTCGCGGCGGTTGCCGCTGCGGCCCGCTTCCCGGGGACCTTCCGGGCCCTCGAAACCGCACTCGTCGTACCCGTCGTCGTCGTACCCGTCCCCTCCGCCGTCCCCGGCGTCGCCACCGAGAGCAGTTCCGTATCCATCGATGTAGTCGTAGTCGTCGTAATAGTTGTCCACGGTGTTGTCGTCGTCGTCGTCGTCGCCGTCGCCGCAATCCCCGGCGCCAAGAACCGTCGGATCGTTGCTGGCTCCGGAATGGCGGTCGTCCTCGAGGACCCACCCCGACAGGTCGAGTTCCTCCAGGCTTGGGCAGCGCCTCCGGTGCGGGCCATTCGGCCGGTCGTTTTTCGTCTCGAGGTCCTCCAGGAGAATGAGGGACTCGAGGAGCCGCTTCGTCCCGGCAAAGGAGAGGGCCGGGTGCTCCCGCTCCAGGGCCCGCCAGCGCCGGCCCGGGAGACCGCTCCCTCCGGAACACGAGGGCCGGTCCGGGTTCCTGGCCAGCTGCAGGACCCTTAGGCCCGGGCTCCCCGCCAGGAGCAGCCGGGAGAGGGCAAAGGCGCCCTCGTTTCCGAGGTCCGTCCGGGAGAGGTTCAGCGACCGCAGCGGAACGCCCGGTCCGCGGTGGTGGTCGTCGTCGTGATCGTCGTGGTCTTGTTCTTCGCTGCCCCCCCGTGTCCAGGCGTCGACCCACTCCGAGAGGGCCGGCCCCAGGACGGCCCGGACCGGGACGCGGAGGCTCCGGCTCGGGTCCCCCGGCCAGGCCTCGGTGGCCCCCCGGGCCGAGAACGAGAGGTCCTCGAGGCAGCCTCCGCAGGGGGACCGAAAAAAGGCCCCGAGGGCCTCTGCGGCCCCCTTGTCCAGGACCGGGGCGTGCAGGACGAGCCGGCGGAGGCCGGGCCTGCTGGTCCCCCTGGCCAGGGCCCCCGCCAGCCGGTCGATCCCCCGCTCGCTCAGCTCCAGGGAGGGGCCGGCCACGACGAGCTCGGTCAGGCCCGCAAAGGAGGCCTTGTTTCCGGGGAGGAGCGAGTCCCAACGCCCGAGGCTCGAAAGGGTGCTGGCCAGGACGTCGAGGGGGGAAACCGCGGGGGAAGCGTATCCCTCGTCGTCGTTGCTGCTGTCGTTGTCGTCGATGCCATCTTTGCTGCCGTCGTTGCTGCTGTCGTTGCTGCTGCTGCTGCTTTCGTCGTGGAAGCTGCGAGCTTCGGGTTCGTCTTCCCCTTTTGTTTCCCGCTGGAAGGTGGCTGGCTCCGCGGAGGGGTCCTCCACCGGGGACCGATCGTTCTCGTGTTCGTTTTCGTTCTCGTCCTCGTGTTTGGGGTCCCTGCCGCTTGGTTCCGGCTCGCCAAACGAACCCTTCCGCCAACCGCCCACCGATCGCTCCAGGGCCTCCGCCGCGCAAGCCCTCGGCTCCTCGAGCCCGCGGGTGGCGGCGTCGTCCCCGGTCAGGTACAGCGCGTATTCCAGCACGCTCGAGACCACCCCCCCCCCCGGAGGGATGTGGTCCTCTTGGTTCCGCAGCCGCTCCCGGAGGTCCAGGATGCCCTCCCAGCCGTATCCCTCCGCCGTCTCGGTGTGGGTCGCAACCACGTCGACGAACCGGTCGTCCTTCCCGGGGGAAGTGCGGGAAATCTCCGTCCGTTCGTCGGCTCCCGGGCTGGCACGCCTCGGTGGCGCAGGCTCCCCATTGCGAGCGCCGTCGTCCACGTCGGTGATCCAGGCTTCGTCGTCGTCGTCGTCGTCGTCGTCATCGTTGGTCGGGAGGCGATTCGTTGTTCTGGCTGCGGTTGCTTCTGCTGCTGCCGCCGCCGACACCGGCACCTCCTGCCACTCCTGAGGTGTTCGGTCCGGTGAATGGGGCTGGTCGTTGCTACAGTCTTCCATGGCGTATTGTGTGTATTGCGTATCGTGTGGTCTATTCTTTTCTATTCTATTCTATTTTCGACGTGTCGCGTCGCTGCAAGAGAGACAACAATGGTGATGTGTTTTGTTGAGGCAAGGGTGTGTTGTTTTGTGCTTTGCTGTGCTCTGATGCGATGTGCTCTGATGCGATGTGCTGTGCTGTACGGCGTGTTCCGGGGAACGCCACAAATGATCCAGCACCAGGACGAACAAGAACAGAGGGATCGATTCGATTCGATTCGATTCGATTCCAGCGACGCTTTGTGTGCAAGGCACGACACGGTGCGTGCATACTGGTGTTGTGCAAGATCGGAAGCAACCCATGCCACCGCAAACAAGCAATCCCCGGGGAGAGTCGTCGCCGCGGGCCTACGGTACAAGGAACGAACGAACGAACGAACGAACGACCACGCACTCGGTTTCGTGCTACTTACCGCACCGGAGGGTACAAGAACACCGAAACGGTCGCAAAAAATGACAACCACCGGCGACGCTTTCGGAGTTCACAATGATTCCGAAGAACAGCAATCTGCGATCGTTTGTTTCGGAAGGTAGGGCAGGGTATGTTGCCTGCGCCTTCACAGTACTGTATTCTACGTATGCTACGGCAACAATGGAATGTTGAACGGTACGTACAACGCAAGAGAGGGAGATGCGTCACAACACAACAGGCAGAAGAACAAGAAAGAACTTTTTTCCGTGTGTCACAAGGAAGTTTGATGTTTTTTTGTTTTTGATGACACCGTCTACGGTACCGTACGGTATGTTTTCGTCGGTGATCAATACGTTGCACAACGTACAACAAAGAAAAGGTATGTACCGTTTGAAATGAGGTAGAGTACTTCGTATGGTTCGTACTGTAGGGTCATAGGTAGTAAGCAAGTTGCGAAGCTCGAAGCCCCGTGCCGGAAACCAATTCTTCTCTCGTGAAAAAATGCGTGCCTCCGAAGAAGAACGCAGCGGGGATCTAATCCACGTGGGGTTGTTGTAACAGTGATACTTACGCACCGGTGGCATCGGATCGGATTGGTGAAAAATTCTAACGGTAGAGCAACGATCGATCGATAGCATGGCAGAAAATTCGAATGGTATGCATCGAATCGATCTGGCACGAAGAGCGATCGTCAGCGGTACCGAAAAATTCGAATGGTATGGACGGAATCGACCTGGTAGTATACTCATCACAAGACAAAAATTTTGATGGTATCATAGTCTTTGGTGGTATGAAAAAATATCCAATAGCATGAGCCTATTCGATGTGATAGTACAATCCTTTTTCGATAAAAATTTCGAATGGTACGTACCAACTCGTTGAGGCAGCATCATGATATCAAGATAGTTGTGACAAAAAATTCATTGCTCCACAGTGGTATGGAAATATATCGAATGCTATGTATCGATTCAATATGGTGCTATGATCCTATTAAAATAAATACCAAGGTGACTAGAGGTAATCCAAATGGCATGCATGGTTTCAATGTGCTGCCATGATGGTAGTATGGTAGAGATGCAAGTGGCATGAATCGACTCAAATGATAGCATGATCCTATTACGATAAATTCACGGTGATCAACGGTGGTATGGAAGATACCCAAATGGTATGAATCGATTCAATCTCCTGCTGTGGTCCTATTTAGATAAACGTCATGGTGTCCAATGGTGGTACGGCAGGTATCCAAATAGCATGCATCGACTCTACGTCACAACACGATATATCTCGATGAAAATCCGGGTGGTAGAGCAGTGGCGATTGGTAGTATGGTAGATATCCAAATGGTATGTGTATCGATCAGATCGTTTCGTATGCACCACTGTCGAAAAATTCGAATGGCAGAGCAGTCGAAACGAGCATTATGGCAAGTATTCAGATTATAGGCATCGACCTGATCCGGTAGTACGCTCCTTCAAACGACGGGTTGGCAGGTTCTTTCAACCGCAAAAACTCCACTGGTGTGCACCGGCGAATCGACCCTTTCTGCTATGCCGACTGCTCTGGTTCCACCAGAATCGTAGAAACTTTCGGTGGTATGCATCGACCATTAATTGCCCCGTTATCCATGCATGGCTCTCACTACGTACGGAATCCTATTCAACCCCACGTAGTTGTTGTGCTTCAGAAATGCCGTACAACCTGTAACGAACGGGAGACCTCCAGATTTGGACGAGAGCAAACAATTACTACCACGATGTTCTTTTACGTACTACTACGAAGTATAGTATGAAACGACACGTCTTGCTTTGTAATATATCTCCTTTTAGTATAATACTGGTCTGCTGTATCCACGCACGCAATGCATCGCATCGCATCCCATTACATCACACCCGTGTCATATCTTTTGCCACCGGCGTTCTTTCTTCGGCCTCGTGTACCAGCAATCGTCGTCGCTGTCGCCGTCGCTGCTGCTGCTGCTGCTGCTGCTGTCGCTGTCCCCGCGCGGGCTCCCGCGGGGGGGAGAGGAATCCTTCAAACGGCGGGCTGGCAGGGTCTTCCAATCGCACAAGCTAGACCAAGCGGGAAGGACGGCCATGTCGAGGAGTTCCGCGGCGTGCGCCTGGCTCCGCTCCGCGCTTTCCTTCACCGCGAGGCAGCCCCTGGCGCCGTAGAAGATGACCTTCAATCCGCGGTGGCAATCCTTTTTGTAGTAATCGTGGTGCTGGTGCTGGTCGTCGTGGTTTTTCTCGCTCATGTTTGTGCTTCTTGTGCTTCGTTTTGTTTGTTGTGTATCGAAGATGTTGGTGTTGCTGCTGTTTCGTTCGTTGATCCGTATTGGGCGTTTTGTGTTGTGTCGGTTGTCCCTTCAAATATTATGAGCACACCGCAGTACTACCGTACTACTAGTGGAAAATTCGCGTTCCTGTGCAGAATTCTACCATCCGTGAATTTTGAACGAGTTGGTCGTGCGCAAAGGTATTTTGCATTTTTCATATTCTTCAACTTACGGTAGTACAGCCACGAACAAAAATGTCGACGGGCAATACTATACAGTATCTTGTGCGTTAGAAGTACCCTAGTTCATAGTAGGCAGGTGCTAGAAACCAATCTTGGTCGTACCGCACCGGTTGCGAACCGTCGCGTCACGCCTGCCGGAGGCGGCGGGAATAAATCAACGAATCATACTTAAATATCTTATGAACATACTTTATCTACCGTATCTATCGTGGTACCAACATTTTTTTCTGGCGCGGGCGATTTCCTTCCCGAGAAAGTGTTTTTGGTTTTTGTATCAGTTTTGATGGCCGGCGAAGTTGGAAAAAGATCTGCAACGCGAACAAACGACTCCGTTGCTATTGCGAGTACGAGTACGAGTACGAGTATGAATACATAGCATACTCTTCCACCGCCTCCGTCCAAGTCCGACTGCACTATGTTCCGAAACAAACCCAAAGATAGCAAGCGCTGCCGGCCAAACAAAAACAAAAACGAACCACGGAGATGCTAGGAATCCAACATAAAAACTACAACGAATGCATTCAAAACACAACGCAAACGCAAACTCGGAAACAGACACAGACAAAGAAACGGGAATGGTGAGCATCAAGGAATACTCGAGGGCGGCGCTCAGGGCGGCACACGGGGTGTCGCTGCTGACCCCGATGCTCTCCGGCCTGTCTTCCGGAACCGAGATGGCGTCCTACGGAAAGGCGCAGTGGGACTTTCTCCTCCGGGGGGGCGACGTCACCGCCTATCTGGCCACGGGCACGACGGCGACGCACGTAACGACACACGCAACGACGCCGCTGGGGACCAACCAAGGGGACCAGCCACCGCTCCTGGGGTGCCTCCTGCGGGTCCACCTCGGCGAGGAAGGGAACACCGCAGAGGCCCTTGGCGGCGGGAGCTCCTCCCCCGCCGAGGCCTTTGGGATGATGCTCGTGGCTCCCGAGGCCAGGGGCAGGGGCGTCGCCCGGGCCCTGCTGGAGAGGGCCCTCGGGGAGGGAGACGCCGGTGCCCGCAGGCTCCTGGCGGTGTGCACCCCCAAGGGCCAGCCCCTGTACCGCAGGCTAGGGTTTTCGAATGCGGGGGGCTGGGTCACGGCCCTGCGCCTGGACGCCGCGGGAGAAGCGGCCGTTCCCCCCGGGGACGACCGCAGCGGCAACGGCAACGGTGGCGGTTCGTTTCGCGTCCGGACCCTTGGTTCCCTGGACAACGATCGGGGAACCGATGCCCCGGCGATCGATCCGGGGGTCCGGAGCCTCCTGATCGACATGGACGCCAGGGCCACGGGCTTTGACCGTTCCCGGCGCCTGTCCTTTGTGATGGGAGGCGGCGGTCCGAGCGAAGGCAAGGACCGCGGCTCCGGCGCTAGTGCCATGGTAGCAATGGCCACCCCGTTGGGTGCTTTCGCCGCGGACGCGGACACGGACACGGACACGAATGGAGGAAGAGAACAACCCCCGGCCGCCGCCGCCATTGTCCGCAGGGAAAAAGCCGGCGGGCCCTGTGTCATCGGCCCCCTGTGGGGGGATCGGGAGGCAGCGGTCCCCGTCGTCCGCGCGCTGGTGCAATCGGTCCGGGAGGGCGCTCGCAGGACCGGAGGCAGCTCCGTGGTCTCCGTCCTGGTGAAGGACCACCAAGGCCTGGTGGACCGCCTGGTGGAAGACGTGGGCTTTGTGGAGGCGGCTCGGTTCCCGGCCATGTCCCTGGACGGGAAGCCCGTCTACGAGGGGGGGGACGGGACCTACCTCGCGCTGATGCACCCCACGCTGGGCTGAGTCGTTCCGGCCAGACCAGACCAAAGCAAACCAAACCATCGCATCCGGGGCAACGCAAGGCAACGCAACGGGCACGGTGACTGCCAGAACAATACCAGGCATTGCTCGAAAGCGAACGAACCATGAACGAAAGCAATGCGATTGTGGTACGGCACTATATCCTACATCTTAAAATGGACGTGCGCTTTTGCTTATTTCGTAACAGGTATTAGTGTAGTTAATTCTCAATTATAACCCAAAAGCGAGCGTTTCAATTATTCCAAGCTAGTTCTGGGGGGCAAGTGGTTAGCAGCTAGGCCATACCATCCGTGTCCTCCGCATCGGCAACTCGCATCGACGTCCTCCGTACCAGCAGAGTGTCCGTATCAGAAGTGTCCGCATTCAGCGTTCCCAGCAACACTCAGCCTCTTCCGTACCAAAAATTTGTGTCAGTAACCTCCTTTTCAGCAATGCGAATCAGCGTCCTCCGTATCATCAGGGTACTCCGCATCAGTGGACCAGTTTCCTCCCCGTGATGGATTCGCATCAGTACCGACGTAATCCTAGACCGTAATTGCAGACCGCAATCGCAGACTCGTATCAGTGTCCTCAGAAATCAACATCGGCATCCTTCGTATCAGCAACTCCTCGTATTAGGTCCCTCCCTATGAAAGATCCGCTCCAATACTGACTGAATCGTAGACTGTGATCGCAAATCGTTTCTGTCTAGTCCCCTCCTCCGTATCAGTGATTCGTATCAGTGACTGGTATCAGCAACCCGTATCAGCTACTCGTATCAGCATCACCCTCGTCCGTGTCAGCGACTCGTATCAGAGTCCTTAGTAACAGCATCGTCCTCCGTATCAGTAACTCGTACCAGTGTCCGTATCAACGCTCTCCGTATCAGCATCGTGAGGGAAAAAAGAAAAAAGTGGGGAGCGAAAATCATTTATCATGGTACTCGTACTGTAGTTTGCACCTCCATGTCTCAAATAATGGCTGTGTTATTAATTTTCTGCCAAGAAAATTCCGGTGGAAATGTCTCGGGAGTGGATGTCGGCAATGGGGTTGTGGAACCAAGTTGGCTATGGATACCGAAACAAAAATCGAAACAAGGGATCCAAACTCTTGGAGTGACATGATGGTTACTCAAGATAGAGATATTGGTACGCTTGTCTCAATGCTGCTACAATTTAAATGTTTCGCCTGGTTTACTACAACCGAGAGATACTATGAAACTAATCTTTATGCTTCCCACTTATCGTTGTTATTGGTGAAGTCAGAATTTGTATGGCGCTATATGATACACCAGCCTGGACAGAGATCAATGAGAGCAACCCAAGAATTGGTTCATTCAACATATGTGAGTACGGCCTTCTTAGAGCTTTGTGTTCCGCTATTTGGCTTGCGTTTTGTCTCCAGCCCTGGACAGTCACCTCTGTAACCGATATTGTCTTCTAGGTGCTCGCGTGTCCCATCAGCATAGTGAAGAATATATCTCCTTTGTTGATACATTGGTTGTTGTCCAATTGAATGTAGAAGGAAGGTTCCATACTTTTGAGAATCATATCCAGGTAATTGGAAGTAGCCCAAATACTTTGGAAGATTATTCCGTGCTACTCAAATAATAATATCGTTCCAATCGACGGAAATTTCTTTTGTTTCAAGGAAACAACAGCCCAATCCAACATTTCAACCCCAATTTTTCAAACGTGCGGTATAAAGGTGGACACGCGGTAGGCGGCTAGACGGTGACGGTGATTGCCATCAACTCGGACCGATGAAATACGGGTACTGATGAGAGATGAGATAAGATGAGATGAAATGAAAAAATGGTTGCGGAAATCCGAAATCCAACAAATTGCCTGTCAACCCAAAACAAAACAATCGACACGAGAACGAGCATCCACAATATCCTTCCTGTTCGGTTCCGGACAGTCAATCCACACACCAACGTTTCTATCCATCGTATCGTTCGGTGCCATTGAGAACACAACCGTTTTTTCTAGTGTGGGTTGTAACATATCGTACCGCACAACTGGTCTTCGGCAACAGCAGTTCCGTTCGTTTCTCCGCCAAGTGCTGGGGCAACCGAATCGCGATACTAGTATACCGTACCACACCACACCATATCATACCATACCATACCATACCATACCATACCATACCATAGGTGGAATCGAGTCCAACCATCCATCGGTCTGCCATCTCCAACCAACCCCGAGGACGGCCAAAAGATGGAACACGCTGCAAGCCCCGGCACGGGGGCGGCCGGAAACGAACCGTCTGCGTGCGAGAAAGAATGCTCGAAGCAGCAAGACGCCCTCACGGCCTGCATGAACGCCATTCGCGACGCCCGGGAGGTTGTTGCCTCGGGTGCCGGTGCGGGGGAGACCAACGACGACGACGGCGACGTTTCCAGGGTCGATACGTCCTGCCTGGCCCCCGCCGTGGCCTCCTGGACCGAGTGCTGCGCGTTGGCCAACAACGGTGCCGTAGAATCGAACGAGGGCCACATCGGCATCGGGTAGCTCGCAGCCGGTTCCGTTCGGTATGTACCGTGGAAGGTGCACCGAACCCGAACGCAACGCAACGCAACGCAACGCAACGAAGGAAGACGGGTGGAAAGTGCCACCCACACATGCATGGATAGATGGATTCGTGGTCCTCTCTAAATCTGTTGGATTCCAGCCATGTTCGTTCGTTCGTTCGTTCGTTCGTTCGTTCGAAAACAAACACACACACGCACACAGGACGGTTGGAACTCCGTTTGGACGGCATGGCGGGACATGCCGGGGCATGGTGCTCCCACGAGCCTGTTCTACGGTTCATCGGCGTTCTGCACCCAGAGAGCAAAGCAATGATGGGTGCGCCACAATAAACCGATGCCTCGAAAACAAGATGCAGCACAGCAGAATAACAATAACAATAAGAAGAGTTTCCAACAAAACGACGCTTCGATCCCTACCAGTAGAACGGTGCCGCGCGGCTTTTGTTGTTGCAACGGCAACAGCAGCAGCTAAGGAACCACCATTGTTGCTCCCATTGTGCGTTCGTTCTTGACAAAATTTACTTTATCGTCGGTTCGCTTTTCCTTTCCACCGTGCATTCGGAAACCAATCGTCGATGACCCAATTCTTTTTCTTTTGTCAAATAGACGTCTTTGTTTAGCAAGAAGTCTCAACACTATGGGCTGAGAATATTTGACACTGAATCAAATCTAGAAACACACGATTATTTTATAGTATCATGATTTAAAAGAGCTAGTACATACAAGGTATGTTGCGCTTCAACCTCGCCTGGCCAGGAGTTCATAGATTCTTCACAGTATTAAGCTTTCGTCTAGGAGTGGGGAGAAACCCAGAGCGACCGGGCATTCTCTCCTCACACATGATTAATGGATGCGTTCGGATGGGCGCTGCTGGTCTGATTGGTTCGGTTCCGTTCCGTTTGTTTCGCGTCGGTTGGTTTTGCACCATTCCCTTGAAATATGTTGTATAGCATTGCACCGTTGTCTATCCTATTGCATTATGGCATTCGGTCTGTAACGACCGTGTGTTAGTTCTTGGGTTGCACTTCCGTACGCAATAGCCTTCGGCACTGCGATTCTTTGCCTCGCGGAAGAAAATAGGCATACAGAGAACACAAATACACAACCCTGGCGGTGGTTCTGTTCTGTTCTGTTCTGTTGCGATGCCATGCCATGCCAAGCCACGCATTACGATCCCAACAGGTTGATTAGGCCGACCGTCACCAGACCAGCTGCCACCGCTAGGCCGGCCAGCCGAATGGGATCCGAGGCGCTGTCCCCGACGCCGCCGCTTTCGCTGTTGATGGAGGCCAGGTCCCCGATCGACATGGGACGGTTGTACCACCCCACCACCGCGAAGCGTTCCCGGACCGTGTCCAGAACCTCGTGGGGGAACCGGTCGGACTCGAAGAGGACCAGCGTCCCCCCGCAGGCGTCCACGTCCTGGAAAAGAGGGGCTTCCCCGGCCGGCAAAAAGTCGCCCCCGGAATCCATGTGGATCCGCAGCCGGCCCCCGTCGGTCTCGGCGTCGTAGGAATCGTCGTTCAGGTACAGGAGCAGCGAATACTCCCGGAGAAAGCTGGCGGATCCCTTGATGGCGTCACGGTGCCGGCGGTAAAAGCCACCGGTGGGGTAGTAGGCGTACAGGAATTCCGACAGGCCCTCGTCGAGCTTGTTTCCCTTTGCGCCGTGGTCCTCCAGGTCCTGTCGCAGGGCGTCCAGGACATCGTAGAGGCGTTCTCGGTCGGCGCTGGGAACGTCCCTCAACTCGGCCTTGTTGCGGCCCAGGAAGCAGGTCTCGGCGACCCGAATCTCCTCGTTGAGCGTGTTGGTCGAGTCCTGCCCGATTCTGGCTATCTTGAATTTGTTCTTCTCTCTCAGCTGCAAAACATCGGAACGGAGGGAATTCTTCCATTCCGAGTCGCTCGGCAGAAAGTCTTCGACAACGACGTATCCCTGTGACTTCAGGGTTTCCAGATCGTCCGGGCCGAGTCTCGGGACATCGCTTGCCGCCGCTAAGGCGGCAAGGGAAGAACCTCCGGGAGACTCTGGTCTGGTGTTTGTGTGGATGGAGACATAGTGCCGAGCGTGTCTCGAAATGGCCGGAGCGATGTACGTCGGAGCAAAGGCATCCGCAAACGGCCCCGCGGTCGATGATTCCGCTGCCACCGGACCAACTCCTCCTCTTCCCGCCACAACGTTCGAAAAAATCGTGGTCGTGGCGATAGCGAGCACCGCAAAAATCGCAAATTCTGCGACCCTGTGTAGCAACATAGCTCCTCTTATCAGGATTGGAGAACTAGAGCTACCGGTGTGACCTCTTGCGGACTTCATCGTAGTCTAAAGAAACAAGTAAAGAGCAGCAAACCTAATTTGCGATTGTGGTGTTAAAAAAATTGGAATGATGCCGAAACTGCCGATGAAGGTATCAGGTACGGGTATGTCGTCTCATCACTTCATCGTTTGTCGTTCTTTGATTCTGGTTGGTGGAAGTACGAAGAAGTAATGATTATTTCTAGTACTATTACATGGGGGTATGAGTACATATTACGTACGAGTACCGTACTGTGATGACGGGGAAACGAAGAGACGGAACAATCACATCAATGATCGAGATACAAGTTCATCATCAAACCGTAACACCTAACAAGACCATATTTTTTTCTGCAACGGTATTTTTTGATTGGGTGCGCGCTTAATGAAATATCACGTAGTTCTGTACGAAGTACAGGAACTACTGACCTCTGTGGTCAGTGGTTATATCTTACAACTTACAACACAGTATGGAACATATGGTGCAGCTCAGGGACGGGTACACAAGTATTACTTACGTAACTTACATTACAGTACATTAGAGGGCGCAAAGCGGAAGGCAGAGTCGCGTACGTACGAACCGTACGGTATGGTGCTCGACATCATCATCACATACCGCATTTTTTCTCCTCAAAAACTTGATGGAGTACTTCTACTTCCGTAATTTGGATTATTTTGAGTGGTTGAAGCTTCATCGCAAGTTCACGTTTGAAAAAGGAATACGGAATCACGAATAGTACACATTTCAATAAATTTTTAAATTCCTATTTCTACCAATCAAAAAACAGAAAATCAAAGAAGAACACCACGCACACAAAATTCATTCATCAATTCCGTTCTTTCGTCGGTTTCTCGTACGTGAAACAAACGACAAAGTATGGTTCCAAGTTCCAGCGGAAACATTCCATCATCCCATCATCGAAATCGTCACTCCCACGTTCTCACGAACGAGCGACAATTCACCCACTCACCTTCTTGAGTACGATTGCAGCATACCTTCGTTCTCTTCCAGGGAAAACAAGAAGCAAGAGCAAAGCATTAACAAACAAACGACGGCAATTGAAAGGGTTCTTACGGGATCGCAGCAACACGATTAGCGAACAGAGAAAAATTCAACCGAAAGCAACTGTTCAGGAGGTAGTCTATCACAGAACTTTCAACGAAACAAGCAACTTGTTTTTCATTTGAACCGTCCGACGAAGCAACGAAAAAAACTTTACGATGGCAGACTCACAGAGAAGAATACCTTGCATCACTATGATTTTGCTGGCGGTGGCCGTCCTGATGACGTCGTCAAGTGTATCGGCCTTCAATCCATCCGTTCCGTCCGTTCGAACCGCAAACTTCGTTCTGGGGGCCGATGTCGCTGGATCCGCCACGGAAGCCCCATCGGGGTCGCCCGCCAACAGCAGCAAGGGCAGTGATGTCCCAAAGCAGTCCGAATACGGAAAGTCCCTCGAGCTTCCCGATACATATGCATCCTGTGGACAGTGTGGATCGACCTACGCCCTGACACTGGAAGCCATGGGACCCGGAAAGGGCGGGCGGTACGTTGCGCTGTGCTGGTTTCTTTGTTCTATTTGTCGTTGAAAATACGTCGCATCGTCCCATTCCACGTACACGATATGGGACGACAGAGAAAACCACTTTTGTACGGCAAACGGCAGGAATTCATCGAAAGAACTTTCCATTGATTTTGCGTCGGGAGGAATGAATTATTGCGCAGGAATGAAAACCGAAGATCTATTCCTTCATCGATTTTCGTCTCACCTTTGACATACTCTCTTTTCTTTATTTGACTCGGAAAATCAAACTTTTTTACAATCGATTTCATCTCTGGTTTTGCGGTCCGGTCGTTGGATTTTCTCGGTTGACCCTCTGGTACATCGAAAACCGAATCCATCATACGAAATATCTTGCTATTTTAATGCAACAAACGTATTTGTCGTATAATGCACAGCCGAATGGAATGTTCCGTCTGTGGCCACACTTGGTTTCAATCCCGCGATCGATTAGCGACATTGGGAGACGGTTACGAAATGGTCCCTCTACCGGAACGCGACATGGAACGTATTCAGCTCAACATCAAGGAGGGAAAGCATCCTAAGTACTGCGGAGATTTTAAGATGTACGTCGGTAACATTTCCTTCCAGAGCACCGAGGAGGACCTCTTCGAGATCTTTCAGAGCATCGGGCCTGTCGGTGATGCCATACTGGTACGGGACGACACAGGAAAGCCCCGTGGGTTTGGATTTGTCACCATGCGGAACAAGGCAGACGGAGAGAAGGCCATGGAGGAACTCGACGGGGCCGACCTCAACGGCCGAAATCTCAACGTTCGTCCGTCCAATAACTAAAGTTATTACACGGGCTGTATGAATCCAAGTTGCGTCAATGAATGTCCTTCTTGACGAAAGGAGGTAAACAAAGGGACGGTACTATACAGTACGATGGAATGGAATCGAATTACTGAAACCCACACAAAGAAACACCACTAAAATAATTATCGATATACTAACAAGAAGAACAAAAAAAGTAGCTAGAGAGAGGCGACGCACCCCTCCATTGATTGCCACACAGTCTGGAAGTGGGAAGAAGGAAACACATCGTTAATTGGATTGATACGCAAAATCCTACGGTGTCACAAGGTATGAATTAGAATGGAATGCAATGTCGAAATTCTAAGGGTCGAACAAAAGCTTGGAATAGAAGTTCAGATGATTGTTGTCCTCCGAGGACCAATAGTCTGATTGGATACTACTACTTGCTGTGAAGTTCGATGTAGCAATGCATGGTACGAGACAAATGGCATATTCTGTAGTAATATAACATATTGTACGGGTATTAGCATAACATTGCTATCCATCTGATGCACGCTGTGAATTAATCATCTCTCTGCCATCACCTTTCAAAAGAGAAATGCTGCAACATATGACACTTTTTGTTGCAGCATGCAGCCTTGCCCAAGAGTGAAATATATCAAAACAAACAAGATATGCTCTGAGATCATATGTGTTGGCTGGCCTACTGCTTGCCCCATATTTTGATAGTATAATTCTGTGATTGTGACTACTAGTCATAGTAGTACTATAGGCTAATGGTACTAATAGTAGGACCATCCTGAAACTAATAAGAAATGTGATCATACTAGTAGAAGTAGTAGTAGGTAGCAGCTAGTAAAGTTATCTTCAATAGGAGATGCAAAGAAATCTATTTTAGGTGGTGTTCTGTCAATGCACCAGCCAACACTCAACAAGAGAGAAACCACTCGTTAGAGCCAAAAACTCGTTTCTTCAAGTAGCACTACAACTAGTACCAAATGTGGAAGAATACTACTACTAAAGGTAAACAATGAATAGTTAACTAGTACAGTAACAGCATAAAGAATTCAAACAATCATTGACACAAGAACTAGTAAAGTTTACTTCACAGTCTCAGGCTAGTAATAGTTTTTTAATTTCTTCTGATAAGTGGTGGTTTGGAATAACACCAGCAACATTATAGTATAACTCATACCAGCAGGACCTCTTGTGTCTTTTATTCACCATGCTGGTGATACAACAACTTGTTGAAGTACTAGTACTCCTCATTGTTCATTGGTCTTCATTGTTCATTGTCATGTATTTCTCATTGTTCAATATCATGTATTGTTCATTCTGCACCAGCACTCCTCATTTTGAGTTCTGTTTTGTGCAATGGTTAGAGCTTTCCTATTTATGCTGCTGGTACCTCTCCTAGTAATAGTTCACATACTATGTAAAATTCAGTTCTTCTTACTACTACTAGTAGTAGTACTAGTAGTGGTAGAAGTACTACTACTACAAGCATGTAAATGTCATTTCAAAAGAAATGATTGGAGCTTTCAAAATTGCAACAACAATGTTTCTTTACACTCTTCATTCTTGTCTCCAACGGTAAAACCAGATATATGGTGGAGAATCTTCTCTGTTGGAATCATGATACTGCTTGAAATGAAATAGGCATTTGACCAAGTCACCTTTGAGAAGTTAGTCTGTACTACAAAGCCAATAGGTCTTATCTTGTTTTTTTTCAGTATCATACTCAAATCCGTAGTAGTAAACCAATCCACCAGTACTACTGAGGGGGGGGGGGGGGGTTGTAAGGGGGGTCACCAGAGAAATAATTGGTGACATCTTTAAATAGCAGTGTTTTGTACTATTGTGAGATCAAGAATCATTAGTAGTACTAGTACAATTCTATTTATGATACAATTTTTCTTATAATAGCCTCAATTAGTTTTTGTCCCCTTACTAGAATCCTGATTAAACTCCCCTGGAGTAGCCTACCCCTCAGCACAATTTGAACTGAGGGGAGTCTTGTTTTAAAATGGCAATAAGAAAGGAATTATTTATCTAGCAGAGCCTTCAAAGCAGTCAAATTGAGAGTTTTGGTGAACAGCTCCTCTAAGGCAGCTGTTACACCTTTCCACCAGCTTGATATTGTCCAAAAAACTAGTACTATTTATTCTTTTTTCTTGTTCTTGTCTGAACTAGTTGATGGGTGGACATATTGCAAGATTACTATTAGTACTAGTTGGATTCTCCTTGGTGACCAGATTTTTAGTTTGTTGGAATCAATGCCAGTTGGTTTTGTCAAACAAAAAATGCATAACCCTATGATATCATAGTGTACTGATTATTGCTCATTCCAGGACATTTTCCACTCAAAAAACATTTGTTATGTGCATTACCCTCCATGTCTTGCTAGGCAAAATGAAAACATAAAGAAAGACAAGACATGGGAAATGCAACAGTCAATCTTCCTCTGAGGATCTACCTTTTCTACTGGAGTTCGTTTTGTCAATGGTCTACTACTAGTACTAGCAGTAAGGACACAACCAGTGAACTAGTACTACTACTACTAGTATTACCAGCTCAGAATGGTCACACTCCTCATGGGCTACAGTGCCCACTGGATCTGCTCTCCTACAACTTTCCTCCTCCTCCTCTACAATTCTGTCTCCTGATTGCTTTAGTTGAATTGTCAATGTTACATTGCTTGTCATGGTGTAGATGCTGACAGAGACTATAGTACTAGTAGTAGAGCAACTCTTAATGATACTAGTAGTAGTAGTAGTAGTAGTAGTAGTAGTAGTAGTAGTACCACTACAATACGTTTTCAAACTTTACCTCTAAAATGATACAGCACAGCAACTAGTAGTAGTGCAACAGTAACAACAGCAGCAGTAGCAACAACAACAACAAGTACTGATGACAGGTATAATACTACCAGTAGTAGTTCTTTCCTTTTGGTGACAGTTCTTCTTGCTCATGTTGTTAAAAATTGAGTCTACTAGCTAGTACTAGTACTAGTATGATACCTTTGTAACAGGAGATCAAATTGCATAAGCTGAAGCTACTAGTACTACTACTGATTCTGGTGGTGTGGGGCAGGTAAAGACAAAGAAGATCCTCAAGCTCTGGGCCCTCACTTGAAACCATCATGAAACAAGGAGAAAAAGAGAAACACAGAGAATGTTGCCTCTACTTCTTGTTTCTATTTGATTTCTCCCCCTTGGTGAAAGAAGGAGGAGAAAAAAAGAGAATATTATTATCTGGACAATATTCTCAATATTTCTCTTTGTTGAAATAATCATCTTGCCTTTACTTAGTTCTAGTTTAATGATGGGTGTATTCTCGTTGTACTAGTAGTAGTATGCATAAGCAAAGAAAAACATAGAGACTATTACCTCTACGAACTTCTCTTTGATTTCTTGTCTTCCCTGGTTAAAGAATGAGAAACAAAGAGAATAGTACTTGGGCAATATTGTCTTTGATTCTCTTTAATTAAATAATTGTATTGTTTTTTCACAGTGCTGGTGAAATGATGGGTCTATTCTCATTGTACCAGTAGTATGCATGAACAAAGAAGAAAACATCAGAGAGAATATAGCTGCCTATACTTGTTTCTCTCTATTTTCTTGATGTTTGAACAGAAGGAACCAAGGATAATATTTCCTGGTGGGCTATACCCCCTTGCCTGTGTCTCTTCTGTTACTAAGAATATACTAGAGAAAACCTATGGGAAGTCCTAATTTTGACTGRCAACTGGTGAAGTCTTCCGCAAATACAAATAGAGGGCCCTACAACACTACTACCCCCACCAGTCCCACCAACACAAGGTACGAGCACCATATTCTAGAATCACTGAAACAAAGTCAATGGAACTTAGTTTTGTTGTAGTACATGATGTATCTCCCTAGTGCTAGTAGTAGCAATGGGACTACTACTACTACTACCAGTGAATTGTTTGGGATGGTCTTGATGTTCTTGTTCATATCTATGTTCTTCACTCTGTCTGCACAACCACTTAAACAAAGCTACTACTAGTACTAATAATAGCAATGCCAATCTGCCTATTAGTATAAAATCAAGGCTGATGTGATAAAGAAAACCAATCAATGGTCTTCCCCTTGGGTTGCATACTACTATAAGTATCTATTGGTGGTGATGAATAGTACTAGTACTAGTATGATTAGTATCCACCAGCTTGTATTGTAGTATTATACCACCACAAATAGTACTACTAGTACTCCTAGTATCAAAATCCAAAAGCAAGGAGAACAATGAGGGCAGTAGGAATAGCGTTTTTGACATTGCTATAGAAACTCTAAGAGGAGGAGGAGGAGATGTAATATCATGTCCCCATGGTCCATTATTTTATCAATGTGGCTTCTCCACCACCTCCTCCTCCACCACCACTGCCCATAGTAATAGCAGGAGTTCCCTGCCTTTTCTTCTTGGTGTTGTTGTTGGTGGTCTCATTTGTAGCACACTATCATGTCAAAGAATATCATGGGTATTACTGATTGTTTGTTTGCTATCCACAAATTGCAGGAAAAAAGAATGGAGTCCCATAAGTTTGAATTCAAATGCTAGTGGGCGGACGAATTTGTCTTTCTTCTTTATATTCCACCATGAGAAAATGCCATCAACTGTAGCATGCTGGTTGTGTGATCACCAGTCATGGTGCTGTTCTTTTTATTCTTGTTATTCCTCTTGGTGGATGTCATGAAAACTGTTTTTATGGTTACAAGAACTAAATATCCTGCCAAATGACCCTCCAGTATCATAGTTAACAACTTCTGTTGTATCTGGGTTGCATGGTTTTTTCATCATACTAGTACTATGTGTATCCCTCTTGGGTCTCAAACAATCATGCATCATGCCAAGAGTCCTTTCACCTTCCATTGAGATGCCTGTACATCATTGTCATGTTTCTGACAAATTAAAGGTCAAAATCACCAACCTCATGAAACAAATGTGCAACCATAACATCCCTCTTAGGGCTCTCTTAGAGCTGGGAGGGCTTCAACCAATGGGCAGCCAAAGCTGAGAATTTTGAACTCTTTTCATGGCCACATCGGGACCTATTCAAAATATGCAAATCTGTGATGAAGGAATAGTAGACAGCAGCCCCAGAAATTGAGGGTGGTGGTGAGTTTCAAGGAGTTATTGTTGTTGTTGTTGACTGGAATTCTTACAAAGGTTTGTCGTCCTCCTCAGTTGATCCGTCCAATTGCAGTTGAAAACAAAGCTCTGCATTTTTCCTTATTGCAAACATCACTTTGGTCACAGAGGGCAATCATGACCTTTTGTTCCCCTGTGTGAAATCATGCTCTGATGTGGACGAGGAGGAGGAGCATTCCAGCACCAGCATGACAGCCGCACAAACAAGTTCAGCGCATCATTCTTGTTCCTACTAGTACTAGTACTACTAGTACTAGTACTAGTACTACTACTAACAACAAGAAGAAAGATCCATGATAAGTCCAAATCTGTGTGTACTACTAGTACTGTTTTTCTAAGTTTTCAGGATGACCCATTTGCTAATTAATTAGTAAAGTAATCGTTCAGTAGTATTATTGCGCTGCTGCTACTATCCTACTGCCATAGTACTAGTAGTACTACTACTACCATTACAATACTCGTACTAGTAGTATTAGGAGAAGTACTCCGTGAAAGCATCGTGGTAGGAAAATAAATATATCGAAATTAAAATATTTCGAAGTGAGACTCCCCCGACTTTCAACGCTTTTTTAACTTGCGAAAAGAACTTTCAAATTCCAAATCTTCACATTACGAACTCGTACGTACCCGTACTCTCACTACTTGGTGCTCTGGTTGCTACAGAACGTACTTTCCACTTTCTACACAACGTTTGTCGAGTGAAGGAATTCACATTCCACGACGTTCTTCCCTATTTTCGATGATGTGATTTTTGAGATCGATTCAAAATCTGATCACCAACGAACACATCGATTATGTCAGCCTGAGTTCCCATTTCATTCGTACAACGTTACCCGAACATTTTTCAATCAAACCAACCACTGGACGGCTCATCCTGCAACACAAAGACAACACTAAATTTGTTGTCCACAAAAGAAAAAAGGAAGAAACCAAAACAACAACAACAATGATTCTTGTTAGTTTCAAAAGCTTTCCGAGATGGCTTGCGGCAACTGCGGCCATCTCTGCCTTTGCTCTCCCAACCACGGAAGCTTTCCATCCGGTATCCTTGCAATCCACAACGGGAGTTTCTCACTCCTTGGGTGTCACTCCCGCTCCTTCCGTCATGGTGGCCGGCGGGGCACGGCAACATGCACATAATCGGCCATTGACGGTGATGTACCGGATCCGCTGCGAAAACAAATACTATCAGCTGGAAGAACTGGAAGACGCCGATAACTGCACCACGGAGCTCTTCCTGAAGGAAGACGGGACGATGGACATAATGGAAACGGACGGGCCCATCTTCAAGAAAGCAGTAGGCCACTGGGAAATCAAGGAGAACCAATTCGCCATGACGATTACCAAAACCTTTGTGACCGGAACCGACAACAAGAGCGACCCCACCGGCATGGGTGAGTTTTCCTTTGACGTCGAGCGCGTCTTCGAGGGCGAGATGACCGTGGTGGGCGGGACCGAGGTCGCCATCAACGGCAAGATTCTGGCCGAGGACGTTGTCACCTCCAAGATGGAAAAGGAGGTCGGCTTTTTCAACATGATCGACGGGACCGATCAGCGCCTGGAGCGCCGCCCGGACGCCCGGCCCAAAAACATTGGCGTGATTCCCTCTCCGATCGATTCGAACGACGTAAAGGGCCACGACGGGATTCCAAAGGAGTGGCTGGAACCACAAGCACCACAGGTGCCACAAATGGACGCCTTTGGAGGTGGAAGTTTTGGACAGGATGCCCAGGGATACGGTGGCGGTGGTGCTGGATACGGGCAACAGCAGCAGCAGCAGGCTAGCGATTGGGGGAGTGGTAGTGCCGGATACGAACAGCAGCAGCAACAAAGCCCGGGGATCTCCGAGTACGGAAACCCCGGCACCTTTGGACAGGAATCACAGGGCTATGGAGGTGGCGGTGGATACGGACAAGGAGACAACGGAACGAACGATCCCGGACCGTCCTTTGCGGATTATTACGGACAACAACAACAGCAGGAGCAGCAACAAGAAGGGTACTACGGCGATGGTTCCCAGCAGCAGCAAACAGAATACGAGCAAACCAATGGCGACGGCAACACCGGTGGCAGCTGGGACGATTACTACAACTCCCAGGGCGGTGCCGGCGTATCGCCGATGGGAGGCGGAGGGGGGCCCAACCCGTGGCCGTAAACCGAATCCATCCGACCCGGATCGCGGTGTGGACGCAACGTGTTGTGCAGCGGGATCGGAGCCCGCCGAGCGGTGCGGCAATCGCACGCACAGCAATCCGACGAAACCAATAGCTACGACACAGAGCCATAGATAGTGTTAGTAGTATTATTTTATACATCAAGACGAGCCCGAGTCCAAGCAACGGATCGGCGCAGCACTAGCACTAGTAGCATGCTGTATTCTCGGGTGGTTCGGTTCCTTTCGTAGAAACAATCGCAATAGTAATGGATGGAACAAAGAATTCTAGAAAAGCGAGGGTGTTTGGTCGCTCTCTTCGATGCATCTTACAGTAGCTGGGTCATACAAATGTTGCGTCTTTCGTGCAAAACTTGTACCGTATTGCTTGCGTCTGTTGTCCATTTTCAATTTTCCATTGTCCATTGGGTGACATGAGTGGATGTCAGGTGTTTTCCCGCTGCCGCGGAGCACCGAAGAAGCATGGTACGAAAAAGTACTTGCACCATGAGTGAGTTTCAGCAGGTGTCGCAAGGCACACCTCGTGACTACATGGCTACGTTCCAACCGAAAGACATACTAAACCACTCCCCTGAGGAACCAGAGTGGTTCAATGATTCCTCCGGCGCTTGTCCGGCAAAGAAATCGACTCGTTTGTTCGGAGAAACAATTCTAAGCTACTCGTTGGGTATGCTGATACTTTGTGTGTGTGGTATATATAAATGGATGTGGTTTAGAGGAAGCACGGTACACCGCACGTTACTTACTACATAGCACCCGTCAGTACACCGAATACGAAAAAGCAGTAACGCAGTCAATGAAAGCACCATTCTATAGTAGTACGCAGTAGAAGTCTACCGAAAGGATGCAAGGCTGGCAGGCAGGACCCGTCCCTTACATGGCCATGCCGGCATCGCCCACGGCGGCAACCTCGACCTGTGCCTGTTGCTGGGCAGCGAGCTCGGCGGCGGCCTGTGCTTGTGCGGCGGCAAGGGCAGCGGCCTGTTGCTGGGCTTCTTGTGCGGCCAAGAGGGCGGCGGGGTCGACCTCTTCCTTTGGCTCCATGATGGTGACGACGTCATCGAGAGGGATCTTGGGACCGAGCTGTCCCTTGGGGTCGTGGGGCAAGAAGATGGAAACACGGATTCCGATGACTCCCTGTCGCATCATAACGTGTCGAACGGCGGTATCGGTGTATACCTGTCCGGCGTGTCCGGTCTTGATCATGTAACCGTCTCCGAACTTCATTCCCTTGGCACGCTGTCCCCGGAGCTTTCCGGTGACAATGACCTCGCAACCCTTGGCGGAGGCCTCCATGACGAATCGGACAACTCCGTAGCACGCACGTCGGACGGCGAGTCCTCCGAGGAGCTTGAACTTGAGGGACTCGGCCTGGGCCTGGGCGCAGAGGCCGCGGTTCTGGACGCGCTCGGCGTACAGCTCGACGGCGCCATCGGCGAATCCGAATCGCTTCTGGACGACCGAGGTCAGCTCACGGATGCGGCGTCCGTTCTCTCCCAAAACGTTCTGGGTGCGGGTGGCCCGGATGATGATCTCCGTGCGGTGGGGGGTCGTTCGGACCTCGACACCGGCGTAACCGTCCTCGGCGAGCTCGGCAATGAGCAATTCGTTGAGTTCGGCGTAGAAGACTCCGTCGGCGACGAACTTGCGCTTGGTAGACATGCGTCTGTTTCCTAGTCCTGGCATCTTGTTGGTGGTATACTTATTTAGTTACGTAGCAGAACGGGTTGGGGATGAGCTATGGTGTAACGGAGTACGGAGCTGGGTGGGTTGTTGAGGATAGAGGCGGTTTCGTGTCGGGTTCGAAAACACAACACAACACAACACAACATACCGCAACACATACGAGTATCGTACCACAACACACAAAACCTACGGTAAATTTCCCGTCTTCCGTCGTTCGTGCGGTGGCAGCCCTAAACTCTCCACCGTACAAATTTGTACCAATACCCCGTACGTAAAAGCCGTAACCGTGCAATTTTAGTGATGAGGTAAAGCATTCGGTTTCCACCGTGACCGACGATGGACAGACAGATATGCTTTCGTCCTCTTACCACTTACTTGTGCTTGCTGATCTCTGATTTTTGCTCGTCGCCCGGTTTTGGGTTTCTCGTTACTCCCTTACTAGCTGCACGCAGTTGCTACTAGCCGTGAAAGACCTACCGTTTCCGTGGCGTGCGTCTTGTCTGCCTCCGCTCGGGAAAGCCTCTCCAGCGACACCAACGGTATCATCATTACCTCTTGACAAGGAACCAAGCTACCTTAACGACTCGAAGTGATCAATCCATCCACCCTATAGTAGAAACCAAACCAAACCAAACCAATTGCTACCATGAAATTCAACGCCAACGTATCCAGCAGCCGCCGCAAGTCCCGCAAGGCCCACTTCGGTGCCCACAGCGAGGCCCGACGAAAGCTCATGAGCGCCAACCTCTCCAAGGAACTCCAGGCCCGACACGGCGTCCGATCGATGCCCATCCGCAAGGACGACGAGGTCTTGATCACCCGGGGAATGTACAAGACCCGCGAAGGAAAGGTCACGGCCGTCTACCGAAAGAAGTGGGTCGTTCACGTCGAGCGCATCTCCCGGGAGAAGGTCAACGGCGCCACCGTTCCCGTTGGAATCCCCGCCTCTGCCCTCGTCATCACCAAGCTCAAGCTCGACAAGGACCGAAAGGCCAAGCTCGAAGCCAAGGCAGGAAAAAAGGGTGAAAAGAAGGACGAAACCATGGCCAACGTGGACTAAACCATTTCGAATTTCGAGAAAAAAAACAAAACGAATCCAGCGAGCACTGCCAAGGCAACCTCCGCACACTCTACTATAGAAACCAAAATTATGTAACCCCCTACACCGCAGCACACCACATTGCACATCTTTTTTGTAGCTTGAACCCGGCACCAGGCACTGCTTGCTCTGCCACCCATCGGTTTCGTACGCCAGTGGAAATTGCACCAGGCTCTGCTTGCTCTGCAACCACACGGCCTCCGATCGAGACTTGTAGTAGAATATGTATTGTATTATCATATTAGCTGAAGGAAAATGAAGAGCAAAGAGCACAGAGCACAGACCACACAACAATCAGCATCTCCTGAATCCAGCGTCTTTCCTAGTAAAAACTTGTGATTTTTTTCACTCGAATCTAGGTTCTAAATATTGCTAGAGTCGTAGGGCAAGACACAAAACACTTCCGGTTCCTGTGTTTCACGTGCTTTACAAAGGTCTTGCTCAGAGACTAATATTAATAGTACATTAGGAGTACCAAACTATGATGTCCGAAGCAGCGATGTTGTTCAACCTTTAGGAATGATACGTGGTGTAAGACACGATGGCATCACCAAAGTAACCGTGAATACTGCCCTGGTGGTGTATATCTTGTTGTTTCAGCTCTCTTTGATGCACGTGCAATAAATTATATGAAACTATCGTGATCATTCCTGCCGAGGAAGCGCACTTCCGATCCGAATCTTTTCACGGTCGTTCCTTCCCTCAGATTCCTATTAGCCCTCTGGTTTGTTCCTAGGTCTGCCGTCACTCTGCACCCTACGGCATCGAAAGCATTTCTATTCCAGGAGCAGCTGTATACTCTGGGTGTGCGCATGCCGGAAACGAACCTATCGATTGCACGAAAGAATGCTCTGCGAACGAATGCATGGCACTCCCAACAAATGGTACAAGTGCTACGAGAGTTTCTGGTTCGACATGTACGGTACGAGACTACAGTGTTAACCATGATCCTTTAGCAACAGATGGTTTTTGCATTCCATTCCATTCTACCAAGCCACACCACACCACACCACACCACACCATTTCAGAAGCGAAACGCGGGAACGACGTGGGTGGGGGTGTGCCCCTCCCTGGCAAAGAATTCTTCCAGGACGGCCCGGCTCGGCGGCAGGTCCCTCTCGCCCTCCCCCCACAGCTCCTCCGCGTGGATCCCGCCCGCCACAAAGATGCTCGGGATCCCGGAAGCGTTTGCACCGGCCACGTCGTGGTGGAGGGAATCGCCGACGTGGGCGACCCTCAGAGCGGCGCGGGGTCCTTCTCGTTCCGGTTCTCCACCGGGGGCCGGTGGTGGTTGTTGCTGCTGCTGCTGCTGTTGCTGGTTGCGCCGCCGGTGGGCCAGATCGAGGTCCCGCAGGCAGGCCTCGAAGTGCTCCCTGTGGGGCTTTCCAAAGATCCGAATGGTGGGAGTGCGTTCGCCGGTGCCTTCGCCCCCCTCTGCGGTGCTCCGCTCCCGGAGGATGCGCTCGTAGGCCCCCGCGAGTTTCCCCGGCATGTGCTTGAGGCTTCCGTCGTGGTACATTACGACCTCGTCGGGATTGGCGCAGACCATGGGGAGGTTCGCGTCGGCGCACCTCGAGAGGAGGCCGTGGATAGGGGTCCCCTCCCCCAGGTCGCCGTCGTCGAGAAAGGTCCCCATGGAGCGGACCTCGAGCCCGCGATCGCCACCGCCACCGTCTCGAACCCCCCGGATCGCCCCCGATCCGTGGGCCACCACGAAATCGGCCCTGTCGACGTCGAGGGTCGGTTCGATGCCCGGTCCGCACAGCTCCAGGAACTCGAGCGGATCGGGGACGTTTTGGTTGTCTCGATCCCAGGTGCACCAGACGAAGAACCGTTTCGTTTGTCTTTCTGTTTGTCTTTCAGCTTGTGCCGCCGGAGGCCCTCCAAAGGTTTCCCGTATGTACCGGGCGGCTTCCTCCCCCGAGGTAACGGCACCGATGAAGCGGGACCGATCAAAGCCGAGCCTGTTGTGCAAACGGTCCAGCGTCGTTTTGGCCGGGCTGCTGGTGTTGGAAAGGACCGTCAGCAGCAGCTGTTTCCGTGTTGTTTTTGGTGTGTCGTCGTCGTCGTCGTCGTCGTCTCCGGACGAAACCGCGGAGATGCGCTCGACGCAGTCCACGGCACCGGGGAGGGGATCCTTCCCGTTGTGGAGGACCCCAAACTGGTCCAGGATAAAGGCGTCGTAGTCGTGTTCCGAGAGGAGTTCCGAAATCGAGGAGTGGATGGTAAAGGACGACGGCGACGGCGACAAAGGGGAGGAAAAAAGGGTCGTTGCCCCGCGGTCCGCGCCCGGGGCCTTGTCCTTGGCTGCCAGGGCCGCGGCGCTCCACACCACCGAGCGTCGCGCGGAAGGCCAACCGCCGGACAGCAGCAGGGCGGTGGCGGTCCACAGACCACAACCGCGGGAGAGGGAGGGGGGCTTGGGCCGCCGCATCCCGTTCTTGGCTGCGATGGCTATGCTTCGCTGCGCCGCCATCCCTGGCGTCCTCATCGTGCCCGGGTCGCTCTTTTGTTGTCTCTGGTTTGGGATGCTGGCTTGTTTTCCTTCCTGTTCCTGCGGTCGCTGTGCCGATCGTTCCCTGAAATATACCGGTACACTTGATGTAGTTTCTATTTTCTTGAACGTGCATTAGTAGTAGTAGCACTGGTACTTCTACGTATTAGAAGTACTGCCATTGGCAGCGGTACGTACGTATCTACAGACGTTCCACTTTACTGTACCGTACGAAGTACGAAGTAGTATTTTCTTTCCTATTCACAACACGTACATTATTCACACCTACGAATGTATGTTCGTATCTGGTAAGGTACATTCATATGTTCAACAATATGTTCCTACCTGCCGGAAGGTACAGGTATGCCATAACGGTACGATACTCGTACAGGTAAGTAGAAGCCTTTCGACTTCCTTAAAACCCGATCGATGCTTTGTCACATGTCAAATGTCACGTACCGGCCTGTAAGTACGGTACCGTATGGTACCCTACGACAGATTTCAGTATTTTGAAAATGCACCACTAGCGGTCAAAACGATCTGGGAGCCCCGTATGGAGCTTTCAATTCTACACCTTTTCTTCGCTCTCAAATTGCAGCTTCACAAAACTTCGCCCGAGCGTGCATAGCTAGGGGCCTATACAAAGCATCTTGTGGTCGGGCCGACTTGTTCTTTCTGTGCAATTTTTTTCGCTTGAACCGTATCCAATACATTTTGTCGAGACGGAACGAAGATTTTTTGGTGTTCTTGTTCTTGACCTTGACTGGCATCAATCAAAAATCCCTTGGTGAGGCCAAAACTACGTGGTGGACGCGGTACAAAAACAGCATTCACTGTTTCCCCTCGAATCCCAATACAATACAAACCGACGCTCTTGCCAACTAAATCAAAACCAAATAGATCCATACTAACACACTCAAAACCATGAAGCTCTCCGTCCGTATGCTCGCCACTTCGCTGCTCGTGGCCAAGGTGTGGTCCGCAGATGATGCCAGCGGCACAGATATCCTCGGCGAGCTCATCAGTGGCGTGAACGAAACCATCAATGAACTCATGGACACCCCGCTCGTCAGCTGTGCCATGGACGACTACGAGCTCTGGACCGACAACCAGGCCCTGGAGGCCGCGGTCGACGACTACTGGGGTTCCGAGGACTACCATGAATCCGCTGCCGCGGTCATGGGTTCCTCCGAGGAGCACTACACCATCTCCTATTCCGACGAGGCTACGGAGGCCTACAAGCAGGCGTGCATCTCCGCGGGCGGACTCTGGGACGCACTGCCCGACCAGACCGTCGACTGCACCTACGACGAAGCCGGACACACCCACACGGTCACCATTACCACCGTCAACTACGGGGGATGCACTCCCGACTCGGATGCATGCAGGACAGTTAAGGGGCAGTGGGAAGCCTTGGTTGTGTCGTTTACCGAACTCATGCTGGACGAGGGCTTGAAGTGTACACTGAAAGAACCGGCTGATGACGTTGTCGATGCCGATGTCGATGCCGATGCCGATGCCAGTACCACCTCGGCCGCTCCCTCGGTTGGTGCCTTTGCCTCGGCCTCGATTGCCGCCGGTCTGGCTGTTGCTATGGTCTTGTAGGCTACAAGAGCATAAACGACAAGACAACCCAACGGCTTCTTGTCTGTCACTGATTCCGTTGGAAGAAGTGTTGTTGTTTCCGTATGTGTTGGCTTTGTGACTATGTTTCAGTTCTATGTTATCTTTTCTGCTATGTATCCCGTCCCATATTGAATATCTTTACACGACTAAGGTGTGTCGGTCTATTCAAATGCGATGGTTTGGTCGGATCGAATCGATTATAGTGAATATATTTAAGAAATATTGGAATAATTATTTAAAAATAACTACAAAAATGACTCTGTTGATACAGTTGATTTGGAAACATCGTCTGTTTCGGAATTGCAGTACCGAACATAAAATACTACGACAACGTTGCCATCAGTATTACGTTTCATGCGATGTGACATGATGCGATGTGCAACAATACTGTCATGACATGAACGAAATGCAGTGCAATGCTCCTGCTTGTACGACGGTACTCGACGCTACCGGGAATGCCCATTTCATTCAAAACAAACTCCTTCGCTTCGCAACAACAAAATGGGTGTATGGTACGGGGTTGTGTCTCTGCACTGCCTCATGGTTTGAACAAGAACGATAAAGTGCTGTTCCCTACCGTATGCTGGGACGGTTGTCAGTATTGCTTTCTGAATCAGCGGTATCGTACGGTATGGCGCGTTTAAAAAAATACAGTAGAGTAATCTTCATATCATGCTATCTTGGACACCCTACCAGTAGTGTTGTGGTTGATTCTACGGAAGTACGGACGATGCAAAAAGTTATCACAAGAGGTGTTCGTTTCTGGAAAGGTACATACATATCGTTACGTGGGGGGGTACCGTTCTACTCGTAATTCCCGTAAGAATTGAGCTCCCAAGCAATCCGCTATCAAGTAAGAGAGTACCAGTACTTCTACCAAAAAAGCATTACTACTTGAAAATTTCGTATATGCCTCAACCCTCGAATGAACTTTCTTGCGAGTTCTCGAAGAGTTGTTAGCTTTTTAAAAAAATAAATTTATTCGGCGGTGTTTTCATTGTTGCATACCCGTCTCTCAAGAATCTATGCCCCAAAATCCATCAGGCAATACAAATTTGATTCACGATCGAAGAAAGGAAGAATCATCGTCGACTCCCAAAAAAACCCGGTAGAGTAACAGCGAGTTTGTAAAGGGACACGACGCGACGAAGATTCCGAGAGCTCGTAGTACCCTTCGGGTCATGACGGTAACTCGTAGTAGTACATAAAAGTAGGTGTTGATTCCGAGGATTTTGATTGGTTCGATTGATTCACTTGGAGCCTTCGGCCTCGGGTGAAGCATAAAAAACAAGCGCAAACAACCTCTTTCGATCATACTCTATGCGCTAATGCGCTAAAATTTTAGTAGTAAATCAGAGACAGAAAATCAGAGACAGAAAAACAAACAAAACAAACTCCGTACGAATTTCAATAGTACTTGTTCCACGGTTTCTAGGGGAACGCATCAACGAAAATACCGCCAGCCCAACGAGTTCGTCCTCTCTCTCCCTACAGGCCGGTACAAGTATGGTAAGATGTCATGTCCATCCTTACTCAATAACCAAACCAAATCCATCAATAATCAGTAAATCGATCGATGGACGCGACACCCAACCATCACTAAATACACAACAGCCGCAACAGCCGCAACACACGCAACAACCAACTAACGCACAAAAATACAACAAGCAGTGATGCGCCAATTATTCACGTCCGAGTCGCTCGTCGATCGGTGCGACGAAAGCAAGTGTTTGTCGACGGGCCTGGCTCCCCCGAACGACGCGGATGCGGAATCCGAGCAGCTCTTCAACTGCTGGGCCCAGGGACCGGGAACCCTCTTTCCCTATATGTGCGCGGACGGCTACACCGGTGTCCCGGTCCCGGGCTGGGAAAGCGACAGCAACGACGGCGTCCACTATTTCACCTGCTGCCCCGGATCCGGCAACCCGGACCCACCGCCGGTGCGCGAGTGCGGAAACACGCGGGCCCTAGACGCCGGCGATTCCAACTACCGGGACGACCAATCGCCCGCCGACGTGCTGGAAACGCTCTGCAGCACCTCTGMCGGTCTTCCCTACGGACGCTTCATGACCTTTCTCCCGGGCCTGCCCCGGTCCTACCTCTGCTGCAGCGTGGATCTCGACGAGGGCAGCAGCCAGGATGGCAGCAGTCAGGACGAGATGCCTGAAGGGCCGGTTGGCGAGAGTGCGACGGTTGGCACGGACAGAGCCAACAGCACGGGGCTTGAGAGCTCCACCTACGGGGATGATGTTGGTGGTGGTTTGGATCCGAACGAGTACTCGGGTTTGGGTTCGGGTTCGGATTGCATGGCAAACGTGTTTTGTGGGGACTGYACCGTGACCAACACCTTTGGAAACATCCAGGTAATGAACTGCTACAGCGATGTCTATCGGTTTCCCGTGATTGTGGAAACGGACGGGAACACCGCYACGTACGAGTGCTGCATGTCGGACCCGTCTGCTGCGACGCAGCCCTGTGTCTTTGTTGTTGACTCGGCTGCTTACAGGGCTACTGTTTGGACGCAATTCGCCCTAGCAGTGGTGGCTTCCGCCATGTCGGTGCTCCTCATCACCGCGGTGGGGCGGTCCCTGTTTCTGGCCCGGCGAAGCGCAAAGACAAAACCGAATGCCGCGAAACATTCCGGCAGCGACTACTCGTCCTACAACCTCTACCTGGTCTTGCTAGCCATTCCCGACCTGGCCTACAACGTGTTTCTGATGGGGATCGTTTCGGTACACTTCCAGAACGGCTGGATCCCCCAGCTCGACCCGATCATCACCTTTTGCGCGACKTCCAACCAGTATCTCAACGCGGTAATTGCGAGAGAGGTCCTGGTCCTGCTGCAGACGACCAAGGCCTGTCGGAAGCACTCCCCGCCCACGCTCGCCAGGGCGGGCCTCCAGTTCCTGGCGGTTTCGGTCTACGCCTCKTTGCTGGCAATCGCCTGGTACTTTCTCCTCTACCACGACAGCGACGGCACGGAACGGTCGACCGTTTCCATCCCCATGCGGAGGCTCACCGTCCCGATTTTTTACGTACTGGTGGTAGCCATTCCGGCGGTGTACCTGATCTGGGTCTGCTTCGTGATCTGGCGCCAGCAACTCCTCCCCAAGGGACAGATCGGCTGGACGAAACAGGCCACCACCACTGCCGCCGCAGCAATCCCGAGCAACAGCCGCAAAACGAACAGCAACAGCAACAGCAACAGCAACAGCAACAGCAACAGCAAAACGAACAGCAACACCAACCACGGCAACGGCAGCAGCAACAGCGGCCACCGAAACAGCAGCGAACCAGGCGACAGCGTCTCTGCGCATCCAACGGCACACACCGTAGCAACGATGCAGCAACAACAGCAGCAAGAGCASGCCTCGGTCAAGAGCGAAAGGCGTTGGAATTGGCACTCGCATTCGACCACGGGCAATGTTTCGCACAGAACGACAACCACCACGGCGAGATCGTACAGAACGACCACCACCACCACCACGACAACCGCTGCCACCACCGCCCGCACCGGTCGATTGAACGTTCTGGCCGTGTACTTTGCGCGGATCATCCTCGTCTTCTTCCTGGTGTGGCTCCCGGGAATGATCATGTACTACATTGCCTACCAACCGAACAAGAACGCCGCGAGCCTGATGCACAACGTCGGGCTGATHTTTTTGTCGCTGCAGGCCATTCTCTCGAACGCCATGGCCATGAGCAAACCGGACGTGGCGAGGGCCATCCGGGAGCTGCTGCGGCTGTTCTGTCCACCGCGCAACAACAGCAACAACAACAACAGCAACAACAACGGCGCCGAGGAAGCGGAAGCCTCACGGTCCCCCCAAGGCCGGGGGTACGGTTGCGGCTCGAGCTGCCACCGGCGGCCAAAGAAAGGCCTCCTTCGGAAGGACGGCCGGGTGGTGGTTTCCCACCCAACAGACGACGCCGAGGCCCCGARGCAAACCTCCGGGGTGACCGTGGACCACGCCGGCCGCATCGTCACCACCAATCCCCACACCTTTGCAAMTGACGAAGACCCGGTCTCGACCATCACCACCGGCACGACCTCCAGCTGTGCCATTGGGGCCAACGGCYATTCGCACRCGGAGGTGACGACCATCCACGAAGACGAGCCGTACCCGACCGAATCGGAGGGAACCAAAGCGCCGTGAAGCTTGCTTGCACCGTACCGTACGGAACCATCGAYTGCGCCCATTGGCAAACAGAACCTTTTTGTTTCGTTGTTTGAAAAAAGCCGGGCCTTCTCCGTTCCGTGGAGGCGCTTTTAACCGGATCGAGGATTCCCAACCACCCAAGCACGGGCGAGGTATTCTTCGCTTCGGYAGAACGGACACAAACCAACCGGCAGGGGCTCCGGGGATGCCGGCGTTGGTGTCCAGGGATTCGGGCCGGTGTCGGCCTCYGTGTCCGGCTCGCGGCCGACCGATGTGCGTTTGGTCTTCGCGGGTGCTGCTTTCGCCGCCCGCTGACCAGGGGACTTGCAAAAGTCGGATGGACAGGAACCRCACACCAAGCAAAGAAAGAAATACGGGCAGCACGTGCGTGCGGCAACGGCAAAGCATCGAGATCGTTTTGCAGAAGCATCCCGCGCAAAACGAGTTGTTGGTTGATCTACCGTACGCGGCCTTCGCTTTTTGCGGAGATGGCTTTGTTTCGAGAGCGAGTCGTCGTCCGAAAGCGAACAAAACAGAGGCATATTAAACAATAATCATATCTTTGCCAGAAACAAACCATTAGAATGCGACTACGTAGTGTTGTATTGTACCGTAGGGTATCGTACTACCCTAGTAGTCGTACTCTTACCGCAGAAAATTCGAATCCCCGTTTTCGAGTATGATTCGTACATTCTATTCTTATGGTTGGGAACTCTTTGAAGGTCGAAGTGGTATCATACGTACGATACGTACCGTACAATTTACATTACTAGTACATAGGACAAGCACTAGAACTCGTGCTCTTGTTGCGTTGACGTTGCGTTGATCGTTGATCGCAATTCAAGAGTACGTACGTACGTACGGTACAGTATGTATGTGTACTTTATTGTACTGTATCTAACATGCTCCTTTCGGTCCATTCTCGTTGTTTCGTTTTTCGTTTTTCTGTATCCTGCTGTTGAGCTTCAACCCACACCAGCGTTGGATCAAACGCAACAAACGGTCCGTCCACAGCAGGTACGACCAAAGCAACGACCAAAGCACCGCTGGTTCGACCCACTGCCCGGCCAATCGATTCGATAGACGCGACACGGAGCTTTCAGACGATGCCAGTGGCTGCCAAGCAACRCCAGCTCCGGCACCGGAAGGGCCCGTACACGTGGGTCCTTGCCACGACGGCTGTTTGGTGGCTCCTCGCCGCCGCCGTTTCCGTGCCCTTGGGACGCTCCTCCTTGTTCGTTGCCGAGGGATTCGCTCCGGCCCCAGGGGGAGCGGGCCGGGGATCCTCCTTTCTCCCTATTCGCAGCGGCCGCGATCCCCGGCTCTTCTCGCAAGGCGAAAGCGAAAACGAAAACGCAACCAAAACCGAAAACGATCCCCCCTCCKCCCTCTCGAAGGAGCTGCTGGAAACCGCCGCGGAGCTGAGGAGGGACGTCGCCGCCTACGAGGCCTCCAAGAGGGAGGCCTCCGAGGCCGCCGCCTCCGAGAAGGCCGCCAGGGAGGCCGCCGCCGAGGAGGAGAGGCTCCGCATGTCCGCGGTGCTTCCCATCCTCAAGGGGGACGGGACCGAGGTGATGGAGCGGTGCTTTTTTTCGCGCAGGATCGCAAGCAGCRGCTCCGGCAGCCGGATCGTGGTGGCCACGGCCCCCCTCCCCCTGGGCATCGTCCTGGGCCAGGAGGAGAGCAGCCCAAGGGCCGGTGGCTTTTGTCCCATCACCGTCGACGGGGTCGCCGGGGGGAGCCACGGGGAGTCCGCCGGCGTGGAGGTGGGCGACCTCCTGCGGGCCTGTACGGCCTGCTCGGTGACGATGGAGCAGCCCACCTGGCAGCTCCTGGCCGGGGGCATCGGCCGGCCGGTCACCACCCGGAGGATGGTCCCGACCGACAACCTGCCGCTCGAAGAAGCCCTGGAGTGCCTGGCCTCGAACGCGGCCGACGACCGGAACGAGGTCTGGCTGGTCCTGGAGCGGGGGCCGGGGGGAGGCGGTGGCGAAACCGAAACCGAAAGCGAAACCGAAGGCGGCCGAGACGACGGCAGCGACGAACCACAATAGCACGAATCCGTGACAACAAAACGAAACGAAAGGAAAGGAAAGGAAAGGAAAGGAAACAAACACAAACACAAACACAAACTGTTCCAACCGAACCAGAAAAGGCAGCAACGAACCCCAATCCCAACGGTCTGGTTCCTCTTCTTGTTGTTCCTCTTTGGTGGGTTCTTCCTCCTCCTTCTTTGCGATTGCTACAAGCTTTTCTTGGACTTCTTTGTATGGGTTAACGAGTGTGATTCCGCGGTTCTGTAGATCAATAGCAAGTGTTGCCATGCTCTGTCGTCAGAGGGAGTTACAAGAGGAGGGAGGAGAACAATGTTATTGTTAGCAAATTTTAAAGTTGAAAAAACATTTGTCAATCTATTTGCAGTTTCTACGTTCCTCTTKAGGTYAATCAATTTGTAATTTCTATGTTCCTCTWTAGTAATCAAACTTTGGCCTTGGACTCGAGCTAATGCTCTCGACCGAATCCTCAGTTTGATTACTATAGTAATCGAACTTCGGCCTCGGTCTTGAACAAGCAAAGCTCTCGATCTCGTCCTCAGTTAGATTCATTAGTATGCATTCTGATCCGTGTTCTTGAGAAACTCACCTTAAGTGAGAGAAGGAAGTCATGCACAGTCTCGTGCTGCGCACAGTTTCGTGACCACACATAATTTCATTCTCTCACTGAAGGTGAGTTTCTCTAGAGTAAGGATCAGAAGGCATACGGATTAACTTACGGCGTGAGTAGCTCACCGATTATGAATTATCGTTGAGTTGCTGTTTTTGTGTTTGTAAACCACATGAATACCGAGGACGCTGATACGAGTCGCTGGTGGATACAGAGGAGGATGCAGATACGGAGGAGGACGCTGATACTATTCGAGTTGCAGATACGAAGGAGGAAGCTTGATATGGAGGACCCTCAATACAGCGGAAGACACGACGCTGCACTCGTTGCCGATAGCAGGATACTGGATACGGAGGACGCTGATATGAGTCGCTCACCAGGAGCTGCTGCTGATACGGAGGACGTTGACGCTTGCTGTACGATGTAACATGCTATCGAGAAGCAGTTTAGGGTACCGCCGATGCGTTGCGGAGAACTACCTATACAGCAGCACGAGGAGCAGTTGTTTCGGAGAACTACCGATTGATKTTTATTGCTAATTTATTGCATTTGTATTTACATTTACACTGATCCACAAACTTGCCTTGGTGTCTAGTCTGGGAAGCATACTAGAATGAGGGCAATTCTCCCGTACACCAAGTTCAACGAGCACAATGTTATCTCCTGCTAGTTGGGTGCTCTTCTATTGCAAACCACGCATTACCACGCAGCAAGGAACCTTCCAACATTCCCAGGTCAACATCACCATCAAAGAGCATGTCCGTTGTTGTCATAAACAACAAGATTTCCGTCGTCTGRCATTACCAATTGATGGTCGTTTCTATCCTCTGTACTGGTTGCAAACAATGCTCTTCGATTGCCACTTGAACAAAGTGGGTTGCCTGAAGGTTCGCAACTAAATACGTGTGAAAACGTTGATGAATGGTGCCAGTGCCAAATACTTAATTCCCAACCAAAATTACCATAGAATTTGGTTCCCCATCCGCCTGGTTGGTTGTAGGTCTTGTAGTTTTGTGTGGCATAATCAACTCCGACCCCCACGCTCGCAGATACGATTTTGATTCCCACCTTCATATTACCGTATCCATCATATCCAATGAAATATTCGTTCCCGTCAACACCCTCAGCATGCAATGTAAGACTCCCATCTATCTCAATCGTGAGATCGTGACCGTGAATACCTGCAGAAGCAGTGACTGATAGATAAACCTCGTATGTTTCCTCAGTTGGAGATTTATCGCCGCTGCTAGAATCATAGTTAAACGATCCCTTCAGACAACCTTTGATGTTAAATTGGGCCCATCCCGAATTTATACCTTCCGTTAAGCAGCCTTCCGCCATGGCCGAGGCCTTCAGGAGTCTTGGATCAGGCAGCCCTGCAGTTTGTAAATTAGTTGTCAACGCAATGCTACCTCCAGATCCTCCGTTCAAGTTAAAGTCCAAAGTAAAATTTGATGCGAGCGTCCCGTTGGTTGAATCTTTCAACTCAAGACAAATGGAAGAGCTGCTACTACAGCCAGACGGAATCTTCAAGTCAAATTTCGTGTTTGCTTCAGAAACCTCAGGAAGAAGAATGATTTCATCTAACACGATTGGACTCTGGAAACCACCAAATGCTCTCGCAATTTCGTCTGCGCTTTTTCCATTATCACTTTCATCAAGGAGTTCAAACTTGGTGAAGATTGTTTCATGCAACACCTCTTGACGGTTGATACTTTGAACTTTGTATGGTTTACCGTCCATTYCCTCAAGATATACAACTGTATCAGGTTGAAGTCCTGCGTCAACCATGTGTAAAATTCTATCGTCGCCGTCTTTATCCATCATRTCATAGATTGTAGCMGTGTATTTCCTCAACCTTTTATTGTTTTCGACGATTTCAGCCTCAAACTTAAAATGCTCCGCTGGATCTTCCATCTCCACTGCGCCAGAGCCGGACCCAGAMGCTTTGCATTTTTCATCTCGTGTTGTACCTTCTTTGGATTTGACTTTGCTGCCAATCGGATGGCGGATGTCCGGTGGAGCACCAGAAGTGATTTCATCGGCATAATCACAGTATGATTTTGCAGCATAAACTCCTGTTTGCTTGACATACCTTCTTCCTCTGATATCTTCATGCAAGAAACCGCCTTTTTTGATTTGCCTTGCTTCATCGGAACAGCCATGCATTTTCACTCCTGGGATACAAAGAGTTCTATGTTCGTATTCCAGTTTATGAGGGCGACTAAGTAGAGCTCCGACTATAGGACTTGGGGCAGGGTCGTTTTTCTTGTCCTTCTTGGTCTTCTGGGTCTTCTTGGTCTCCTTGGTCTTCTTGTCCCCTTTTGGTGCGAGAACTCGATGTAGAATTCTATTYGTATCCATTTCACTGCTTTCAGAATACTCGTTGCTGATTTTACCAGATGACTGATGTGGATCAGATTTCGAGACCACGAGGCTCGAATCTACCTTGGCTTTAGACAGCAAAAAGCCGACGAGGATGCTTTGAAACTTCATGATGGGARACTTTTATCGGAATRGAACTATGGTTTRTRTTCGGATAGAGGTAAAAACAACGTTATGATCAAAATGTGAACAACATAACTGCAATCTTTCGAACTTRGAAGCAAAATTCTCCACCATACGAGCCAGATTGTGATATCTCAAGATGTCATGATATTATCYAYTGATACTTCCTTCTACTCAACGGGCTATTTTGCTTTCACTRTTTAAAGATAAAGATTCCAAATGTTTATTGCGATCCTACTTGTGTTTTTTCTTACTACTCCAATTGTCGCAAGTCGAGGCTTCCCTTCATTCTTCTTAGCCGATGAGGCAGTACTCTCTTTTCGATATCATTCCTTAATGTTTTTGATCATTAATTATCCAATGCCGCGACGAAGAATAAAGTACACGATAATGTTTAGTATGGCCAAACCCGCTTTTTTATATATTGGAAAAAGATTGGTTTGAACCATCAACTTGAGTGTGGTTGAGGTGTGACACCAGGGTAGGTGTCAGAGGGTTCCGAAGAGAATGTACCGTAGAATTCTACGTGATTTAGGACTAGTTCTCGTCATCCAGAATTTTTCGCAAAAATATCTTGCGGGACGTTACGAAACGACGCATTACTCGTTACCTCAAGCTACTGTATCCAAGACTATTCCGACTAAGCAAAGAATAATAGTTATGCTCATCTCCCTTATCATGATCATCAAAATAATAGCCCTTTCTACTAATAGGGGGTTTGAATGCAGAAATAAAGTAGCTTAAACGTGGAAATTAAGTAGCTTAAACGTGGAAATAAAGTAGCTTTTCGGGAAAAAGATCCAAATCGGAAAGCTAGAGCTCTACGGATGGAGATCAGGTGTAGTAAATCAGTCTACTTTGTTGTTGTTGTTGTCTGATGATGGTTGAAGTTCTTTGTTGTTCATAACCTGTGTAATGTTGATAGGCTCTTCACTGTACGATAATACGTGGTTTACAATAAAGATTGAGGATTATTCACTAGCTACTCGTGATTGCCTTGTAGTTTACTGCCTCACACAAATTACTGTAACGCTTTATCCAAATAATTACATTTTCTCTCCCTGCAAGGTTACTGAGGTCAAGTCACATTTGTGAAGTCACTTGTACTTTTCCGAAACAGTACATTGCTTTCGTTCGTTATTACATCGAACCCAACCCCAACTTACTTAATCAATCAAATTTCCTCAAGATTCCTATCACTCTTTTACTTAACCAGCTACAAATTAAATTTTTTTATCTCCTGATATCTCACTATTTTATCTTCTTYTTACAACATTGAACCACATCACTACGCGTGGAATAGCCATTCTTTCTGCATTGTCACGACAAAGCAGCGAGGCTAGCAAAATAAATATAAAGGCAATCCGAATCTACTAATTATAGAACTGAATTTTCACTTTCCTGAAATAGAGGAAATTGGATGGTACGGACGCTGAAGATGGCTGCAGACGCTGACGCTGATTACTGACACTGGTTACTGACACTGGTTACAGACACTGGTTACAGACACTGGTTACAGACACTTGTTGCAGACACTTGTTGCAGACACTTGTTACAGACACTTGTTACAGACGCTGAATACAGACACTGAATACAGACACTGAATACAGACACTGAATACAGATATTGTTACGGAGGGAATGCCTGATTCAAAGTGGGCACTGGTTTCTGACGAGCTGCTTCTGTATAGGATTGCGGCTTTTGTTGTCTAGGATTACACGAGTATTTGACAGTGTACGATTTGACACACCCGTCCATTAGTTTAACTATTTACAGTGGTCTGTTTGGTACCTGGGAAATGATATGTTAACAATGTTGTATTCTCGAACAACTCCATCCAATCGCCATTTCCATCGTCTGTTTCAATCGAAAAAAAAACTATATTGYTTGTATTTTCTCGATCKCACTACTAGCCAGAAACACGTCCATGATGCAAATTGTACCGAATTAAATGCATCTTTTGCAGTRAACCACGCCGCAGCGATCAWACCCCGTATACGATTTCCTTCCTCTTCTCCTCGTATTCCTGTTCCGAAATCTCGCCCCTAAGGTTCTCGAGCTCCTCCAGGCGCCCGGCGAGGGTCGTCGGCCCTCCGGAGGACGCGKGTGCCGACGCGGCCACCGTAGGAAACATCTTGTCGAGGTCGGGAAAGGCCGAATCCGCGCTCGGCGTGGACGCCGCCGCCGCTCCCGAAGCGTCCCAGCCCCCGAGTTCGACGTCCGAAAGGGGTTGTTGCGGGGGAGCCTGTTTTCTCGTGACGAGGACAAAGTGGTCGTTTGCCGTGTCCCCCCTTCGAACCAGCGCCAAAAACATCGTTGCCCTCAGGCTCTGGTGGTTGCCGGGGTGATTGAAAAAACAACCGAGCTCCGGGTGCCGATTGGAGATGCGTTCGCAGACGCCCTCGGCCTCGGCAAAGGCCTTCTCCCGCTTCTTGGCCACGAAGMACGAGGTGGCCCCAATGGTAGCAACAAACACGATTGGAACCAAAACCTTTAGGTATTCGGGCCCAAAACGAAAGCCGTCGTCGTAGTAGTGGTCGTCGTCGTACTTGCCGGCGGGAGGAAACAAAACAGAGAGCGCGCTCACGGCGAAAAATCCAAGAAAAGAGATCGCAAAGCAACAGCGATGCAACTTGTGGATCCTGTTTAGCGGGGAGAGGGCATCATCGATCTCGTCACAGAAACGCATCCACTCTACCTCGGTGACCGTGCCTCCCGCCAGCATTCTGGGCATCGTTCGATCGGTGCCGTAGATTCCATCAACCAAAACGGATACCCGGACCTCTTCCTGCTGCGGGGGTTGCGAAGACATGTTATAGTACTATGTTAGGTTTTGATCCCTTTTTGAGTCCGACGATGGMTGCAACAGAGGGTGGGTTGGACGCGTGGATCGAAGATTGRTGTTACTTTCAAATTGGTAGCTTGTCTCAATTTATTTATTGTACCGTATTGATATGAACTGAGTTTTATGGCTTGTCGCAGTGCACTGTAGCTCAAGTGTTCCAGTCGGACTTATGCAATGTTGTGGTTGCAATTGGTTTCTATCGAATGCTCGGTTGAAACTAGTTCGGGTTGTATTTGTTTGAATGAGTACCTGGTAACAGTTTCGTGCAACAGAGGGGATTTTCAAAAACGACACGGCAAAAAACATGTTTTTCATTCATTCATTGATTCATTCAGCTCTTCGCGTGCAAATCAGCAGAAACTCAGTCGTGCCCTTTTCTGACGAGCTGGACAACACCTAACGTACGGTATGTAYCGTACGTTACGTGGTGCTCTTACGAACGAAAATAAGCTTCTTCGCATCGTGCAAACTGCAAACCACATGAACAATCGATCACGACTAAGAAAGCCGGTCTGCTTTTTCCATCAAAAGTACTGAAACAGTGTTCTTAATTCGAATTTTCAAACCAAGCGATGCGTGACGAGAACGCCCCCCGTCGGAGTCATGTTTCCAGTCGTGTTTTAGGCGAACATTCCTCGCCTATTTGATGAGGAACCCGATTGGTCTGCGGGCTATTCGCTAGAACATTTATGAGCCCCAAGATCCGTCAAACGTGCAAACGCGAACGAGACGATTTTGATCCACAATTTGTCGAGCTTTTTMCCCGGTTCGATCGTTCTTTCTGRTTGTAGGTGTTCTTTGCTGCCGATGCCATCGCATGCGATTTTTTTGGGATGCGGCCGCCAATCGCTCTTCCTTACAAAAGAACACACAACGAAAAGCAAAAAAAAGACAACACTGCGAAGAGCATCAGAACCGTTCCGAAACAGTATTGCAAGGAACCACCATACTACAAAGCAATCACCACTCCACTCCACTCCACTCCACTCCACTCCATCCATCCGAGAGTCTCTAAGGAATCGGCAGCCGCAGCAGCAAGGAGCAAGTACGCAACCAAGCATCAACAAATGGCATCGCAAGTCAGTCAAATGTCCGCGTCACCACCGGGGTTTGTCAATCGCTACGTCGCGAAGTATGGCAGTCGCTACAGGGGGGCAGCGGAGGAGAAGAACAAGGAGCTCTCGTTGGTCAGGGAAGAAAACAACAGGCTCAGGGAAAGCCTCACCCTGGTCCAGACGGAATGCGAAGATCTGAGGAGCGAATCGAACTACAACCGTGCCAAGGTTCTCGAGCTCTCCGATCTCGTAACGCTTTCCAAGTCGCCAAAACAAAAGGCGGCGATGAAGGACTCCCTCGTAGCCAAAAAGAAAGAAAAGGAAAACGCCGAGCTCATTCTGACCGTCAACAAGCTAGAGATCGAGTTGTACCAGTCGGAGCTGAAACTCGAGGAGCTCAAGGACCAGAAAAAATCCCACAACAAGCTCCTCCTCGAAATGGGGGAGGTCATCCGTGCCCTCAACGCCGTGGACGTTGACTACGACCCATCGGTCAGCGGAAGCAGCGATTCTGAATCCCTCTCGCCCCAGCAACTGTCGATCAGAAACATCAAGCTGAAGGTCGAGGCGATGAAACGAGACCGCGAGGTCCTCAAGCAAAAATGCCGACTGCTCGAGGGAGAGTACGACCACTCGCGACACAGCAAGGCAGATGCCCCGGCAGCCCATAAATTCTACGTGGTTGACCACAACAGCAACAGCAACGAGGACAAGCTAACCCCGAACARCATCCAGAAAAAGATCGATGCCCTGGAACGCAAAATCCACATCGTCAACACTTCCAAGCTCGAGGACGCAGCTACGCACACCACCTGTACGAGCCAAACGGTTCGGACCACCCCTCCGCATTCTCCCTATTCGCGGTCCTACGCTGCGTCGACCCTCACCCCGGCATCGATGTCCCGGGATGAATCGGAATTCACCGGCGACTCCGAACAGGAGGGCAGCGAATCCTCCGCTGCAAAGATTGCCGAACAAAACGAAGAGATCGCCCGGTGCAACAAGGAACTCGCCTCCTACATGGAGAAGGAACAGGAACACACGAACGAAATCATCGGTCTCAAACAGACCGAACAGGAGCAAAAAGAGACCATCCAGCGCCTCGCGGACCAAAACGAAACCGCCTCGCACGAATTGGCGAGTCTAACAGAAAAGCTCGAGAAGGCCGAAGGCGAAAACCAGGAGATTGCTTCCAAGCGAGACGAGTTGAGGTCGAACCTACAGGACATCATGGTCCATCACAAAGAATTAACCGACGAACACGAGGCCGCACAGCAGAAGATAAGGGAATTGCAATCCCGAATCGATATACTAGAGCTCCGGCTCCGGGTCGCTACCCGTCGCGAGGAACCAGCTGAAAATAACGAAGAATCAATTGAAGAAGACGAAGAGCTCCAGTCTCTTGAAGAGGACGAGATTTCTGTGGCCTATCGACGGGCAAAAAACAGAATCAAGGAACTCGAACTGCACCTGATCAAGGCGGGCCAATTGCTGCTCTCCGCGCGTGCAGAAAACAAGAATGCCGGTCGCCACTACCAGACCACGATTCATTATTCTCAGAAGATGGAACGGGAGCGGGACGAATTGCAGACAAAACTCGACAAGGCCATGGAAGAAATGCGGTTGGCTAAGTTGGAGGTCCAGAAAGAACGCGATGCGTCCGACGAAGCTCGTCGCAAATTAGCAGATTTTTCTCAGCAGAGGCAAGACGATCGAAGCGTTTCCTCCGGTCACTCGAGGGCATCGGCCAGAAAGAAGCCGGCGTTTCGACCACTTACTCTCCTGGAATTGATGGAGAAAGACTTTTCCTGAATCGGACCGATGTGATCGAACCTCGTTGTTTCGAGCCACTGCTGAAACCGGTTTGGAAAAGGAAGAAAACCTTGGAAGCAAAAGCAACAAGCCCGTCAAAGCACAATTGATTTCCAAACTCGCTCATGGAATGGTTTTGTGGATATATCTTTCAAATKATATAAACTTAGACGGTCAATCGTCACAAATCAGCTGTCCCTATCAATGAATAAATAAATTTGTAATACTAAAAATAATTAAAAACATCCCCTTCCGAAAGTAAACGAATTTTTCAGTGTGTGTTGTCTCGTGCCAATGCCAAAGTTCCGCACTTCTATCCTAATACTATTGTATTCAATTTCATGATTGTTAATCAGAACCATATCATTTCAGTTCTGCTTTGACTCCAATCTCCAGAAGAGGCAATCGGATCAAGAATTTGTTGGATTAACATCATTGCACTGCACTATGAATCATAATACGGTAAGAAGTTATTTGTACGATTATTTCTTTCTTCCTAGTTTCTGTACCAGATGTCGTACTACGAAGTAAAGTAGTAACAATAAGTTCGATCGGCATTCTACAAGTAATAATGAGTCGAGGTGGTCGATTTCAATATTTGTAGAGAAAACTTCCTGCACGATCGGTACCAGGTACAGTAAGTACAATACTCACTGGCAACAGCAGTGCCTTTCTTATTTTTTACATGATGCCCGCGCACGGCGGCAACGGAAACAGAATCGGAGAATGTGACCGATCGCTAAAACGAACGATCACATCGATACGCCACAAAATGCTCCTTTTCTAGCTTCGTTCTGCGACAACTATTTGTTACCGTATTGGTAAGGCAACAAGTTCACTTATCGATCCTAGAAATACGAATCAATCAGCATCTATGGACACCATTACTGCAAAGAAATACTGAATTGATCATCATGATAAAACCGAATGTTTTTCCGGGTTCAAAAGCCGKGTTGTTGTTGATGACAACAGTAACTGCTCTTCTACAAAATGCTGCTTTCTCTTCTACCGAGATCCCAGAGTTCCCGACGAAACGTTTCATTCCCTGGRGCCAATTAAATTGGGTGGAGCAACATGATGCGAGATTTTTGTTATACACGTCGGAAAGCTGGAATAGTTTCTTGGTAGCTGACATAGAGCGCCTGTCCTACAAACATGTTGCGGAAGCCTTGGRATCGACCGATGAAGTGACCTCCGAAGGCTTGAAAAGAGCCCATAACGCGCTCTGGCACATTGCTATTGACCAGTTGACATGGGATTGTTGGATCAACCATTACATYGGAAATTCGTGGGAGGAATTGGTCGACGAGCACAACGTGTCGTGGGCCTTTGAAGCCTTGGGTTGGAGCGAGTACACCTGGGGAAGCGAAAATCCTGACGATTGGCCGGAATCAGAAGAAAAGCAATACAATGAATTAACCCCTGCGGAACGGCATGCTGCTGATCGCATTTGCTTACCCCAGCAACTCTGGGACGGGGTACCCCTAACACATTGGAATTTCGTCGACGGAAGAAGTGATGTCGAGCTCACTTACGAGSAAAATTATATAAATCCGCGAATAGATGTCATCCACAACATAGAAGCAGCAGAAGAGGATGTAGACATCGTTCCAGTTGCAGCTGCTGAAACGATCACCGAGCATCCATCTRGTGTTCCTAGTGCTGCACCCACCAAGAACCCCAGTATGCGACCGACTTTGCGCCCTACCTTCTCACCCACACCTTCTCCAAGTGTGACACCAAGTGTGGTCCCAACCGAAAGCCCAAGCTACCATCCAAGCTTAAGGCCTACCGTCAGCCCAAGCAGTCCCCCTAGTGATGGGCCGAGTTTGCAACCAAGTAGTGTGCCGACTGCATCACCGAGTGCAAGACCTACAGCCTTCCCCAGTGCTCTCCCCAGCGATGGSCCGAGTTTGCAACCAAGTGCAGGTCCCACCTCCTCTCCCAGCTCTCTTCCTAGCGACGGCCCAAGTATGGAACCAAGCACTGCACCAACTTCAACACCAAGTACAAGTCCATCAGCATCTCCCAGTGCTCTCCCCAGTGATGGACCAAGTATGGAACCAAGTGCTGTGCCAAGTTTCTCTCCAAGCGTTGTCCCTAGCGATTGGCCAAGTATGGAACCGAGCACCATACCAACTTCAACACCAAGTACAAGTCCATCAGCATCTCCCAGTGCACTCCCCAGTGATGGACCCAGCCTGGAACCAACTACTGTACCGAGCTCATCTCCTAGTGTTTACCCAAGCGACGGTCCAAGCATGGAACCAAGCACAGAACCAACTATTTTTTACGAAATGGAGCCACAAAACTGTGCAACAAATTTTACTCTCGTCTTGGTGACTGATAAGTACCCGAAGGAGACTTCGTGGTCACTAACATACGAAGCAAATGGTATGGTGATTGGTGAAGGATCAAAGTACAAGAACGATTTCGAAGAACACGAGGAAAGCGTTTGCATTCGGTACGACGCATGCTAYATGTTCCAAATCAACGACAAATGGGACGACGGGATATGTTGTAGTAATGGMCAAGGGAGTTATTCAGGATATTTGGATAAAGAAGGAATGGAATCACTGCCAATTCCAGGTCTTAACGGTGGAGCATTTGAGACAACCCGACGACACAAGTTCTGTCTTGACGAGAATGGAGATCTCGTAGAAGGCCTGGGCAGTGCAATAGGAGTGCGATTCAATGGGGCTTAGGGACGAGATACAACCACAAAARTTTCATCGTTGCCAATTTTGACGCAACTGATTCGACGGTTTTAAATCAACTCGGAAGAATTSTTCATTGCTCATGCTAATCTATGAAAAAAATAGTTGTGACGGAGGAAACGAAAAGTCAGGAGTCCCCTTTAACAATGCGCAGAAAAGGAAAGCGTGCATTGAATGTTTATGTCTTTTGAAAAACATCAAAAGTCAACAAGCAGCAAATTGCCACCTCCGTCTTGTTGAAGCTTCATTTCGACTCCAACACAAGTCGGCATCGTTCTAGTGACATCCTCTCAATGCCATAACCAATATCCAAGACATGTTGTATCGCCCTTTCTAAAAATTATCCTCTAAATCGTAAAAATATTGTTTCGAAGTATTTGTTTCAGCATCTATACAGAGCATCACTAGCGAGCACGAATGGTAATACATCGCGTAGAGTCTTGTTTCTTTCGCTACAAATCGTTTCGTGGTGACTGTAAGATTCGCTTCTCTGCTGTTTCTTCCAATTTTTCACGTCGGCTGTCGACATCGATCCATCGCATGAGTGAACTCTGGTACTCTTCTTCATCTGCTTTCTCCTCCTCACTCAATTCCGGTTGTGSTTTCGGTACGACTTTACTACCACGCATCCCTCGCTTTTTGCTCCGGGTCTTGTCCCTCCATATCTGCGGGACCATTTCYTCTGGGAGTCCGATCGGTTGTCGAAAGGCCTGCTCGATCCAATGGTCAGTCGAGTGGGGCTTGTCGACAAAGGTAATGCCCTCGCGGGGAATATCCAAGTATATATACTCGAACCGCTTGTAAATGTGACAGTCGAAATTGATCGAAGTATTTTCCTCGTGAGTGTCCAAAAGCTTGGCAGTGTAACGAGTTGGAAATGCGCTCCCCCCGTTTTCCCCAAGGTCTCTTTTTTTCTTCTCACGAATCAATCCGTCGTCGTCGTCATCGTCGTCGTCCAGAAAAGTCTTCTTTTGGTTTTCTTCGTCTGGGACATACTGTCTTCGCTCGGTAATKATGCACGGCAAAAGGCAGCCTTCCAAGATTTCTGTGTGGYCCATTTGATCGTACCAGCTCTCGTAGGTGATCGCYTCTGCTTCTTCGTCCTCGTTGATGTGGTCATCGAGCCAATCGCCTTCRAAATAGCAAGCGGTCTCAAGGTTTGATGGATATGGATTGCGATGCTGTTCCGTGACTGTRCGGATTTCGTCATGTGAGTGAAGCTCGTTGTAGTCGGCAGCCGTCACGTAACTCGATAAGGGAATGGCTGTCATGGCATTTTCCACGTCTTTGTGTCGATGAAGATGCTTCTCATGGGTGCTTCTTMTCTTGAGATTCTCGAGCTGGCGCATCTSCTTGCGGGTCTGCTTTCGCTTGGCCTTATCCCGCGCGTGTTCCTGCTTGATGGATTCCACGGCGGAATCCCAATCGATCTTGTGTTGCTTCAATGCGTCGTCCCATGCCTTGCCGTAATCAATCAGGATCTCTTCGCCATCATTAATGTCGCGGGTGGCCACCAAATCAACCATCAAACCCATCCCGTGTTTCTTCACGACTTCGAGAGAATCCATTTCCAGCAGCTCTTTGTGATGGAATTCCTGTCGCCTGGTCAGTGGTTTCCCGGCGGCCTGCGCTTCCGTGTATTTGTCCGAGTGCCAACGAATCTTGGCATTGGGTGTGACATTTTTGTCATCGTGATTGGCATGGTTAACCGAGTGGATCAGGGGTGCCGTTGGTAGCCATAGTAGGTTTGATTCGGGATGCCCGTACATGTAATTCAGTAAAAGCTGCTCCTTTTTAGGGGGTAGGCCTGACTTTGCGTAGTTCCCGTGCAACTCGGCTTGATCTTCGTAGAGTTTGTTGTATTTTTCTCTATCCATCGTCATTTCCTCTCGGTGCACCGGAATCATCGGTGACGACGTCAGCACCTCACCGYTAGCGAGCTTCTTCTTGGCAAAGAGGCCCCGCTGACCGCCATGGCCTCCACCCGCCACGTTCGGGGTATGGTCCGCAAGGCGTTCCTCGAGCTTGTCGTCTAAACAAATGCTATAYCCGCCGGCTTCCTTGGGTGTGAACTTAGACAGGGGATAGTCCGATGGATTGAATTCGTCGCTGTTGTCTGCACATTCSACCACCAATTCTTCTCCCGGTTGAATGTCCCTGGCGGCCACAAACATGGAATTGGAGAGGTAAGAAAAACTCCCCGCCTGCCAAGAAGGCGGTGTCTCGTCGTGGGAATGTCCCCGAACATCCCTCCAATCACGATAGTAAACGGTTTGAATTTGTTCCAAGTTGAATCCCTCCGAGGAGCAGGGACAAATAACGGGCAAACCAGGCATAAAAACCCTCATACTCTCGTAGGATTGCAGCACCTGGGCGTCATATATATCACCATTCCACATTTCGTTGAAAATTGGGGGGAGATTCTGTTCTCCATTCTCCTCTTCAGATTGCTTATCTTTTTCCTTCTTACCTTCTTCAGAAAGATTGTCGTCGTCCATGTTGCCCCGAGCCCATGCAGCCATGTCCAGGGCCTCCCAGTCGTATACAGGAACGAACAGATCTCCGAAGACCTTTTCCCCCTTTTGCGTGTCCATTACACCGCTTCCAAGCAGTGCAGTCCCCTTGGGGATGAATTTTCCTGTGAACATGGAATGGCCCCACCCGTGYTCTTCCGATTCTTTGATGGAGGAGGGTCCAAGCCACAGTCCGCATTTCTCTTCGTCCCCTGCTGCTTGTACATGCATCGGCACCACCACCAGGGCTGACGCAAATGCCAGAATTAGGATACTCGTGGCTTTTGCACCAGATGCAATCAAGGCAAATGCACCCGCTTTCATTTTGACGCGAATCTTATGTGATTAATAGCAGATTGTAATTGGCTTTCTTCGTTTGCTATTGCATCGGTTGTTTGCTGAGGCATACTCGTAGCCAACACAACCGATCAGAATGATCTTTACAACAAAGGAATTTTCATTCAGGCACCTTAAAACTTGCGATATCTAACCGTACGTAATGACTGTCAGTTAGTCATTACAACGGACAAACATGGAAGTGTCCCGTACGCCCACTTCCCGTAGATGGGTAGGAGGAAGTGGGCTACGTTTCGTAGACAAAGGCATGTTTTTTGCGCCCTTTTGGGGGTTCGGGTTGTGCACTAAGGTTTTACGTTGCACCGACAGAACAGTACTACCCCGGTACAGAGCTACACTACTGTAAATCGTACCTACCACTTCCAAACTATCAGAGGACAGACATTCGACCTACCGTACGGGTAAACTACACTCGTAACTTTCCCACCGGTACGAATGCTACGGTGGTTGTATGTCATGATACCCGACCATATGTTCAACGTACGTACAGGTACGGTCAGGGGTCTGACCCCTGACCCCTGCGTACCGGGTATGGTACCCTACGGTAAGGTGCCGACCTACTACGAACATATGGTTCTACCTACGATAGCTAGTACTAATACTTATGTTACATACCAAACAGTTAACGGTACTATCGATACTAAGTATCATAGGTACCGTACGACAGCAAAAAAATCGGACCTAGATTGGCGTACCGTACGTGAGRAGTACGAGTCCTACGGTACACTGTACAGTAATTCGTTTTACGTAAGTTRCGTACTCATACCGGTATGTATTGGTAGAATACTGTAATTGAAATTTTGAATTCGCCATGCGTTGGCCGAGCCTCGCGGACAAAATCTTTCTCACACAAACGAATCACCCTYCAAGGTGCGCTCTAGTAAAATGTCAAAGCAAAWTAGTATTGATACTGCAGACAAGACAGACTGGATAGAACATTTATCCTCTTCAATGATACCATTCTTGTTAAGTTCTTGTAGCCCTTGAAAGGAGAAAGCGGGCAGCAGTAGCAGTAAACCTGTTCGTAGACCGTGAGATAGAGTTAAGCATCGACTTCTTAACTAGTACCTCCCACCTCACAACTACTAGCAACAGCGTAGAATACACAACTTCCACCATTGCGAAAGCTCTTTCGAATGTACAGTAAGAGACAATACTGACAGGGGATATTTTRCAGCAGAAGTCACGCACCAAAAATATATACGATGGACCAGGGAATAGTCTAGTGTGGGGAAACTTAAGCAGAACAGAAAGGTGGGCAGGCAGGAAAAATGCTTGGCAGGGGATACGACGAGAAGAGCAGGGGGAGCTCTTCGAGGAACGGCCGCCAAACTAATAATCACCTTCATGGCCATGATCGTAGAGGCAATGATCGTCCAAATGTTCGTTCAAATCCCTTTCGAATGAGCGGAGCTACCACCGGTCAGAATCAGAGCAACGACAACATCAACCGAAACAAAAGTAGTAAAAACAACAAAATCGAGGCCCTGAAACAAACAAAGAACAACAGAATCGAGGCCCTGAAAAAACAGACCGAGCTGTATTCGGAGTTGTCCGAAAAACTTGAGGAGAAACTTGCAAAACGCGAGGCCGAGGTCCAGGCACTGAGAAGYGCCAATCAGGTCCTACACAAGGAATGCAACCGTCACACGACTCGGATCGCTAACCTTGAAACACAATGCGTTGCGCGRTCGGCCAAGGTGGCACAGCTTTCCGACATGATAGCAACCAAAAGGAGTGACAAGGTTCAGGAACGGCTGATGGAAAAGTCATTGGAGGTGGCAGATCTTATCGAAGAAACGGARCGCCTCAAAATTCAAAACAAGCAGATGCAAAGAGAGAAAACAAAGAACGGGAGACTAATGCTCGAGATGAGCGACATCATTCGGCAACTCAACAAGATCGAGGTAAAATACGACAAAGCAGAGGGGGACAAGAAGTATTTCGAGATGAATCGCGTCCGATACTATGACGATTCCCTTACTCCTTTTGCCGGTTCTCCGCAGGACGCTCCACTCGAAAACGTGCGCCGAAAGATTGCCACAATTGAGMGGGTCCTCCGCGAGGGAGAATCTCTGCGTCGAGAACACGGTTTCCAAAARGGTAGAATTGAATCTTTAAGGAGGGACAACGAAAATCTTAACGTCGAGATTGCATCACTGCAGGTAAAACTTCGAGACCAGGCGGATCAACACCGTCAAMAGATGGAGTTGCAGATGCTCAAGCAAAGAKCAAACGAGGAACAGACAGTGCACGAGACAGTTCACCAAACGGTGTCGTCYGGATCGGGGTCGGAATATACGTTCTGCACTACCAGTGGTGAAGAAGAAGACCATGGACAACTTTCCAAAGAAGTTTCTTACGAAGAATTTGTAGTAGAAAATGAGCGGTCGCAATCGGAGGAYGGAAGCGAAGACTCCGGTATGRACGATAGCTATCGTAGCCATCCACAGTTTTCGAGGGTCAACAAACCTCTCTCTCCAGTAGTCGAAGCCAACAGTAGCGTAGAAAAGGGTCTCTGCAGCAGCAGTAGCAGCAGCAGCAGCGATGAGTCAAATAGCGACACATCCTCTTGCGATTCGTCTCTTTCTACTCTGGATKCGCCGCCCTCCTTTGTGGAAGAAAAGACTCCGAAAGAAACCTCATCTCCATCTCACACGAATAGTATCGACCTTGAAGAACATAAAAAACTGAAACGGAACTTTGACAAAGCTCTCGATGTCATCGAACGTCTCAAGAGTGACTTGAAAGAAAGAAAAACTAGRAATGTCGAAATGCTAATCAACAGCACCAGAAGCTATGCATCAAATGATGATAGAGTCGAACGGGAACTCGAACGTACTAAAGCTCAGTACAAAGTATTACAGGATGAATTCAAAACCTTGCACGACCGACACSAAACAGTTTTGGCAAAYTCAAGAACGAATCACACCGATTACGAAGCAAGCTACAACGAGATGGTCTCRATGAAGGAAAATTCTGACAGAGCATTGAAAGAGGTATCCGACATGAACCACCTCTTGAGACAGCAATATGATGATCTCGAGAATGAGTATACACTCAAGATCGAAAGCCTTGAACAAAAACTGAAAGAATTCCGCAACCAAAGAAAGCACGGAMCAGATTTGCAGAACAAGAATTATGAGGAACTATTGAAGAAAGCACGGGAAGAAATCACTACTATGCAGTCCATTCATCAGGATCGCATCGAGGAACTGGCTAAAGATCATGTAAAGGCACTCGAAGAAGTTCAGAAAACACACGAAGATCTGAAATACGAATACGATACCTTTTTAGAGATACATTTGAAGCTMGAAGAGGATGCCTTACAGGCAAAGATGCATTACAAGGAAAGTCTTGTTAAAATTCGTGCCATGGAATCCGAATCTCGTGATAACAGAGAAGCCACAGAGAAAATGAAGCTGGAACACAGGGAKACCGTCGAGAAAGCGAACGAAATACATRAAGAAGAACTAAAGAAAATGGAGGAGGTAGTAGAAGAGTGGAAGAGGAAATTCCATAAAATCGAAGAAGAATATGCCTTGGCGATAAAGACTGAAGAAGAAGCAAAGGACAAATTTGCTCTYGATCTGGAAACTTTAAAKAAAGACCATCATCTTGCGCTGGCAAARCAGGAGGAACTGCGAAAAAGCGATGCTGCTGCGTACCAGAAGCTGAGACAGGAATTTAATGCAGCATTGATTGAACACGGCAAAAAAGAGCAGAGCACAATTCACAGTTACGAGCAGGTCAAAAGGGATTACGAATCCAAGATGAGGGGCTATCAGCACAAAATCGACGAGTTTGAAAAGCTTCTGGCAATGGCGAAGGACGGTAACGAACAGGAGGTGAAGAGATTGGTGGGCGAAATCCAATTGGAATCAAGAGAGAAAACAGAGCAACTGCAAGCCAAACTGAAAGAAACTGCCAGGCTCGTGGAGCTCGAGGCYGATGCTAAGCAAAAAATAATGGAAGAACAGGCAGAGTCTAAAGAAAAACTCWCTCGATTAGAAGCAAGCAACGATGAACTTCGAGAACAGATAGAAGCATCCAAAAATGAACTCAATAAGCGTGCGRCGACACACGACCTGGAGYTMGAAAAGAGCGAAAAMGAGTTTCRAGTGAAACTCGAAGAAACGATCGGGCGMTTAAACGCTGAGACAGAACTCAATCAGAGTCTTCAGCAAAAACAGGCAATCACGGGAGAAAAGTTGAATCGACTGGTTGAATCCAACAAAGAACTCAGAGACCGCGCAGAGAGGCAAGAAYGTGAATTGAAGGAGAGCAGAGACAACCAAAACCAAGTTAGAMATACCTATCACGAGCTTACATCGTCCTATCAAGCGTCGTTGCTTAAAATCGAGTCGTTACTCCAACAAAGAGAAAATGTGAATACTCCRAAGGTACTGCAMATTTCAACTRRGAAAGACGGGGAAGAATCAAGGACTGAAAAGGGTGGAACAGTTTTTGAGCGTATTCAAAAGYTCGAGAAAAAAGCCGAACCTATAGCTGCAAAAACGAAACTCTCTAGGAAGGCATTGAGCGATTCTAATRTAGATTCGATGTTCCAGCGTGATTTCGATATGATTCTCAACARAATAGGATTTGATTCGTGCATAGAAACCAATTCGGAGGAATCAGTCACGAGCTCCTCTGTCGACAGTGCAGCCGATAGAAAAACTCTCTTCGAAGCTATTGTGAATCGCGTTGACGAGCATGCTGAGAAAATGGAAGACATTCAGAAATTGAAAAGAACCTTTGAAGAAGATGCTGTCGCAATCGACCAGATTTTYGACGTGTTATATCATTTTGTTCAATTGAGAAAAGTTAATAACATTGTCCTCAGATTGCCGCAATTTGGGRACAATGAAATTACAAACGAGCTACAAARTGACGATAACAAATCGAACCGCATCATTTCGGATCTCTTAATCCAYAAGAAACGCTTCAAAGGAGTACAGAGTTGTCTCTTGCGTCGAACCATGGTAACGCATCTCGATGAAATGTATCCTTCCCGGCTTGGTGACGTATATTCCTCCACTTGCAGTCATTCGCGATTCTCAATKACACCCTCGGAACTTGGGTATTCTGTTCCATGCACCAAATCGCCGAATCAAGTACATAAGAAMCCCGTGTCTGATGATAAAGATTTTGGAATCGGAACAAATAAGTCGAATATTGCCATGCACCGGGCACGCTTGGAGGCGGCACGCCTTCAAGACGAGAACTTTGCGAACCAGGTGAATATAAGCACTGAAGAAATCAAAACCAAGGCACGCGAGAAAGAAGTACGTTTACTAGACCTCAAGTACAARACTCTTAAAGAAGAGTTCCGAGAGCTGACAGCAAATGAGGTCCAAAAGCCTCCATCAAACATCGCTGTTCCAAACATTGACGACAATGGCGACAGTGAATCATACCAACCAAGTCTAGCAATGTCGAGTGTAACACAACCGACCATGCTTGGCATCAGTCGAGTTGACTCTCTTCATAAGCAGGTTCTCGCAGCGGAACTCAAGGTCGAATGCTCAAGACGTGAGTTGAAGGGACAAAAATCATGGGTGAACGAAGCACGAAGAGAGCAACAAAAAATCAGCAAMAACCTCAAGTCGGTAGTGAGCCATTTGCACGATTTGGAGATTCTGGAAGAAACTGACTACAATGAATCAATGGCAGAGGACGATTCGTTCCTATCGAGTCATTTKGGGGAAAATCTCARTGAAGACCGAGAGGCAATCTGGGACATGATATCGAAATCTGTCCAGAATCGGGTATCACCGGCAAGTAGTGATGAAAACACGGAAGATACCAGTCTCAATCCTGCCTCTACGATTTCATCGGAGCGACGAGATGACAAGAACATGTATCGTTCTAGTCCGACTAAAATTGAAGGARCAGATCAGACTCATTGCCCTCAGATTGACCACGAGCTAGACACTAATAGTAAAAAAATCCATGGRATTCAGGTTGAACTGCGTAAAGCCAAGGAAGCTGCTGAAGCCGCCCGTCGAAAACAACTAGAACGAGAGGAAGCTCTTCGTGATGTAATATTTCAGTATAGGGAACTGGAGAAGGAACATAAAGCCGTTACAGGAAAACGACAGCAAGAAGGTCTTGGGCAACAATCTATGACAAACACAGATTGTGAGGATCCAACAGCAATGGCAGCCATAGTTTCGGAACTCAAGCAGGCCCAAGAAAACGTCAATATAATGAAGGGGGAACTGGAGAAGGCTTCTGAGCGCCACTGCGAAGAAAAAGATGGCCTAAGGCATATTATGGGTCAATACAAGGCTCTACAAGATGATTTTGTTAAGATTCTAAGCGAGAAGCAAGAATTGGAAAAATTTGTGTACCAAAGGCCGGGAATGTCATCGGTGGGAAACAATGGTTTCGTCGAGAACTCAAGTTCTTTGATAGAGGCACCCATTGGAGTCAGTTCGCCGTCGGGCCCGATGAACGAACAACAAATCAGAAGGGATCCCCGAAGCATCTTTGTTCCTAATAATGACAGCGTAGTGACATCCAACGAGAAAAACTCTGAAGTTATCGGCTTGAAACAACTACGCTTTGTCGGAGCCAGTAGCGCTAGCCCGAAACGCGTTGGGCCACCGATCAACAGCAATCATCAGCAACAACATCAGAGGAAATCTACGAATACAATTGTTGAGTTGAATGATTCTGATCGTGTTCCGCTCGTTCGACTTAATCGTTCTCGAGGTTCTGAAATTCGAAGTTCTGATAAAACTCCAAACGCAAACGCAAATGTATTGCAAGGATCAATAGCAACAACGTCATCGGAGACGATAAACCAACGGCCATCCTCCAAAAAAATGGGGACACCGCTGAAGTCTTCGCTTAAAAGACAGAGCACCGTTAGTGGTATTAGCATTGAGAAGGATTCGGAATCATCTTTGCAGAAAAGACATAATTTTCCACAGCAGTCAAAGCAGACGCAGATGCAGAAACGGAAGCTATCGCAACCGCAAAGACAAAAAGAACAACTTCCGCAGTTCTCTCCAACGATGCCCACCAGCAAAAAGAAATTAGGAATCTTCCGAGGGTTTGGATTCCATGGAGGGAAAAAACAGCCAAGAGAAAAAGCTGCATCTTGATGTTAGTTACGAGATACGGGGATAAAAACATAAACATTAGTTTCTTTTGTACACAGCAAGTTTTAGAGAGCTATTTAAGGCACGGGTTAATATGGTAGTGTTCCGAAAGCCGAAGACGGTGCGGTCGGTACGTGGCTCCACTAGAAGTTTTTACAAGGAAACTGAAAGCCACAATCTGACTGGTGGTCTGCTTCCCCAGCGTTGACATACCCGGCCAGGCCTAACCAACCAATCCTATTCGTTGTTCTTCGAAGCTGGTACATAGTGTAACGTAGAAATAATGAACAAGGAAGTTGTAATGTAATATCCCTCGCATCATTTCGGTTGCTCAGTATGCGATCAGCTAGTTTTATTGTAAGGAAAAAACTAGGACAATGACCTTCGGGAGCTGCGGCGGAGTCCTTTGTTCGCAGCACTTGAAGATGCTACAATATCTTTCGTATCCGTCTCCTGTTCCTCATTCGTACGTGATCTAGCACGAGTACTTCGCCTTCCAACTATTTCATCTATCGCTGGCATTAAATGCGGTCGACCAGCCTCCCTGTGAGTGATGTTGGTGACAACACGTTTCATTGGTTTCTCGACTTCGTTCATTGTGACTTTTTGTTTCTGCCTGTGTGCCAAACCTTCGTTGCTAGYCTCATCACATTTATCAGTTTCTTCGTTGTAATGTCCTCGTCCACTACGACGTGAGCTGCGACGTCTTTTTGTTTCCTCAGGCTTTTGCTGCTCCATCAGTTTCTTTTTCCCATCCCCGTCCGATAGAGTCCTTTTCTCGCTGGTTCGACTCCTCTCAACTTTGGTAACTACTGCTTCAGTAGTGTACCCATCCCCGTTAACATCAATCTTGTTTGGTACTGAAAGAAGGTCATCATCCTCACGATATTCAACCTCAGTGACTTTCGAGATCAACTTTCTGGTTTGCTGATGACCTCTAATTTTCGGTAATTGAATACTATCCGCCCGTTGAGTAATTTTTGGAGCCTTCCGCATCCTTCTCTGTTTCACTTCTGTTTCTTTTTCCGTTCGAGATATCTGTTTATCACTTTTCTTGTTCATACGCGGAATCGGATCCTCCCGATATTCAACTTTAATCACCTTTGATGACCTCTTCTTCTCCTCTTCCGATTCTACCACAATTATATCTAATTGTTGATCACTGAGAGGTGTAGGTGATTTTTTCTGATGCTCGACTTGTGTAATATTTACAATCCTCTCCATTTCCTCTTCTTCTTCAATTGCTAATTTGGTTCGCTCTTGATTAGAAATGTTATCCCCGTCGACTTTATCTACCCCCTCCGCTTGATTGTCTGCATTTTTTTCTGACTTTTCCTCCAYTTCAAGATTTCTCGTTCTTCGTATTCCCGCCTTTACTTCAACGTTATCTATTTCTATTTCTGCCCCTCGTTTGACGGGATTTTCTGTTGACTGGTGGCTGACTTCAATATTTTTCGGCCTTTCTATTTCTAGTTCTCGGTCCATAATTTTTCCTGTCAGCTGCAGATCAACTTCCACGTTTTTTTTCCCTCTTTCTGCCTCTAGTTTTATGGGATTCTCTTCGGACTGGTAGTTGACTTCAACATTTTCTTCTCTTTCTATTTCTCCTTCGACTTTATTTTCTGTTAACTTGAGGTCGACTTCCACGTTTTCTATTGCTGTTTCTACCTTTTGTCCAAAATCCTTTTCAGTTGACTTTTGATCTGTCTCAGAACTTGTTGATAACTCATAGCGATTTGGTTTATTTGGTTTATCGATACCCCACAACTCTAGCTCCTCAAGTGTAAATTCTTCCTCGTCGTCGTCTTCATATTTAACCTTCCAGCACAATACCATACGCCCATTCTCTTCCTCCAGCACTTCGGCTGGACCGGATACAACTTGGCCCATGTAATAATTCCCATCCTCAAATAGTTTCCGCACCTTGAATCCATTTTTGATATGGCACTTTGATAGAGAAACGTGAACACCAGAGTTCTCCCCTGCCGTCAAATACGACGGTAATGCCTTGCGAATAATGGATTTCCACTTTGATACATATGCGCTATCAGAAGAAAAATATTTTTAAAAAATTAGGTATCAAAGAAGAAATTATGCATCAAGAAAGAAAGGTAAAGTAAATGCCAAAAATGGCTCGGAAACAACACGATCAAAATCTTACCATGACCCGGTCCCATTTAAGACCGACATCTTTCGTTTCTTTCTCCATCTTGAGTATTGCTTTGACAGTTCCTTGGTCCCCATACCTACAAATACTTCTGGATCTGTTATGCCAATATATGAGCAAAACTCCTGAGCTTGAGAAGGCAAACTCTGGAAACAATAGCTCAATCTTCTATGTTCTTCCATCTTCGAAGTAATTTCGGCACTTCTTGCACGAACCATTTTTTTCCAAGAATTCACTGTGGATATACTTCCACGAGGTGCCAATGGTTTCATCCCCTTTTCCTTCCGCCATTGCTCAAGATCCTTWGCAATAAGTACAGACTCCATACTGAATAGTTCTGCAGCTGATTTGATCGAAATAAACGAAAGAAATTCTCGGGCATGAGAGTCGTCGAGAATATCCAGAGGATCACCAAAACTTGGTTTCTGTTCGATAGAGGGTTTCTGTTGAACGTTGGTGTGATTGTCATTGGGTTTTAAATCAACTCGCTGGTCGATCAAATTGGCCAGTAGCTTATCCAGTTCAGACTGGTTCTTCTCAAGTTCATGGTCGTCGATTTCAGGATGGGATGCCACCTTGTTTGTTTCTACTACAGGTCTGTCAATTTGCGAGTTGTCTGTTTCCGTTCGGGAAGCTTTGATATATGATTCAGAGGAAGTCTGATCTGTCACGTCGGTTTTTGCAACCTGGACCTCCGATTTGACTACATCAGGTGCATGTTGGACTTCTTTCTGACCCATATCACTATTCTGTATTACATTCCGGTCTATTTGTGCGTTGACCATAGGCATTCCCGACGCTTTGATACATGATTCAGAGGGAGTCTCATCTCTCTCGCCAGTTTCTGGAACCTGGACCTCCAGTTTGACTCCATCAGCTGTATGTTGGACTTCGCTTTTACCTGATGATCGGCCCATATCATTGTCTGGTATTGTCGAAGGTATCGACTGTTTACAAAAATCGTCATCCTCATATAGATTTTGATCCATGCCCTTCTCGGTAGTTGAAGAAGACTTAGCTTTCTCATCAAGTCCTTTGGTCTTTATGTCTATACTAGACTGCTTGTTGTCTTGAGTCGTTGCATCGTTTAGTCCATTCATATTCGAATCCGTTCTAGAGGTAGTACTTTTCGATATGCACTTGTTACAAAACCAGTCTCCTTCCGGAACAGTTTCTAAACCGGCACATTTTGGGTGTGAGACATTTGAACAGCCTTCACATAACAAAAGATCCCCGGCACACCCACAATGGATACAAAATGTATAGTGATTGTCTCTCGGATCAAACGGAAAGTTTGTAACGATAAAATTCTCAGATAGTTTGACTTCCAAATCGGAAAGGAGTATTGCCTGACGATGGAGATAATTAGAAAGCTCTTGTGCTTTTTTCGCGCTTTCGAAATTTTCTCTCGCTTCAAGAACTTGTTTCTCCATCAAAGCTGCTAATTCGTTTTCTTCAATCTCCTTTGCAGCTAGGTCATCCAAGACTTTGTTTGATTCTTCAGATTTTTTTGTAATCACTCTCTGGATTTCCTGGGCAACTTCTTTATGTTGTGTTACCCGTTTCCAGGGAATCAATAAAGAATCGACGCCTGACGTGCTCTTGAAGGTTTCCATCAGATTATAGTCTGGATTAGAATGACCTCTCTGAACTCGACAATACAAAAATGTTTCACCAATGGATTGGCATCGAACACAAGGATGCAGACGTCCAGGGCGACCAAAGAAAGACCGAGCTAGCTCTTCATTGTCTTTTAAGTCGGACAACTTGAAGGTGATGTTGTTGCGTCCGACCACTGTAGAATGGTTTGGGTGAACAGGATCTTTCGAAGATGTGCTCTTATCGCCTGCAGCTGATGGCGCTATGAATTGATCAACTACTTTACTTTCTCCGTCAACAAACTCATTTCCGCAGCGAATTCGAAGCTTGCTCACTGAACCATCGGGTAAGAGAGCTATTATTATGCTTGGCTTGAACATAGTTAATCCTTCCTTTGTCGTCTGAGTTTGACCGTTTTCTGTTATGAAGTAATCGCCGCACTTCATTTTGAATTTGAAGAAATTCTGATTTGCAAACTTAAATCGATTGCGACATGCATCTCTGGCAACAGCTTGGAGCAAACGGCGAATTTTAGCAATGCCTTCTAGTTGCTGGGGTGTAGTGGTGTCTAAAATTTTCACCGTATCAACATCTGGAATTGCATTGGTAGATTGAGTAGGTGTCGTGGTTGATGTCAAACAAAATATTTTCTCGGCATTGTTTGCCTCCAGTGCAAAGACTATTGCTGCGGCATGGTACTTTCTGAGAAGAATAATTTTGTTGATGATGGCATCCTCCTCTTCGCTGAGTTTTTCGAAAGTTGATTCTCTTCTGCCTTTGGATTTCGAAGCTTGCGGAACTGCATTTTGGTTTGTGCCTATCTTCAGATCGTTGTTCTCCGTCTTCTTTTTGGACTTCTTTTTGACATAAATCTTGGAAATCTTCCCATTCAATTTTGCTGATAAAAGATGCTTGGAAATTCGTCGAGTCGAGATTCGGTCGATGCTACGAGACGAGGCTTCGGAAAGAACGAATAATACGGAGGCAACGTACGCTTCGGATATGTCGTTTCTTATCGCGGATACATTCATGTAGTGACCGTTCAATATTCTTAGGCGAACAAGCTCCAAACAGAGAAATGGGGATGGCATAAAAGATTTGTACGTGGCCGTGTTCTGCTCGTCATGTTTCTGTACATCGCCAAAGCTCCACAAAGGCATGTAACCAACTTCAGAGAGGTTCTTCAGCTTTTTCAAGCACCCGACTTTTTTGATCCCTCGCGTGCAAATTTTTGTCTCCGAGGGAGAGAAGAATTCAGGATAGGATGGCAGGAAATGCGAGTCAAAATCGGTAGCAACACCATTTTCGGCTTTTTCCAGGGCCACATCGGAATTGACTATATCCGGTGCTATTCCATCGATGCAACGCTTTTTGAGAAAATCAAAACACCTGACAATTGATACGCTAGTATCCTTAGATAAAGGCAAAACATTGCTGATTCGGGGAGCATCTGTTGGAATGATCTGCATTTCGTTGGTTGGAAACCGCGCCGGTTTCAGAAACGAATCTTGTGATAATCCGCAAGCCTTGCATGCCGTGCCACCCACCGTCGAAAGTTGACATGGTCTCCAACATACGACTATCGTTTCTTCGCAAAAAGAATAGCGCAAGTGCAGTTCTACGATAAGAATTGACGTCRCAACAGGAAACGACTCAGCGTTTTGGTTCTTGACCTCCTTTGGAAACGAGGTACGGACCGAGATGACTGTTCCCTCCATCCAGTGAGACGAAGCTTTTTCAAAGACATCGTCTCTTTCTTGGTTTCCTCCCGATTTGTTCGCTTCTTCGCGATTTTGAAAATCGTCTCCCTGGCTTGATGYTGTCTTTCCGAATTCTGGTAAATTGCGCTGSACATCGTCTAGGGAATCGATATGGCCGCTGACAAATTTTGAGTGGTTGGCTCGAGAATAAAAAATTTCTTCGCCACACTGCGGGATCCACACCGACGACGACGCCTGGTGCGTCATCTGCTCGCCTCCGTTGGAAGTGGTGTATGGCATGTATTGTCGGAGCCATTCCCCGTTTATGTTTCCGTRGTACGGTGTGTTCAAATCTGACGGGATAGCAAGCAACTGCTTTTTCCCACCAARATCGCTCTCCGATCTCTTTTGGCTGCCTCTCGAATCAGTATTCTGGATGATGTCCTTCATAAGAACCTGGCATTGTAGTACAATGTCGCTGCACATCGCCACTAGTTCGGATTCGGGGTTGTTGTACAGCAAGCAATTTTCGGAAAKGAGATTCAAATCCATCAGGATGGATTCGATCGAGGTGTAATAGCAACTTCCGGTGTTGCCATGCGCCTTGAGTCGCGCTAGAATTCGGTCGAGAGACATTCCGATTGGGACGGCGGAGTAATATCCGGGAGCCTTCAGTTCCGTAAGGATCTCGGAAAACAATCTGGCGTGGGGATTTTGCTCCATGACGTCCCATATACAGAGGATTGCCTTCTCCCTCAGTGAGTTATCGAGAACCCCGAGAAGCCCGCTCTGTAGACTTCGCGAGAGATCCGTTGGTTGGAGAGTGACAAGGTTCCACGGTGATGCTTTGCAGATAAGCCTTCTATTGGAATCACAGGACACAAGCACGCCACGTCGTAGAGGAAGAGTTCGGAGTATGAWGGCCAGCAACGAAAACGAAGGCTTCGACATCTCCGATTGCTTGTGCTCCGAATTCGAAGAAACGTTGCTGCCTTTTGTTTGTTCCTTCTGTTCGACGTATCTGCGAAGAAAACCAAGAATGACGTTGGCCTCCCGCAGGGGGAACCTCGCCCTGGAATTTTTGTCGGAGAGCAGCTGCGCTTCTAGCGCTTTTGGCATCGATGATCCGTCCGGGGCCAGGTGTTCCAAAACCGCCCTGAGCTCCTCCGTGTTTTTGTCCAGCCGCATCACACCCTTGTTCCATTCCCTCGGTGACTCCTCCGTGTGAACCGTTGGCGCCGTTGTTTCTGCCAAACCAGACGAGGGACCCCTCGATCGWGCCTTGGTTCGTTGCACCGATGCCGGTGTCGGTGCGGTTTTTGGGTTTGCGYTGGAAGAAATCTCCCCAAGAAASTCGATGATCTTTCCCTTCCCACAGCGGCCGGCCAGCGACGAGCTTTTGTTYGCCGGATCRTTGCTTGTGCTGGCGGCCAAGCGTATCCAAACGSTCTCGCTTGCCACCATYGTGTGATAGGTGGTGTACCCCCAGCAAAACGGAACGAGGAACGGCTCGAGGGGGGGAACCACCGGGAAGGTCACGACCGAAAAGTTGGGTGGCAGCCCGAGGTTGTAAGAGGAGGACGATCGATCGTCCGATGGGGGGGCAATCGGCGTCAGTGGCTTCAGGAGGACACACAGCCGGAGTTGTGGGGATGTCCCGGCCTTCTTTGCCGCCTGGCCGTACCAGGAAGCGGCCGGTGCGTCCGTGGATGTTTCGGAAGGTCYCCCACCGTTGCTTGTTTTGCCCGTGTCACTCGCACCGGCGCTGGCCGACTTGCCCTTGGCGTAGGGATCTTCCGGAAACTCCACGTGGGTCTTCTCGACGCGGCAGATAATGGGGTAATCTCCGAGGCAGCACGCGCGGTGGCGGTTGCCTTCGGCAGAAGCATCGCGTTCTGCGAGAGATTCCCTTGGTCTCGCGGTGGGTGGTGTCTCGGCGGCTGCTTGCTGGTGCTTGTCCTTTTTGGKTCTCCGGACCGTCGAAAGGGATTCGATCCATTCGTCCGTCCACCATATAATSCCCTTTTCGTCCTCCTTGGTCAGCCGGTTCCGGTCCCGGCTCGCCCTCGCCCAGAGGGGGACCCGCAACAGGTTCCGCTGCCGTGAACCGAGCGTGTCAAAGTGCGTGGCCAGAACGTCCTTGTGGGCCGACGGATAGTAGAGCACCACGTCCCCGGCCTGGGGAACGTAGGAGGCCAGATCGAAGACGGCCGTCTTTTTGGCCTGGACGCCGGCCCGTTYGAGGGCGTCTTCCGGGACGACRACGACGGGCTTGGAATCGATGGGCCTGGTCCGTGCGAGCCAGTTGCGATCGAGTTCCCGGGCAAAGCGGGGCGAGATCCAGCCACCGATGTACCGGGCGTCCCTCTGTTTTTTCTTGGGCTTTTTCGCAATCTTTGCAGGGGCAAAGGGCCCGGCTCCGGGGATTTTGTTCCCGCCACTCTTGCTGGTGGAAGAAACAGGACCGGCTGCCAGCGATGCCGTGCCTGCGGCAGCGGCAACCGAATCCACAGGAAACATGCTCCGGTTGGAAGGAGTGGCACCGGATCCCGGGGAAGCCTTGTGCTGGTTGCTGTTGCATTTSKTGTCGGGTTTGGACTTGGCAGTGATGGTTCTGCCCCGGGAATGCAGGGGAAGMAGTCCCATGGCCGATCGGYTCCGCTTTTTGGTGTTTTTCGGGGTGGTGGTGGTGGYGKTGATGCCRGCAATCTGCTTCCGAGAGGAATCCCCGGCCACCAAMRGGCTGTGTGTGCTGGCACCTGCTGTGTGGAGCGGCAGCACCTGTTGTTTCCGCCTTTGTTTCGCCATCCCCGGGCCCGGATCCACCGCGGCAGTGGCAGCCGCTGCAGCAGCAGCGTGGTTTGCGGTTGCGTTCCCCTGTAGGCTGGTGGCAGCGGTGCTCCTTCCGGCCGCGGCCGATTTCCTGCTTCGTTTTGGTTTCTTTCTGGGTGGTTCGGGCCCGCGTCCGGTGGTTTCCCCGGGATGCGCCTCCCCGTTTCCAAGTGGTGGCAGCGGCCCGCTTTCGAATCCCCCGGGGCCTCCCCCCGCAACTGCAAGGCTGCTTCCMCCCCCAAARGCCGTTCCGAAGGACCTCCTCGCCGCCGGCTTTYGCACGGGGCAAGGCGGCTTGTGGGCCTTCCAGGSTTCCCTCGGGGCACGGGCGTACAGCGCTGCGTTGAGTYYCCCCACGGCCTCGTTGTAGGCCCTGGGGAAGCGGTCCAGGGCGTCGAGGACGCCGAGCTTGCGCTCGAGGGCCCTCCGGCGATTGGCCTCGGCCCGCTCCTTCTCCAGGGCGGAGGCCCTCGAGCGCCGCTCGGATTGCTCCTTCTCGTGGGTGCAAAAGGCCTCGAAGAGCCTCCCGCCGGGGGCGGCTGCTTCCTCGATGTCTAAGAGGAGGTCCGCCAGGGTCCAGCCGGCCGAGGGGGGCAGGAGGTCCAGCTCGGCCCGCTCCCTGGCCTCCCGCTGGACCCTGGCCCTCTCMCTGGCCAGGGCCTCCCCCGACCGGGCCCGCCTGGCTTCGAGCTTCCCGGCCCTGGTTTCCAGCTTGCGGAGGGCCCTAGACCAGTGGGCGACCTCCCGGGAGGCGKTCCGGGCCTGCCTGCTTGCCTTCTTGAGGGCCTTCTTGCGGGCGGAGCGGATCCGCTGGAACTCGTCGTAGACGAACCGCGGGACCCGCTCGTCCCCCTTCTTTTCCTTGCGGCGGCGCTCCCTCTTGGCGTCGTTCCTGGCGCGCTCCTCGGGGGTCAGGTGCTTCTCCTTTTCCAGGGTGGCGGCCCGGATCCGGAACAGGGGCTCGGCGTCGTCTTTGGCCTTTCCGCCGTTGGCGTCGCCCGTCGAGGCCCGCCGGACCGCAAAGAGGGGCTGCTTCTCGGCGTAGTCGATCCTCTTCTTGGAGAGCCGGGAGCGCTGCGTCCGGGTGGGTTCCACGGGCTCGATCGACCGCCGCCTCGCCTTTGGCCTCTTCGGTTGCTGCTGCGGCTTGAGGCTTGTCGCCGCCTGGTGGAGTCCCAGTGCGGCGAGGCGCTCTTGGTTGCGCTTGATTCGTTCCTGYCGGAGTCTGTTTTGTGCGGTTGCAAAATTGTGTTTCGCGGTGTTGCACAGTACGTATGTGTTGGCGGTGTTGTTTTGTTGCCATTGCACGGCAGTTTGTGTTGGTTTGTGTTTTTGTTTTTTGTACATAAGTGCGTTGCGCAAAGCAAAGCAAAGCAAAATCACCATTCGCCAATGCATTGGGTTCCCCAACAGGAAAAAAAACAGAGAGAATTCATGGTTTGTGTTGTGCTTGGTGTGAGTTTTCTCTTTCTCGTGTTGGGATGTGACACGACAYGGTTCGATCCTCCAGAGACCCATGGCACAGAGCGAACTCTCCATGGCACGGTGTCCATGATGCACATGATGCATTGCCCATTGCRCATTGATTGCCCACCCCCCACAACGCAGTACGTACCGTTCGTAGCTAGAGAGTCCGTCCACTGGTGTCTCTTCGTCTCCCGAATCGCTGCTGTCGCTATTGCTGTCGCTGCTTCCGTCGCTGTCGCTGTCGCTATTGCTGTCGCTGCCCGAGGCATCGCCGGGCTTCGAGCCGGCTCCGTTGCAGCTAGCAGAAGCAAAAGCCCCGTCGCTCGGGGCGGGGTTTGCACGAGATTCCTCGCCCTCGGTCTTTTCCCCGGCGCCACGGAACGAGCGGCTCTCGGTGCGATCGGCCTCGGCGATTTCCACCGGCAGCAGCGGTTTCGTTTCTTCCCGTTCGCCGTCCCGCCCGGGATCGGGTGCCGCCTCCTCGCTGCCCGGCATGGTGTCCTTCCCCGGTTTCGCCTTCCTCTGACGGTGTGCTTGTCCCTTGCGCTTTTTGTTTGTTTGTTTGTTTGTTTGTTTTTTGTTGGTTGTCCCTGTGTTGTTTCGTTTCCTTTCCTAGCTTGTGTTTGTTGGGTGTCTTGTTTTTTTCGCTTCGTTTCGGTGGACGTTATCTCATTCTGTTGTTTCCTTCTTTTCCTTTCCTGTGCTATGATCCTTGAACGCTGCGCTACGCTGCTGTGTTGTGTTGTGTTGTGTCGTATCGTGTCGTGTCGTGTCGTGTTGTCTCTTGGTTGTCTCTTGGCTTGGTGTCTTGTTGCACTTGTTGCGAATGCGTGCAGTACCTGGTACCATACCACACCGTACTGATCGATGTGCTGCGTGATATGCTGCAGCCGATCCGGAGTCAAGGGAAAAAAAAAAAGAACTCTTGCGGCACCTGCGTAGAAATAGTACCAAAACGGTCCTGCCGTCGCCCCAGACAATGCCGCGCCCGGTAGGGCACGCATGCGAGTACTCGTACCCTRCTACTACGAGYACGATACGACTGCGAGCGCTCGTAGTCGTTGACAGAGGGCATTTTGTGTTTGAGGAATGCGTGAGGATTGTCCAGAATTGTGAGCGAATGAATACTGGACGGATTTGTTGTTGTCTGGATTGAGGAGGAGAAGGTGATCAYACTAATTAAGGATCACATAATGATGTATCTTCATGATGACGAAGTATTATGGATAATACTTTTGCTACTGGATTGGTAGTAGTAACAGCACTAGCAGTAGTAGAAGTAGTAGCTACTTGTTGTTCTTGTTGTTACAATATCATCCTCATCATTCACCATCCATGTTGCATCATGATGTTAATGGCAGCTTCTTGTTCTTCTTCTTGTCTTCTTATTGTTGTTGTACATTCAYCACCATCATGATGAGGAGGAGAATGATCACTTTCTTCTTTAAAGACTCAAAAAACATACTAGCTACTAGTAGTACCAGTACTACTGGGAGGGAGAAAAATCTTTACTAAACATAGTACTAAAGCAACTTCTTCTTGCTGATAAAGAAGAATTAAGATACTAATTACTACTAGTAGCAGTACTACAACCAGCTCTCAGGAATGAGAAAATCCAACTGCAAAGAACAAGTGGTACTAGTAGAACTGCTCTTTTAGCTACTGGGTGTTGGTTTGTCAACTCTTCCCTTCTTGTTGTTGCTGATAGTAGTAAGTGACCAAGACATGACGCAGCAAGAATGGTGGTGGTAGTACTAGTACTAGTACTAGTAGCTACTACTACCGTGTTCCACCACAACCACTTGATGATTGCCTCCACAAATCAGAAGCACAACGACTGCCACTAGTACTACTACTACTACTACTAGTTCTCCATTGCACTGGTCTCTTGGAACAGCAATTTCCAGTGGCAAGATCTGCTCCTGCTACCGGTGGTGGTTGCTGGCCAGTGCTGGAATTCTCGACCGGGCGTCCCGTTGGGGTGGCATCCGTCCCCATCACCACTCCCGGTCGGTGCGGTGCGATGCGGTGCATGCCATGGAAGGTTTGGTTTGGTTTGGTTTGCTGCCAAGGGTTCTCGATGCATTTGCATTGTATTGCAAACAGTGCATGCTCAATGACCATGCATGCATGCTTTGTGTGGGKTGTGCGGCCTCCCTCGGTGTTGCGGGAGACACGAATGCGCACGCACGCAAGAACGACTGAACCGCAAACGCGGAGACCTTGCGTTGCGTATCGTGCCTCCCGCAYCGTCGACGACAAACAGGGCGAAGCACGAAACAAGTTGCTACGGGAACGCAAAAAAAAGAAGAAGAAAAAAGGTGCGGATCTGCGAGTTTCGCTTTTGTGCTACTAGTGGTTGGTTGGTTGGTTGTTTGTTTGGTTCGATCCGGATTCGAGTCGTATACGAGCGGCGGTGGTACCCCCGTGCCTCCTCCGTGGTTCGTATCGCTTCGTTTCGCATCCTTTCGTCTCCTCCCCCGTCGTCCCTTCTYGCCCTTGTTCCCTTTCTTCTTCCCCCGAGCCGTGCGGTGCACCGCGGCGTCCAGGGGTCGCGTTTCGTTGCGTTGCGTYGCRTCGCATCGCCTCTTCTCGCGCGGCACGCTTTCCCCTCACTTTTTCTTTCCAAGCTGCCGGTGTTGTGGGTGCGGCTGCCCGGGATGCTGGTGCTGGTGCTTGTTGTGGTAGGGTCGGTTGTTTGGGTGCTGTTGTGGTCGGTGCTGTTGTTGGTAGGGAGGGCCGCGGTGGTACGGATGGGGTTGCTGGTAGGCAAGGTGCTGCTGGAACGGCTGGTGGTATTGCTGTTGTTGTTGTTGCTGTTGTTGCAGAGCCAGTTGCTGCTGGTAGGCCACCCCCGCCGCCGCTCGAGACGCCCCCCCGTAGGCGCCGGGGGAGGAACCCCGGGCCGCCGCCTTGGGCATCATGTGGAGGGGGACCGAGGGGACCTGGACCGGGAGGATCGTCCCCGGGGGAATGTTGGGCGGGACCACCACCTGGACCGGGAATCCCCCCGGGGACTGGACGAGCATCTCCCGGCCGGGCCCGAGCTGCTGGTAGGGGACCTGGACGTGGAGGGTGACGTAGCCCGGGGGCGGGGAATGGTGGTGGTGCGGTGGGAGTGGCTGTGGTGGCAATGGTGGTTGCTGTTGCTGTTGTTGCTGCTGCTGCGGCCGGGYGGGGACCTTCGCCGGCGGGGGKGGGACCGGACCCTTGGCAGAGGGCGGCGGATGCTGTTGCTGCTGCTGCCGGGCATCCCCCGGCCCGGTGCTTCCTTCTGCCCGAAGGGCCGCCACGGGAGCGGTCCTCGTCGGTGGGGAGGAGGACATGGCGGCAATGTTGATCCCCGTCTCGCTGGTCCCGGGAGGGGCTTCCTCCGCGGGARCTTCCTCCGGGGCCGGAGCCACGGGCCCAGCTGCGGTGGCTTCCGGCGKCCGTTTCGGTTCCGGGTCCTTGTTTTTGGTGTTGTTTTTGTCGTTGTTGTTGATCGYTGCGCTGGAATCGTCCTTGTCGTGGGTGCTGGCAATGCTTTTGGGAGTGCTGGTCTTGGCCGTCTCGCTGCTAGCCGCAGGCCCCCTCTCGCCGGCCTCCGATCCCGCCTGCGGCTTGGTCCGTGTCGGGGAGGGCTGAAAGGCGGGCATCGGGAGCTGCCTGGCATCGGGCGAGGACTGGTAGGCGGACCAGGCAAAGTTCGTGTCCTTCTTCGGCATGGCCACCGGCTTGCCCCCTCCCTTTTTGTTGTGTTTGTGGGCGTTGTTGTTGCTGTTGCTGTTGTTTTTGTTTTTGTTGTGGTTGTTGCTGCTGCCGCTGCTGCTCCCGGAACCCCTCTGCTGGTTCTTGCCCTTTTTGTTCTTGGGTTTCTTCTTTCCCGATGGGGGCAGGGCCTTTTCGGGGGACTGGTTGCGGCTCTCGGCGTGGGACGACGACGATGCTCCCGCTGCTGCTGCTGCCGCCGCCGCCTTCTTGTGCTTTCGGTTCTTTCTGGGGCCGGTGGTGGTCCAGCCGCCCTCGTCGGCGGGGGCCTCCGGGGTTGCCGTCGTCTTKGCCGTTCCACCGATCCCCAACAAACCCTTCAGGGCCACCGTGGCATCGTTGACCTGCCGGTCGCTGTTGTTGTTTTTTGTCATGTTATGCTTCCGAACGATGTTGTCAAATGAAGCGCAGCAAGGTATTATTATTCGGTATATCCTATTCCTATCCTGTCGTATCGCTAGGTGCAATGGCAACTCGTATAATCTGCAAAGGTATGCAAGGGTACGTACGTTGTGCAAAGCTTGGGTACTTTACGCGTATGCTTTTTTGATGCGGTGTGTTCGTATTCGTATTCAGTGGGTTGTACGATACTCCTACTAGTTACAGTAGTGGTACGACCTAGTTCGTTGTTGCCCGTAATTGCCTACCGGTTGGGGGTGGGGTGGGGGGGAATGAATCGAATGCGGCGTCTCGTTCGTACCGTTCCGTAACGTACCTGTACGAGCTACTCGTCCTCCTGTTCGCATTCGTCCGCAGCGGGTTGTTCCTGTTCTTGGGGTTTTATTTTTTGAACCGTTCTGCTCCTGGTTTTGAAACTCGCATCACCGCAATTCAAACACCGTCCACAGCCTTGGGGTGTTCTCGTTCGTCCCGTAGAAATCTACTCTATTGTCGTAGAGTGATGCGGGCGGCGAGGATGCGGCACCCACAAGCTGCTCSATGAAAAAAGAGAGAAAAAGACACATCTACACTACCGTTCCGTACGGTAGGCTAACGCAACGCAACGCATCCCAAACAAAACAAAACCAACCTGATCGAGGTACGGTATTGCACCGTAAGTTGCGTTGCGTAGAAAAAACGTAGCACGGGARAACCCCTATAATTGGTTGGTCGGCAGCTGTCGGCAAAGCCCGCCACGCTGGCAGCGCATCTAAATCCGGCAATGACGGACTTCGAAACGCATCGGACCGTCTCTTTTTTTTTTTTCGGGTGGGGGGGGAAACCTTGTTTTTCTCGAAGAAATCGAATGGATCGAAGGCAGAAGGTAGAATCGTACGTAAAGTACCCATAGTACCTATTGGGAAGCACTCAAACAGCAACGCCCGTCCTCCGTCCTCCGATTTGGTTGGAGCAGAGGAAGTTACTCTACCRTACTTCAGTTACGGCACATGAGGTCATCGATAGAGAATCGTGCCCAAGTGGTTTCGATGATTTCTGTCCGCAGTAGGCTTTTGGGCTATAATMTCACACGAATGAAGTGTTAATCATCCAAAGTCAAGCGGTTGAAGTTACACTGAAGTTGTCAATCAGCGCATGCGGTTTCCGGGGCGATTGATTCGGATGGCATATTATATTGTGCAGCCAGAAACAGGAGCAAAGCTGCTTGGGCGCAGCCATAGCCCAATTCTAGGCGCATCGAAGGCTTCCATGGAGCAGGGCGTTCTTCTCTTGTTCTTCGCTGGCTTGCAGATGCTACGGTACTATGGATCGTAGGTAAGGTGAGAGATCCAACCAGAATCCTCCAATCCGAGGGCAATTTGATTCGGTCCCTGGAACAGGTCGTGCCAATCATCGATGGAACACCGGGTTCAAAAACCTACGGCACGGTCCGTACGTACTCGGTACGTACCGTACGGGGTTGCTTCCAACTCCTTCGTTTTGGTGGTTTGTTCCCACTGCCGTGACACCAAACCCAAGACCCGACTGATTCGATGGYTGCCTCACAAATTGCATCTCCAGGTGAACAGAACCAGCAACAATTCTTTCATACACGATACACGATACACGATACACAACACACACCACACCACACCAACGAAACAAGCAACCACAAACGACACAAACGAACCACACCAACCACACCAACCACACGAACGAACAATGCAGACGGTCAACGGCACATCCAGAGCGGCGGCTACAGCCACAGCCCCGAGCACTCGTACAAGCAGAGACGCGAGCACGAGATCGAGATCGAGATCGAGAGCATCCACGAGCACCGACCGGGACGCGGAAACAACACACATCGAAACRACACACACGGACACACCAACGTCCTATCCGATCATGATCGACACGAACCACTCGGACTGGGAGACCATCATGACGGTCGCCACACCCTTTCTGGATTTTGCGCAGGAGGACCACCACCACCGGGGCAAGGCTGGCACCGAGAGCGGAAGCAGCGGCAGCAGCAAAACCGCYACCGGCAGCGAGGCCGGGGCCATGGGCCCGGGGGAGCGGACCAGGGCCGTCCTGCTCCGGAGGCGGGCCAACGAGGATCGGTCGGACTGCCTGCTCCGGCACTCGTTTGTCGTCAAGGCCGTKGTCTGTTGATCAAGCACGGAAGCGAACCACTCAACCAACCAACCACCCCACTACACCCGCAACGACTACTGTATCCTAGCTAAGCTGCGCCACGCCACGCCGCACCGCACCACAAATTGTACGCTACATTGCTAACATAAAACAAATTAGAGAATTTCCAACCTTTTTTTAAACAAACTATGTTCTATCCTTTCCTACATTCTGATGTGACAGGAACCTGTATAACGAGCGGTGGTAACATCGTGCACGATGTATTACCTCAWCTACTGCAYTTTAWTTTKTATTTTATTTTACAACGGCTTCTATGATTCTTTCGWACGTAAATGWCCCCCTGGCTCCTACGCTCGGCAGCGCTTGCACGCCATGGGGCACCAGAACGTGGCAACACTTTCCCCTCTGTGTTTCGTCTTGCACACCCGATTCCTTTGCCTTTTCTTCTTCGCAGCGACCCAATGGCAGTTCTTTCTCGAGTCGAAGTTGAAATCAAAGCCCGGCTTGTCGAAGGCCCTGCTGCAGTCGATGTCGACCACCGTAATGTCCACACCGGCACAGGTGGCCGGACACCAGTGGGCACCCACGSTTTTCTTCMTCCACGACCTCCGGCAACGGTTCTCYGGTTTCTTTCCCACCCAGGTGCAGTCCCGGTTGGGGTTGCCCTTCCACAAAAAGTCCGCTCGGTCGACGGGGGCGTCCGGGTCGATCGGGGCCGGCTTTTCGATCGGGGCCGGCTTTTCCCTCGAGACCCGCACGACGACGCCCGTCCCGTTCGGGGCCAGCGATTCGAAAGACACATAGACGGAGCGCCCGGATTCTCCGTTGAAGTCCCGGATCTCGTGGATGTCTCCGACGAGCTTGAGGGTCGCGATCTTCTTCGTCGTTGCCGATTGGTTGGCCAGGCCCATTCGTTGGAGGATCAGCACCTCGTTTATGTTCTCCGAGGTTCCGGAATTGATCCCCGTGTTGCGGTTGTATCCGATGTAAAAGTCGGTATCTTCGTCCGTCTGGTGGAGCTGCAGGACCACGAGTTCCGAGACGGTGACCGGATGGCGCTTCGAATGGTTGATTTTGGCCACGGTTTTTGTCGGATCGTAGTCGTCCACGCCAACCATCAGAAACTTTCTGCCCTGGGGCGATACATCCGAGAGTGGATCGTACCAATCGGCTTGCTCCTCGTACCATCCTAGGTAGTAGTTGTTGGAAGGATTGAAACACATGCTTGGCCCATCCACGTTGTTGTAGCTGAATCCCATGTACCCAACCTTGTCGTCGTACACGCCTTCTTCGCCGGCGTGGTCCATCCCAATGCTGTGTCCGGCCTCGTGGAGCTGAAAGGAAGGRCGCGTGCACCACGGACTGGTGTAGTAGGAATCAAATCGATTGAGAATGGCCAGTGCCAAGAAACCCGTCACCCCCTCCGGCAGACAAAACAACACGAAATCGAACTGCTTCTCGAGGTCGCCCAGCTCGGATTCCGCGGCTTCGCGGGCATACCGCACGAGTTTCGCCCGCGGAACAGCTCCGGAGAGTTCGTCGATTTCCTGCTGGATTTCATCGGATCGGTGTCGGGGCAATTCGATCGTCGCGACTCCTCCCTGTACCCTTGCGTTGCTCTCCGTTGTTCCGTCGAASGGCACGATCTTTGTTTTGTTGTAGCTGCATTCTTCGTACTTCCTCTTGAGCGAAACGGGGTTTTCGTAAACGTGCTTTCGAACATCGTGTTCCGAAAGGGCAGGCCCCCCTCTAGAACTCTCCAGGTACATTGCATCTGCCATGGTCAGACGCACAACAAGTGTCCTCTTCTCCCCGGCGAAGGGAACGATCGTAGGAGGCGCTAGACGGCGAYGGGTGTCGTCCTGCGTATACCCCGGTGTCTCCAGCTTTGTAGACRGAAGATCGACGTACATCGTGTTGTCTTTGCGATCGATGATGGCGTTTTTGAAGGTCATGATGGTCTTTCCGCTTTCTACGTGGCGGTTGCGCCGTCTGCTAAGAAAGTCATTCGTTATCGTATGCGAATCCTCAAGAGTACCAAAATCRGCGAGTGGTACTCCGATAAGGTCCACGAGGGGATCCGAGAGACCGAGAACTTCTAGGGCGTATTGTTTGTCAAACTGGCATGCCCATGTTTTCTCTGGATTGAAAGGGTCGTCKGCTCCTTCGATTGCTCCAAGAAGGATGAAATCTTCCGAAGATTTTTCCTCTTTTTGTTCGTGATCTTCKCCTGTCCCAAACTCCGTATCGATCTGGTAGAGTATACACTCTTTGTTGGAAACTCCTAATCGTCTTCTTCTTTCCGGCTGATCTTCTTCTGGTATCGTTACCGTCGGGTTGMTGTCCGAGATCGTCGTCTTTCCCCCTCGTAAAAGAGGAAGCTTCTCACTACTAGATGGGTCGATAACGTCCGAGCGTACGATATCGATAGATGATGTTCCGGCGGTACTTGTGGGATGATATTCAACAGCTACTGCGGTTGTTGCAATTCCAAGAATTGAGAAGCTGACGAGCCACGACTTTTTGGCGAAWTTTTTCCCGGACCCATTCATGGCAATGGTGCASATCAYACAGAAGAATACAGATACTGCACAAGGGTAGTTTCGATGAAAGTCAAAATGTTCTGATTGCGTGGCCTCTCAAGTAATGGCGGGAGATCACCAAAACGTCCTCTTTTGARTCTCAATGTGCACMGTAWCGTAGCAGGTACATGCCGGAAGAACGCTTTTGGTTTTGTGAACGCAAGGAGGAAAACTAGCGAAGAAATTATCCGAACCGCGTTGGGTGTTACGTTTGAGACCCAATGTCATTTTTCTGTTTTTGACTCATATCAAAGACATGCTTCATTCATGAATCCTATTATAAATATTTCAAATTCTACCGAGCACCAAMGGCATTTTGTTGGCGATTGTCCGCCAAATACAGAGAAATGTGTTTTTATGTTCTTTTCGAATTTTATCATTTTTCAGTTGGAAAAGTATTAAAGACTACATTTCTCTTATTATTGGGAACATATAAGAAAAATAAGCGTCAGCGAGCAATAAAAATAGCTGCTTAATATGTCAATGACAATTTTAATTAACAAAAAATATGTTTAAAGATGGAATAAAAGAACGGAAGTTGCTAYTGACACATTTTCTTCCGGCATTAGCATCTGAGACATTATTACCTCTGAGACCTGCACTWTAACTTTTCAGATTTAACGCATTTTTACTGACTTAAAAATATCAATAGTATGAGGAATTGATATTGCCTTGTAAGGCAATAAATCAATAATGACCCGAACCAAAGAATTAGGAAAAGCTGAACTGGTGTGAGACCAAAATTCTACGTTAGGTATTACAAAATGTCTAGGAATATATTTTAAATACTCTTGATGGAGACCCTGAAGAATATCGTGATTAATCAACTCACAATGGAATAAGCCTGAAGATTCTTTTGAACGTGATGTTGGTATCATTCAATTGCTTTTAAAACGAACAATTATCAAAAGTATTTTTCATACGAGCCATAATGTTTGATGCCATTGGCTCTTCGCATGACTCACAYATGACTTACGTAATTTCACGTACTATCGTACCTTATGTCGTCATCTTTGACGAAAACGATGAACTGACGTCGTAACACTTCTACTTTTACGTAAGATCGTCAAGTAGTGCAGTGGTAATAATCGTTWAATGTACAGTGCGTACGGAGACCAATATCTTGATCTCTAGTGCTGCATTTACATGTTTGCAAAAAGGAGCATCGAGGATATTCCCTAGTTGATTTTCTCTTTCAAGGTTTCGTTCTTTTTCTCGCTATCTCGGTCATTCCTCTCAGTGACAATGTGGCGAGAAGGGTACTCTGCGTACTCGTGTCTGCCCATGTACTTGGGAAGGCTGCTAGTCGTGGATTGATGGGAGCAGTTGTGTTCCCCTAATCCAAGAGTACAGCGAGCTAGAATAAACACCAATTGCTGGACCACCCCTGCCTGTTACGACTAATCACTACTGTAGTCAATAATCATCTATATTGGTTGTGAATCGCGTCATTTCTCGATCCGTACGATTCGTATCGAAAACTTSAACGAAAACATGAACAAAAACAGTAGCAATTTATTTTATTTTAGGCGCAAATAGAACATACATGGCAAAGAGCACTGTCCAAAAATACCTTCCAATACGACACTGTTTTCTTTGTCACGCATTCTTTCGGGTTCAAGCGATCKGGAAAACGTCKATCGCGACAATAGGCAACGCCTTCTCGCATCCCGATCGAGCASGGTTGCACCGGGGAGATAGCTCTCGGCTTCTGCCATTGTCTYGAGTCGAGCAATGGTGTTCGAGACGCCGTTGGTTGGTTGTTCGGGTTCGCTTGGTCATTCGTGTTCAGACCGAATGTTCCGTTCTTGTATTTGAGAACRTACTCGTCGAACAATCGTCGATGCTGGATCGAATCTTTGTCGTGCAGAAAAATTTCRAACATCTGGCTAGTAACCACCTTCCGCACATATTCTTGCTGCGGAACAGAAAGATTGAGGCTCCTAACAAACCTRTCCGCGTTCAGTCTGTTTGTTTTCGGGTCCACGAAAAAGTCGTACCTCTCAAAGGTGACCAAAAAGAACCTCAGAAAGGATTCCCGTACTCGTTCGGTGATCCTTTTCGTTTCCTCGTCTCCGAAAAAGAAATTGGCCGCGATTTCGTCCTGCTGGCCCAGGACGTCCTCCCCAAACTGTTGGCTGCGGGCGTAGGAACTAGGGGTGGCAAAGTCTTGGCCAAAGACCGCCATGGCTCGGTCGACGTGTGCCTGCACGGAACGGCTCTGTCGTTTGAGGGAGAGAAAGAAGCCAGAATCGTGGCTTGCAGGCATTGCGCTGTCTGTCCTCGAGTTTGTATTGGACCTTGTGGTAGAGGAACCCTCGCTATTGGACTTTTGATTGCCCTCTGAATCTATGGTCTCCTTTGTTCCTTCTTTGGTTGTTGTTGTTGTTGCGTTGTTTGTTGTGACGGGATCTTCTCCGCAAGGGATTTGAATGCCTTCTAGCTGCGACCACAAACTATCTTCTTCCTCGTCGGTTTTGTGCGTACCGGACAACGACGTCGATCCMACGGCACCCTYGCGCTTCGGTTTCTTGGTTGGCACGGCAACGAARTCCTCGTACCGCACGGCTTTCCCCCTCGGGGGAATCTTGGAGGACTGCGTCAGGATGTACTTGCGCGGTGTCGGTGCGGGGGCATCGCCGGAGCCGACCCTCGTCTTTTGGGAGTAGGGCTGTCGCAGCGAATTGTCCAGTTCGAGGGTCCCATCCCCGACGGTGATCCTGCCCTTGATGCCCTCCACCGTGGGAAGGAACCACGGATCGGCGATTTCTTCGAGTTCGGTTTTGAGCCTCATGGAAGCCTTTCCCGGGAGTTCCGGCAGCAGCGGGATTTCCTCKTCCGCAACTCCTCCGTGAAAGCAGGCCTGGTGGTCGTCCTKGAAGCCCAGGTGAAGGGAATCGTGGTCCAGGTCGCACCACAAGACACCGCTGGGGTGGCGGAGGCGGGTTCGTTCTTGTGGYGTGGACGGCGACACGAGGCCGATGAGGTACGGCACGGGGGCCTCCAGRATGTCCACCACCGYGTCGTGGTTCGGCAGGACCGGGACGTAGATCCCCTGCCACCGGAGCGGGAACAAGAGCGCCAGAAGGGCCTCCGCGATCGGTGCCAGCAGGGCGGCSGACGAGCTCTCGCACGCCAGGACGACCTTGCCCTCGCTCAACAGCGTGGCCCATACGACGAGGACGTTGCTGAGGCTCAGCGTTCGAAAGAGTGGTTCCACCGAGCCACCGCCGAGCGGGGGCAAGCGGTTCGGTGGCGGTCGCTYKAGTCGGAGCAATGGGGGGGTGTTTCYGGGTGGTCGAACGCRGTTGGCCGGGTAGAGCCAGGACCTCCATTCCACTACGGTGTTCTTGCTTCTGGGAAACCTGCCGACACCGCTGCGGGGCATGGGTATGTCGTCTACCAGGTGTGCAACGTAGCGCTCGAAGGGGACCGGTGAGGACCCCGACTGGACCGTGTAGAACAATTCGCGGAGGATCAGGGACTGGGCCCGAAAGAACGGGTGGTGGGAAATCATCACCAGGCACTTGGGGACTACCCAATAGTATTCGTCGGTATGATTGGYCTCGGTTTCGWTAGCAATGTTGCTGCCGCTGCTACTGCTGCTTCCGCCTTGCCGTTTTCTCTGTTCTTCGATGTGCTTCGACATGGAATCGATCGAGGGTTCTTCCCACCAGTTTTTGTCCAGGTCGATTTCGGGAGTCGTGGCTTTGGGCTCGTTGTCTTTCTTGTTGCTCGGAACACGTTGCGGTTTGTCGGGCTGGTTTGGGATGTCCTTTCTCACTTCGTACACGGTCAGCGAGGTACARTACAACCGATTCCCGGCCCCGGTCGTTAGCACCATGCTGCACAGAGAGGGTTCCGGAACGTTGTGGTGGTAGCGCACGATCGGGTGTTTGTGTTTGGCGGTGGTGTCCGTTGTGTGTGAGTCGGAAGCAGAAGCCGCTCCCTGCCCGACACAATCAAGGAGCAGTCCCGGTGGTGATTCGGCCGTATTGTTGTCGACGGYTCGGGATTCCGTTGCGGACCCGTGGTCGCGGCGGATCTTGTGTCGCAGAGGATGGCATCCACCGTCCGGGAAGCAAAACGTGGGGAGGTGCTCGGGAAATTCCGTGTCGGCATACTCGTCCCTCGGATACCGATCCAGCAAGACGGGTCTGTTGCTCCCGCGGTGGTCGCTTCCTTTCGTTCTGCCCYGGACGGGAGGTTTTTCGTCGACGAGGGGTCCATCGGGATCGATTCCGACAATGCAAAAAAAATCAAGCCAGCGATCCGGCAGGGATTGTTCCTGTGCTTCCAGTTCCTCGAGGGTGCTGGGAGGGAGAAAGTGCTGTAGGTGCAGCAGCGTGGAACCGTCCGAGGAGGGAGAGGGCCTTTGTGTTTGTGTTGCTTGTTTCGCAACTCGTTTTGATTTTCCGTTTGATTTTTCGTTCTCGTTGCTTCTTTGCTGTGCGTCGCTGGTTTGAAAAAGGCTTTCCCGGAACGATTGCCACATGCTAGCCGCGTTGWTCCTGTCGGTGTTTCCGCCGGATACCGATGCGTTCGYCATGGATGCGACTCYTGTTAGCGCTGCCCCGTTCGGGATACCGATTCGCTTCTTATTTTTGGCAACAAGATTCTCCTACCTGTTTCTGTTTCCTTCACCGTCGTTTTCYAGTCGAGGTTCTATGTTCCTACTCGCTTCTAATGATCGGTGACTTTCACAGTTAATTTATTGCGCTGCTGTGMCGATTTATGTCCTGCTCGATTACATCTGCGTCGCAATGAGAGGAATGGTTGCATTTCGGAAGAACAAAATYAAGAGTGATCGCAATACCGGTATACAGTAATGCAGGAATGGATCGCAATTATTTTTGTTTTTCTTGTTTTTTGAATCGTACCTCGATGGGAACAGGGTTGCTCACAACTCACTGCACAACTCACAACTCGCACCATACGAAGGACTAGTACTCGTACTTTACTTTGGCCGACATCTTTACTGGATATGTATGGTACCAGCACAGCTCGCACCGGTAGGACTCTAGAAGAAACCACATCCGTTGGAATGATACATCATGGCGCGCCTCATTGTAGGTTTCTACTTGCAAAGCCAAAGTTTCCACTCGAGAGATGATTGAAGGCTGACTCGAAGGAAAAGAATGCTCCTACTCTTACCTATATATCGTATGAATCACGTTTCTGTCTTCTCGAATTCTACATTACCGCACATAATACATAGTACTGTACTTAACGAAGTAGTAGTAATACAGCACACATGTATCATACGATCTACTCGTGCTCGCATCTTCGTAGAAATCGTAACATTTTACAGTGAATGAACGAATATCAGATGTTGTACGAGTGCTTGTTGTACTGTACTACTGGCTGGAATGCTATGTTGTCGAAAAGGACTGGGACAAAAACAATACACATTGCACGTGCTTGATTATTGTCATCATAAAGAATAGGGTCATTGTAACCAGGGGTCATACCCCACCCCCTCTAAATTGTGACCCCTGATTGTAACGTCCATACTTATTCTACTTCTAGTTTGTTACTGTGGTAGGAGCGATCCATTTAGTGATTCAAGGTTATCAAAATCCGTTTCCTCAAAACCAAGGCAACAGGTGCATTGGTCTGTCGTCCAACATGGGTTGGATTGGTGGCACACGTGTTCTCCTTTCACTGTGCTTCACACCTGGCCCACACCACGGAGGAACGGACGGATGCTTCTTCCTTGTGTGGCACGGACCAACAAACCGTCAAAGAATAGCACAACACTACTAAGAAAGGCCGGCCCACAGCAGTATGTACCACAGAGTCCAAATATCACGATTTAATTTTTACGACGCAAAATTTCTTCGATTTAAGCATATACGTTTATAAGAAAAAAGACTTTCTTCTTTAGTTTTCTCCATGCACCATCCCTTCTGGTTAGCTCTTCGGTAAGGCCTTTCTTGGTCAGATTTCTTGCACGAGATTACGTGTACTTTTAGTATGTTAAGTGTGTATGAAAATTAAAATTATAAGATTAGAATGACCAAGCGCGTTCACGAGAATTCTGAAGTTCCGATTGGAACCTCATGTAGACCTGGTAGGAATTCTACATGGAGGTTCTCTGTTCNGTTGGCCGGGTAGAGCCAGGACCTCCATTCCACTACGGTGTTCTTGCTTCTGGGAAACCTGCCGACACCGCTGCGGGGCATGGGTATGTCGTCTACCAGGTGTGCAACGTAGCGCTCGAAGGGGACCGGTGAGGACCCCGACTGGACCGTGTAGAACAATTCGCGGAGGATCAGGGACTGGGCCCGAAAGAACGGGTGGTGGGAAATCATCACCAGGCACTTGGGGACTACCCAATAGTATTCGTCGGTATGATTGGTCTCGGTTTCGTTAGCAATGTTGCTGCCGCTGCTACTGCTGCTTCCGCCTTGCCGTTTTCTCTGTTCTTCGATGTGCTTCGACATGGAATCGATCGAGGGTTCTTCCCACCAGTTTTTGTCCAGGTCGATTTCGGGAGTCGTGGCTTTGGGCTCGTTGTCTTTCTTGTTGCTCGGAACACGTTGCGGTTTGTCGGGCTGGTTTGGGATGTCCTTTCTCACTTCGTACACGGTCAGCGAGGTACAATACAACCGATTCCCGGCCCCGGTCGTTAGCACCATGCTGCACAGAGAGGGTTCCGGAACGTTGTGGTGGTAGCGCACGATCGGGTGTTTGTGTTTGGCGGTGGTGTCCGTTGTGTGTGAGTCGGAAGCAGAAGCCGCTCCCTGCCCGACACAATCAAGGAGCAGTCCCGGTGGTGATTCGGCCGTATTGTTGTCGACGGCTCGGGATTCCGTTGCGGACCCGTGGTCGCGGCGGATCTTGTGTCGCAGAGGATGGCATCCACCGTCCGGGAAGCAAAACGTGGGGAGGTGCTCGGGAAATTCCGTGTCGGCATACTCGTCCCTCGGATACCGATCCAGCAAGACGGGTCTGTTGCTCCCGCGGTGGTCGCTTCCTTTCGTTCTGCCCTGGACGGGAGGTTTTTCGTCGACGAGGGGTCCATCGGGATCGATTCCGACAATGCAAAAAAAATCAAGCCAGCGATCCGGCAGGGATTGTTCCTGTGCTTCCAGTTCCTCGAGGGTGCTGGGAGGGAGAAAGTGCTGTAGGTGCAGCAGCGTGGAACCGTCCGAGGAGGGAGAGGGCCTTTGTGTTTGTGTTGCTTGTTTCGCAACTCGTTTTGATTTTCCGTTTGATTTTTCGTTCTCGTTGCTTCTTTGCTGTGCGTCGCTGGTTTGAAAAAGGCTTTCCCGGAACGATTGCCACATGCTAGCCGCGTTGATCCTGTCGGTGTTTCCGCCGGATACCGATGCGTTCGTCATGGATGCGACTCCTGTTAGCGCTGCCCCGTTCGGGATACCGATTCGCTTCTTATTTTTGGCAACAAGATTCTCCTACCTGTTTCTGTTTCCTTCACCGTCGTTTTCTAGTCGAGGTTCTATGTTCCTACTCGCTTCTAATGATCGGTGACTTTCACAGTTAATTTATTGCGCTGCTGTGCCGATTTATGTCCTGCTCGATTACATCTGCGTCGCAATGAGAGGAATGGTTGCATTTCGGAAGAACAAAATCAAGAGTGATCGCAATACCGGTATACAGTAATGCAGGAATGGATCGCAATTATTTTTGTTTTTCTTGTTTTTTGAATCGTACCTCGATGGGAACAGGGTTGCTCACAACTCACTGCACAACTCACTGCACAACTCACAACTCGCACCATACGAAGTACGAGTGTGAGTACGAAGTACGACTAATGCTTTATTTTGGCCGACATCTTTACTGGATATGTACGGTATGGTACGAGCTCGTACCGGTAGGACTCTAGAAGAAACCACATCCGTTGGAATGATACATCATGGCGCGCCTCTTTCGAGGTTTCTACTTCCAAAGCCAAAGTTTCCACTCGAGAGATGATTGAAGGCTGACTCGAAGAAAAAGAATGCTCCTACTCTTACCTATATATCGTATGAATCACGTTTCTGTCTTCTCGAATTCTACATTACCGCACATAGTACCGGTAGTAGTAATACAGCACACATGTATCATACGATCTACTCGTACTCGCATCTTCGTAGAAATCGTAACATTTTACAGTGAATGAACGAATTTCAGATGTTGTACGAGTGCTTGTTGTACGGTACTGTACTACTGGCTGGAATGCTATGTTGTCGAAAAGGACTGGGACAATAACAATACACATTGCACGTGCTTGATTATTGTCATCATAAAGAATAGGGTCATTGTAACCAGGGGTCATACCCCAACCCCTCTAAATTATGACCCCTGATTGTAATGTCCATAATTATTCTACTTCTACTAGTTTGTTACTGTGGTAGGAGCGATCCATTTAGTGATTCAAGGTTATCAAAATCCGTTTCCTCGAAACCAAGGCGACAGGTGCATCGGTCCGTCGTCCAACGTGGGTTGGATTGGTGGCACACGTGTTCTCCTTTCACTGTGCTTCATACCTGGCCCACACCACGGAGGAACGGACGGATGCTTCTCCCTTGCACGGCACGGACCAACAAACCGTCAAAGCATAGCACAACACGAAGAAAGGCCGGCCTACAGTAGAGTCCAAATATCACGATTTAATTTTTACTTTAAGGATCATATCCGTTTATAAGAAAAAAGACTTTCTTGTTTAGTTTTCTCCTTGCACCATCCCTTCTGGTTAGCTCTTCGGTAAGGCCTTTCTTGGTCAGATTTCTCTTGGCACCATCCGAACGCGACAAGAAGAGCGATCGCAAGGGCGACGCAAAATTTCTTTGATTTAATAACGTTTGGGGTAGGGGAATTTGGACTCACCCTTATCAACCTTATCACCCTTATCAACCTTATCACCCTCACGACCCTTAGGAGCACCCTTATCACCCTCACGACCCTTAGGACCCCTCGCCTTCACTCCTCTTCTCGTGTCACCCTTCGCGTGCAGCGGGGAAGGGAATGTGACGAGAAGAGCGATTGCAAGGGCGGAAAGGATGAAGGATTTTCGGGCAGATGAGAGGAACAACATGATGCTGTGGTTGCTTGGTTCGTGGCGGAGGGTGTACGGCGTAGGCGTTGCGGGATCTGATGGAATGCGAAGGGTGGGTAATTGGGTTTGGAATTTATGAGCCTCACAACTTTTTCCTCCCCTGGCAAACCAGCAAGTTAAAACACCACACAGAAAATCGTTCATTGTCTAGACCGCCGAATAGATTCCACAAAAAAAGACCCCAAAACTCCCTGGGCTATCTTTCGCCAGTGGGATTAATTTGTTTGTGTACTAGTAGGGCTATAGCGCACGTGCAAGCGAAACTATTTTGGTCGCACAACTGGTGGGATGGGGTTGGGGTTGTGCATTTGTATGAATTTTGTTTTTTTAGTCAAAGCCATGGTTAGTTTCTTACCATAGGCCTGAGTAGAATTTGTGCCAGCCTGGTGGTGGTGGCACACCGGCAGGCACAGCAGATGCTCAGCGAGGACCAGGATCAGTCTTTTGGGAGATTTGTAGTACAAAAACTGTGTGGGAACGTCAAAGAAAATATGCAAATCAAGGGTTTTAGTACCGGTACTGTAGGACCTGCAGATTCTGGTCAAAATGGAAGGGTTCTGATTCCTTGTTCAAAATTGTACTGCAGCCTACTACTACTGCCATTACCTAAAAATACCTCCAGTATGCTGATTGCTGATCCAGGGTGCTAAACTGTTCTATTCATTTAAAAAAAACTCGGTTCAAACAAGAAGCAACCAACCATCATGGGAAGAAGAATAGCTCTAGTATGTCAAGAACTTGTTGTACTCACTCTTAGACCCTGTGCTTGAAAATCCAAGGACACAATACTAGACTCCTACTTGGCACTTGCACCTTCATAGAAATCGCAACATTTTACTCCGTGTAACCATGTATGAAATTTTTAGCATTCTTGAATGAATGTATAATTGATGCGATCACTTTCAGATGTTGTTGCATGAGTGCTCGTACTAGTACTAGTAGCTGGAATGCTTTTTTGTCAAAAAGGACTGGGACAATAACAATATGTATTGCACATGCTTGATTGTTGTCATCATAAAGTATAGGGTCAATGTCACTACACCAGAGAGCACCTCATAAATTATTATAGTTTGTTGGGAGCGATCCATTAAGTATGTATGTAGCGGTTCAGTGTCCACATTTTCAATCTGGGACGTTCGGTATCCTTCACTACTAGACCCGTTACTAGAATGGAATTAGTAGACGCCACGTGAGACACTACTTAGACCCATTTGAAGTGAGACACTACTTAGACCCATTTGAACAGTCCCACAAACTAAGTATGAAATTCGATACTCAAGGGGGGGGGCTGGGAAAATTGAAAAAAATTTCTAGTAGCGTGGCTTATATTATGGTAGCATTTTTGGTCGCAATCTGGTAGCAATTATAGCTACCATCTGGTAGCTGGTAACGGTTATGGTAGTAAAATATGAAAACACTAATGCATCCATTAATGTAATTTCAATTGTTATGCAACACATAGTAACGTTTCTGGTAACTGATGTTTTTAGTAAAAGTAATACATACTCTCGGCACTCTTATCAGGGACGTTCGGTATTGACGATTTTACCACGCCAGCCATGCTACCGGGCAATACTGTGGTAGTGGGAATGGAAGCTTGCTGGCGCCAAAAGAGA